CCTCCTTTTTTTAATTATTGTTGAACACAAGACAGCTGTCCGTTTCAAAGCCACAGACTACTGACAGCATTCTATTCTTGGCTTAAAAGATTCAATATAAATTTGATTAAAGGTTTACCTGTGAGAAGGGCCTGAATAACACCATTCTGCTTCTCGTTTCCATTATATTGAGAGGAAACTTTTACTGGGCTCAACTGTTCAGACGCCATCTTTAACTGCAGTATCACAGTCAAATCGCCCTCGAGTCATTTCGGACGGATCTTGAATAAGCTATTATATTTGAATTTTTTATTAATTTTATAACTCATTCGTGATATTCTATAAATTAAATCACACCTTTTATCATTTCGTGAATAGAAAGAGGCGAAATAAACTTATAGTTTTCGGCAGATTGTAGTTTGGGACAAATTGACTACTGACTGTTCAAGACTTCAGAATGAAGAGCTACTTCCGGTCTAGACATTTTTGAGGAGAAAATGTAAATATTATTTGTAAAGTATGAGTTCTTCTGAAGACAATAGCTCGGATGATTGTGAATCTGTGAGTTTAAATGATTGCAGTGTTGACGGAATAGAGCCAACAAGGTAAAACCCTCTCTATATTTTAGACCAAATAACTACAGTTCTACTAGACTGAAATAAAATGATTGCCAAACACAGAATTACTGGACTAGATTTTATTAACTTTTGTCCCTCTAAATAAACAAATACAAGTTTTCTATTGCCACTAGGAATTAATTTGGTCAGAAAGTCCAACTGAGAAAAATATAACCTTTAATCTCCCCATTGTTATTTGAAATGATATTTTTTCTGTTTTAGAAATATTGAAAAGAAGAATGATGCTATTCTACAGTTTCTAGCTATATTTAGTTTTAGTTTATTTATTGGATTATTTATATTACAAGCTAATATAGCCTGGAGATCATATCAGGTAGGTGTTTATTATAATAATTAGAGTTTTCTCTAGAGTTGGTCTGGTGTCGGTTTTCTAACTCTAGTTCTTAAATAAACTCAGTAGATTTTGAGTCATGGTTTTACCAGTACCTTCTCTACAATTGAATTTTAAAAAGTCCTGACCATATGATGATTATATATTTTATTTTTCAGAATATATATTTTTTAACCAGACATGGAAGTTCAGAAGAAATATTTGATCTTTATTTGGATTCACCAGCCTGGGGTTTAGATATGAGACATGTTGATTTAAAAGTTAATACCAGTATATTTGTACGATGAGGAAAAACTAAAATAAGTCGTTTGATCAATTTTGTGTCAATGTTTAAAATTTGAGGTTTATTTTGTTTTTATAATTTTTGTTTCATGTATAATTATAGAAAGTTTTGATCTATAACACTGCTGACTGAAAGAATTTACTCTGAATTGAAGGTATTTTATTTGTTTTATAACCCACCTACCTTATCATCCTTGACTTGTTGAAATATTATACTTACTATATATTATTTTAATCATCTTTCTGTGTCTTATAAACATGAGAATATTTCAAAGTAAGTAAAATGCTGAGGTTATAAGAAGTAGTTCTGGTATCTGTCACAATATAATGATTAAAGTTTATACTAGTAAGTTGATAATCTATATTTATATAGAGATGTATTTTTATAATAAATTCCAGTCAACAGTGATAAAATAAAGTGCAATTTTGTAAACATGTTGTTTTTATTATGTTCAGGGTCAGGGTGAAGCAATATATTGAATTACTCCCTGTAGTTGAGGTCAGGGTGATTTATCTAATCTAGGAAGATTCCTCCCCTTTACCAGTTTCTCCCTAGTGGTTTCCCCCCAGTATATGTATTAGGACTAGTAATTACATACTATATGATGCCAAGTGGATACATTTATAAAGCAGGTCAAGGGACTAAGAGTGCAATATTTGGTAAGTTTGAATAAGTTGATCTTAAGGTTTGGTTAATCTTTTAACATTTATTACTGTTTTGTTTTGTTACCTTGGAGAATTTCCCAGAGAGATATACATACTTCAGTTAGTATATATATTTCAGTGATGACAAATTCTCAGAGAGATATAGATATTTTAATGATGTTATGAGTAATATATCAAATTTTATCTGCTAAAATTCCAACCCGTCATCAATCACCACTAGTAACATGCCGGACATGCGAACGCCTTAAATTGCCAATCTGAAATTCAAGATATTTAAGGAATTAGCTTTCTGAAAACGGTGAAATAGAAAATATTTTTTAAAAGTTTAAAATATAAACTTACTAATGATTTATTGGGAAAGTTTGATATTTGAATATTATTGTCACTATGGTTACCAGATTGGTTGCTAGATTTATTCAAGATGGCTGATGTAACTAAGGGTGACGTAGTTGTTGAATTACTCTGACTTGAACATTGTAAAACTGAACCAGATCTATAATATAAAAATAAAACCAGTGAAAAATACCAGTTATTATAAAGATAAAATAGAAATGAGTATCTTTAATATCAAAGATTGATTAAACTGGTATAAAGAAGTAGGTGAGATGTTATATTGATATGGTGATTTCTGTACAGTAACTGGTATAATATTAGTAGTACATTACCTCCCTTGATGATGTTTAGAAGTAGGTGAGATGTTATATTGATATGGTGATTTCTGTACAGTAACTGGTATACTCTGTCTTCCTCTTCTAATCTCTAATACATCATCTGTATCATCAGATAAACTGAAAATAAACAACAAATATCAGTATGTTTCTACAGCAGAGTAATCTCTTCTAAATTATTGATAGAAAATTTCTTGTGTGTTAAAATGTTAAAATATAAAACATGAAAAATTAGAAATAATAAAACACGAGACGTACCTTTCTGGCTGTAGATTGTTCAGTGTATTATTATTATTATTATTATTGGTTACCATTGGAAACGTTATTGGCAAGCTAAAACTTGGAGATTGCTGTATACCTTGTAAATAACTTTCACTTTTCATTCCTCCACCATTGCTTTCTGTATAAGAATTATAAAATTGTCATAATAATGATGAAATATGATTTTAATAGTGATATTATTCTAATAAATAAATAAATAACTTGACATCTTTATTTTCTATCTTAGTCACTTCCTGATAGATTATATAAAATAATAGAATAGTTATATTCAACTCTTACCTGTATGAGTATAAACTGTTTTAATACTGTTACCAACTAGAGTCTGAGTCAAATTAGATGTACCTTCATGTAGAGCAAGTTGAATTCTCTTGTTAAATTCTTCCTCAGTAACTGTTCTCTGTAGAGGAAGACCAGACATAGTTCGTGAGTACGGAAATTCATCTTCATACTACAGTAAAATAAATAGAAAAAAAACACTAAATCTACTACTAGCCTAAACATCAAACAAAGCAGAGAGGAAAGCATAGAATATAGATATCAAACACTAGAACTATCTGTACTGTAAGCTATATAATATATAATAGAGGATAAGAAATGGTAAGAAGTTGTAGATTTAAGCATTTTAAAGTTAATAATATTATTCTATAAAAAACAAAACAATTTGAGTTAAAACTTACATAAAGTAACAATTCCTCTTCTTTTCCTTCTTCTGATCTTCTTTGTAACTCGGCCATTCTCTAAAAATATACAATTAGTCATTTCTAATTAACTTATATCTTAACACCAAACTTTCAAATACATCTTTAATTTCTGACCTTGGACAGTGCTTTTATGAGACTTCTCATCACCATCTCACACTATTTTCTATAACCAAACTTTTGATGTGTATTAACTTGTCTATTTTCTATTATTTTAGTTGTTAAAACAACAGAACCATAGAGACTAGTAGATGTAATACAAGAAATAAGACTGTCAATTTATACCTTAGCAGCTCTCTCCATACTACGTTCTTCAGTGAAACACGGTAAACCTCCGTTTGTTCTACCTTGATATTTACTAATAAATTGTTGGTTAGTTACAACTTGTTCTAATCTCTTTATGTTTCCCTGGAGTATATAGATATACCAGTAGATATCACTAGTTTGATATTATTCATCAGAGATTTTAACACACTTTCATTTAAAACAGCCTCATTGAAAGATAATAAATAGTAGTTATATATAAGATATGGTGATAATACTTACTGTGTTAGAGGTGAATATTAGTATAAGATAAAACACAATAAGAAAACAAGATATTGATCTAGTCTAGCACTATGGTCTATTTATATATATAACACATCATCAGGTTATAATAAAACACGTTTAATATCACAAATACTGAGGTTTATGATTTGGGGTAAAAATCATATAAAAAATAATAATCTCTCCAGGTGTGATTGGTTAATAAATAAGACCGATGAATATCTAATATTTCATCTTGAGACCTCAATACTTGTCGATTAAACTCAGGTCTTCTACAGTTTGAATCATCCAATGAAATCTGTTTCTGCGGCAGACATTTTGTTTTTAGTTTTCGTGGTGGCATTTTAAAACAACAATAATCAGCATCATCAATTTGATTTTGGTTACTATGACAACTAAAACTAGCAGCTTTAGAAAGTTTGTCTTTAGTTCTGGAAGTAATCCAGGGAAATTGACTGTTGACCATATTAGGAAGTAGTAAGGTACTAGTCATATTAAGTTTAAACTGTTTTGGTTGTATCCAGTGTTTATCTAATGGTTTATTTAAACTTTGAATCCTCCAGTTTAATCTCCTCTATTTTAGCAGCAGGAAAATAAAAAGAAAGCAAAGTTAGAGAAAGAAGGCTGGTAATAGGTAGAATTTAGATTAATCAAATATTCTTCTTTCTGTACAAATAGATATGTGAACTCTCATAAATCAACAAGCAAACTACAACTGACTAAAACTCCTACAAACTAAGAAATTTTGTTCCAAGGTTAAACCAAATGATTACAGAGATATGATTCTTTACCAACATTTTCTCAACTCAGAAAAACTTTCAGCTCCTATTTGTCTCAGTAACTAAAAATCAGCTCTAGTCTATTATTATAAAGCTTAGTTTAAAAGCTTAGTAAAGAAGCTCAGGTCAAAAGAGAATAGCTAGCAGATATCTACAAGTTTCAACCAAACATACCTGTTGTTTTTTGACTGGATTGATACCAGAAGTTACCTCAGTTTTAGTTGTCATAGAAACAGAACCACGTCCAGTTATAACAGGAAGTGCCTGTTGGGTGCAAAAATACAAAGATAGTGAAAAATAGGTGCTGATAATGTAAGTTAAAAAAAGAAAGTTTGATAGTTGTTTCCAGGGTTTAAAACATGTTAGACTTGAGGAAGATTTTAATTAGACAGAATAGTCAATTATAAACTTACACAATAAACAGTCCAAATATTAAACTTACATTTCTATTACTAATAATACTGCTTTTTCTTTCATTTTCAATTTTTTTATTTTCTCTATCTCTCTGTTTTCTAGATTTACGTTTTTTCTTACGTTGTTTAATTTCTGGTGGTTTGATTTCAGGTTCTGATTCACTGTCACTATCTGATGAACTAAAACATCAAGAATTATAATTAATTATAAAATCTCATCTCCTTCATACATAATTATAATTTACACCTTGTATTAATAACAGTTATTATACTACTCCTAATGGTTATATATATAACATACCATATTATTATATTCTATTAATTAATATAGCTTACTAATGATTTCTCATAAAACACATATTAACAGGAGTGAGTAATTTTAGATTATAACTTACTCTGATTCTAACATAGCTTCACAAACATTTAACTGAGCTAAAATATTTAAACAACCATCTAAACTGTTAAGAGATGTCTCTTCTAGTATCTTCTGTTCATCTTCTACTTTACAATTATCTCCCTTTACAATCTTCTCCTGGCTTGAAGTTTCCGTTGAAAGTTTGGATGTCTGTTGTTTTTCAAGTACATGTCTACCATTTTGAACTATAAGTTGTTTTTGTGTAGCCAATGATAATTGAGTATTTGCTGTGTCGTCTGCTGTATTTAATTCTGATTGGTTGTCAGCTGGTTTATCGTTATCTGTCTGACAACCAGTACTGGAGTCTGAACCTTCCACTGATATACCAGAATCTGATACTATAAATAGAATATATATATTACCTCCCTTGAAATCAGTGACATCATTCATCACGTATTATAAAATATGATGGGTGTTATCTTACATGTTATAGACTTTCTATTTAACGTCAAACATCTAAGATATATTAAGAGATCTCTTTGTTGTTGACACACAATTGAAATATTTAAAAACCTGAAACATGTATCACATCAAATCATGTTTAGTTTCTCTGAATTAAACAGTTAATAGATACTGACCTTTCCCTGAATGTAAATCTCTTAGCTGCATGTTTTTAGGTAATAACCCACGTTTAGCTAGTATCTGATGAGTTATTGCCCTTGTTAATCCTGCTATAACTTTATTTTTATACCTGAAATTATAACAATAATAAAAATAAAAGACAATCCAACAAGCTAGACACTGAGACAGTTTTACAATAATTAATGGAAGTATTAACACAGACAGATTGAAAGGTGTGAACCAATTCAAAATAAAATAAATGAAGTTTTCTGTATCATATTGGCTTCAAGGAGATAGAGCTTATGTTAAAATATCTTACTGATAAGTTGAATGAAAACTGACTTACTCTGTATCTTGTTCCATTGTCTGATAATCTAAAACAACTTCACATAAAGTTTTACCCATATCTTCAAAATCACCACAGTTAAAATGACGACAGCTAGATCTAAATATTCAACATGTTACAATGTAAATTATTAATAAAAATCACCACAGTTAAAATGACGACAGCTAGATCTAAATATTCAACATGTTACAATGTAAATTATTAATAAAAATCACCACAGTTAAAATGACGACAGCTAGATCTAAATATTCAACATGTTACAATGTAAATTATTAATAAAAATCACCACAGTTAAAATGACGACAGCTAGATCTAAATATTCAACATGTTACAATGTAAATTATTAATAAAAATCACCACAGTTAAAATGACGACAGCTAGATCTAAATATTCAACATGTTACAATGTAAATTATTAATAAAAATCACCACAGTTAAAATGACGACAGCTAGATCTAAATATTCAACATGTTACAATGTAAATTATTAATAAAAATCACCACAGTTAAAATGACGACAGCTAGATCTAAATATTCAACATGTTACAATGTAAATTACAAGAGAAACATGGATCTGAAACAGTATAATTTAATCAAATATAAGAAAATAACCTACTTGTCAAGAATTGTACCACTAAATGTAGCTTCTAGAGTAAAACTGTTGGGTATTTTCATTTGTCTCCACATAACAACTCTACCAGTTGATTCTTTACAGCGCTTAATTTTAAACTTACACGAATTAAATGAAAACTTTTCTGGAGACTGAAATAGAAAGAATAAAAAATACAATGATGTATTAAATAACATCACTATTTTATTAGCTCATAGAAAAAGTTCATTAGCTGCTATTAACCGATATTGTTTGGATTTTGTTTTACATTTTGAATCATTAGTACTTGGTTTATTTAATAGAGATGTCTCCTAATTAAACACTATCTGATGTCAATCTTACCTTGACGGCCATCAACCAGGGAAAAACTCGATCTGATATAAAAGACTGGATAGCTTCCTGACCAGGACACCCAGACGTTTCTTTATTATTACCATACATAAATACATTCTCTTTACGACTATGTCCGTGTAGATCACAATACAGCACCACCTAGTGGAGAAAATAATAAACATAGTGTTAACTTCATCAATACTGATACTCAGAGTTTCACGCTAGATCTTCAGACAACTGACTTATATGCAGCCTAAGTCCCTACTGAAGTTTGACAAGTAGAACTTATTCTCATGTCTACATTACAAGACAAGTTCTGAACGTTTGTTTAAAGACGTGTGTTTAGGGGAATTAATGATAGTATAGTTAATGATTGTATAGTTTAGTTTTATTTGTCTAGGTTTTATCTCTACTATCAATAGACCAGGATATTTTATAATTATTATTATTCTGTTTAAGTTTCAGTTTTTATTGTTTATTTTGATTCTAACTTACCTGATTTTTCTGTAGTAAATTCTCCACCATGTTTTTAAGATTATAGATGGTAGGGAAGTTGTCGTGTTTAGGATGTCGATAATTTCTGTTTAAATCACGAGCTGCCAATGAACATCTATAATTACCTACTATAACTCCATCAGGATTTAACATAGGAACTATTTTAAATATACACGTATCACGTAACTTCTAGAAAACAAGATTGATATTTCACTAGGATAACAACTCTAGTTCAGAGAAAATCCTGTCTTCAAGCATGTTCTTAGACAAACACTAGTAATTACTCTACAACAACAATAACTTAGGTTCATCAAGATCTTGTCTACCAGATAACTTAGGTTCATCAAGATCTTGTCTACCAGATAACTTAGGTTCATCAAGATCTTGTCTACCAGATAACTTAGGTTCATCAAGATCTTGTCTACCAGATAACTTAGGTTCATCAAGATCTTGTCTACCAGATAACTTAGGTTCATCAAGATCTTGTCTACCAGATAACTTAGGTTCATCAAGATCTTGTCTACCAGATAACTTAGGTTCATCAAGATCTTGTCTACCAGATAACTTAGGTTCATCAAGATCTTGTCTACCAGATAACTTAGGTTCATCAAGATCTTGTCTACCAGATAACTTAGGTTCATCAAGATCTTGTCTACCAGATAACTTAGGTTCATCAAGATCTTGTCTACCAGATAACTTAGGTTCATCTACCAGCTGGTCCTTGATCAAACCAAATCTTTCACAATTTGATATAGCCATGTAAATGATGTATTAACTGTCTGGACTACACCCTGTCCTCTAATATAAGAAAACAAGCCTGACCTGAGCTGACTGGTGTTGACTGGTGATAAAATACAATAATCCTCTCATCATCCAACTAGCCTGGGTTTCTCCTGGGTGAACTCTAGCTGATATTACTACAAACTTCTTTCTAGTCTTTATCTCTACAATATAAATAATAATATTTCTTTAATATTAGTCTATAAGGTGTTGTAGGTTTTAATCCTTCTCAAGATAAAATAACTGAAGCTTGTGTCAGTAATAACCTCTAATACTAAAGAATTTGAAAATAGACTCACTGTTGTTAGTGACGGTAAGAAGAAAACAACTGTTACCAGCTCGTGTTTCACACAGAACTTCTCTCTTGATATATTGTTGTCTATCAGGGTCAGCTAGTAGAGTGTCCACATCTTCTTTAAGATCAGTAAACGTATAGGGGTAACAGTGAGCCATATAATAGGTATCATCTTCATGAGGAAACTCCTGAATAAAACAATGATTGAACTCTTTTAATACAGAGTGTCAATAAAATAAAAACATATACCCTTAACTCTAATAATATATAACTTAATAACTTGATAACAGCTAGTTTACCAGTCACTACACCCTATTGCCATCTTCAAATCTGTTGAAGCATCAATAACACAGGGCTTAGAAAACAGTATCATAAACTCTTACCATTTGCCACTCCAACATGTAATAACTGATACCTTTCTCTAATAAGGGACACGTATGGTTCACTATATTGTTACTATAACTGAAATAGAGACAAGTTTGATGTAGTAGGTGAGTGTATATTATAATCTGCTACACACTGAGAAATCTAACAGAATAATTCCCACAATAACTCAGTAGGCCTATAGTATTCAATCTAACTATACAAATAATAAAATTACTTAACTACAGTGATACAACTTAATATACCTAGCCCCTATCTTACTCTCTACCATACCTTACCCTACTCTAATCTTTACCCTACTCTATCACTCTACCCTACCACTCTACCCTACTCTCTACCACTCTACTCTATCACTCTACCCTACCTAATATGATGACCTGTTCTTCTCCACCCAATCTCTTCTTCTCTAGCATCTTTCTCAGAGTAGATCAGTGGTCTCATACCTTTAAAATAACAATACAATCAATATCAATATAGTGGCCTCATACCTTTAATATACAATATCAATAAATAATTAGTCAGCCATGACTGGTAAAAGCATGTTAAAACAACAGCCCTGTCATGAATGAATGAATGTAAACCTACCATAGTTATAAAGACTGTCTCGTTTGAGAAGATTAACAATTCTAAATTTATAAGTTATACCAGGGATAGCGTTAGAAACTCTGAAATAATACCACTGGGTATGTCTGTTGGTGTAAAGATCTGTACGTAATACTAGTTCATATTCAAACTGACCACTAGAAAATACATAGAAAATACAGGTTATATACCCAAAACATACTTAATACTAGTTCATATATAGTTATATGTTCAGAACATATTAATTATAATTTAAACTGATTAAGATATGCGGTGTTTAGATGAGATATATCTTACCCAATAATTAATATTAATCAACTTACACTCGTCTAGCTTGTCTTAGATTAGCACTTTCAAACCTTGATTCAAACACTAGATTAGGACAGCAACCCTCAGGTACTGGTTGAGGCAGGTAATCTCGCTGACTTCTCTCTGAATCGTAGACAATCATTATTCCACGCCACCTACCTGTGAACTGTGTGGTTTGTTTTTCTACTGTTTTTAAACTAACTGAAAATATACAAATACATTACATTGACTGGAGCTCATCTTCTAGAAATTCTATTTTCCATGATGTAGCACTTTATTCATTCAATTTTACGCAAACAGAACTCAAGATTTTTCAAATTCTAACATCTATCTATAGCATACTGATTGGTTGTATTCGCTGGCGTTCAGCAAATCGATATACAAAAAAGGTGGCTATTGTAGTCAAGATATTAGATGAAGTTGGTAATAGCTTGACATTGTGAAGATGAAGTTGGTAATAACTTGACATTGTGAAGATGAAGTTTGTAATAGCTTGACATTGTGAAGATGAAGTTGGTAATAGCTTGACATTGTGAAGACAAAGTTTGTAATAGCTTGACATTGTGAAGATAAAGTTTGTAATAGCTTGACATTGTGAAGATAAAGTTTGTAATAGCTTGACATTGTGAAGATATAGTTTGTAATAGCTTGATATTGTGAAGATGAAGTTTGTAATATCTTGACATTGTGAAGATGAAGTTTGTAATAGCTTGACATTTTGAAGATAAAGTTAGTAATAACTTGACATTGTGAAGATGAAGTTTGTAATAGCTTGACATTGTGAAGATGAAGTTTGTAATACCTTGACATTGTGAAGATAAAGTTAGTAATAACTTGACATTGTGAAGATGAAGTTTGTAATAGCTTGACATTGTGAAGATGAAGTTTGTAATAGCTTGATATTGTGAAGATGAAGTTTGTAATATCTTGACATTGTGAAGATGAAGTTTGTAATAGCTTGACATTGTGAAGATGAAGTTGGTAATAACTTGACATTGTGAAGATGAAGTTTGTAATAGCTTGACATTGTGAAGATGATAGCATACTAATACCTTCAACATTAGAATGAAAATATTCAATATAAGAAACATCATTTTTAATAAATTGTGGAGTCTCTAAAATTAATCCACGATGAAATCGGGGCCAATATGGACCGTGAGGCCAGTGTTTAATATCAGAGGGCCGACATTTATATCTAGAGATATATTTCTCTAATTCTTTCGAATATGACATAAAACTTCTTCTCTTGTGTTCTAGTTGATCATCCCTGACCGGTGCTTCCCGTAGGCTATTCTCACACCCGTATTTCAGTCTGAATAATGGTAGAAGTAGTTTAAACTGGTTATAATCCATTTTTAACTGAAGTTATATTTCGGCTAAATATCTGATGGAATATTTCACAGTCCAAATCACAAAATACATCAGAATATGACTACTGGTTCTACACCATCAGAATATGACTACTGGTCCTAGACAATCAGAATATGACTACTGGTCCTAGACAATCAGAATATGACTACTGGTTCTACACCATCAGAATAATGTTAAAGAAAAAAAGAAAAGTTTTGAACTGTCCTAAAAGAACACTAGATATTTGTTGGACTAAAAACAAATTAAATGAGATTTTCTCAAGTGTAGAATATATTAGTTTAATATGTGTTTTATATTCATTCTACCAATCCTTAAAGATATCCATTAATATATTATCAAGATTCTATCTAGGGAATACAACTCAAAAATATTCTAAACTTTTCTTTAAATGTGATTCTATCAGAGACATCTGGTTAATAGAGGCAGTAAGCACCTATTTACAGGATATTTTATTGTCATAATTATATCATAGTTGTAATAAAGAGTAGAAGAATTAGGGACATGCCACTTTAAATCATTAGAAACCTGTATTATTATTATTTGTTGTTGTGGGTAGAGACTAATTGATAAAGAAGAAGGTAAACAAGAGATCTAGTGTGTGAATATAGGTATAGATATACAGTCAGATATGACAAGTTACAGAAAAACTTGTTTATCTTACTAATGGTTCAATACTTAAATATCACTCTATAGTCTTCACAATACAATACACAATACCCTTAGCTCTTATCATCAATACATTATAAATACTAGTTATTTTGACAGGGAACACAGTCAATCTATCTGTATTTCTTTCCAGAATTAAAACCTAACAATCAGTTCTTATACAATTAATTAAACATGTAGGACCTACCACATCAGTTATGACTGTGTCCCCTCTAGTGAAAGACAGGTTTTAAATTACAGTGTTAAAGGATATGAAGTAGAGGTTTATCAAGTTAATATCAATGTTGTATATTATAATATCAGTGGTATTGAGTAGAGATATATTTCATTAAGGTGTTTTTATCAAACTAAATAAATACCAACCCTTTCTCTCTCTATACAACTCTTTATTTTATATTATTTCATGGTGGATTATCCTTTATAATAACTCTATATTTATAGCTATAGGCTTTAATTCTATATTATTTCATCATTTATAAAGTTGGATATTATGGGATATTATTACAATCCAACTTTAATCTATTATAATAAAAGACTTGAAGTATTAATAAGTGATTTGTTTTCTAACAGACTGCACCACATACTTATAGATTATTGTGGACACCCTAACTTTAATAGTTAATATAACATAATAAGTGAGAATAAGTGATAATACTAGTAAAAGGATATAAGACTAGGGACACTCTAACTTTAGTTATATTATAAGATAAGTGAAAATAAGTGATAATACTAGTAAACTAACTACAGTTTTAACAGACTGACAGATATTAAGAGATTTAACTGTGTTTTAACGCTAGAATGACTGACACAGAAAGTCAAACACAAGTAAAGAAACAAACAATAGTGGTGAGCAATTTGGAACAAAATAAAAACAACAGACAACGTTCTAGATCTATGAAAGTTGCACATCTCTATCTGTCGTCAGCTAAAATGAAGCGACGTCAAACACCAGTTGATATTTCTACACAATGTGATATTTCTACACAACGTGACAAGGATGTGAGTGAATCAAACAGAACAGAAAATACTTGACAATCAGTAAAGAAATAGGAAGAACTTGACAATCAGGACAAATTGCTGACACGATTAATAATTAGTCTCTGTACCTAGGATTTTCTAGTGTCGGTATGTGGATCCAATCAAACCTACGGTTAAAAACACTAGGCTAACACTGTAGGAAAACACTAGGCTAACACTGTAGGAAAACACTAGGCTAACACTCATGTATTGTATTGTATTGTACAGGATGGTGAAACATCTTACAACAGTGTTGTGGAAATTCTGTGAATAAAATTATAAAAATATCAAAATATTGGCACCAACCTGGTAATTGAAAATACAGTGGTTCCACTCCAAGACTGTTATTTACCAGGAACTGTGGCGCTGGATAGTATGGTACCAACTCGGACGGCCAGAATGGACCAAGTTTATTTCTCATCAAACCATATTTATCTTTATAACTTCCTGATTCATTGACATTCTCAAAACCATGGGGTAATTTTCCACTTTTTAAAGCTTGAAGAAAACCATCTTTAGTGTAAAAATGTTTAACTTTTGGTTTAATTGGTGGAAATCGTTCTAGTGTAGTACTATAAGAATCTCTGATATTTCGAATACCTTCTGAACAATTCTCTAATCCAAATACACCTGGATATTCATCTTGATTAGATTTAGAAAGTTGATCACGAAATAAATATTCAACAGGAGAAATAGTTGTTAAATTCATGACTGGGCTCTCTGATTGTAAACGTTTAAAATTTTCCTTCCATTTTTTAAATTGTTTATTTTCTGAAGCCTCGTTCAAGTTGATTAATAAATGACTATTTTGTTTTTGAAGATCTCGTTGTTTCTGCTTGTGTTCCCGCTCTTTTTTTCTCTGCATACGTTCAAGGGGTGGTGTTTCTAAGGCTTCACGAACTCTTCTGGCCAAATCATCTTCCATCTGTTTCTTGATCACTTCTGGCTTCCATTTCTGTGAATCTGAAACAACAAGAAGAGAAATAATTTGTATTATGAAAAGAGTATTATATTTTATATATTTTACAAGATAACAGAACTGTGACCTAGGCCAGTGCTTCTGAGAGTATCTCTAATAAACATGATATACCTAGAAACTAGAGAATAACACTACATGTATATTTACTGTTAGTGTAGAGGAGAAGTTCCACTGATTCCCAGAGAAGATTAAGAGAGATTATCAGGTAGATTAACCTATAAACTCTCAGCGTATAACAGTGTATAAATATAATATCAATCATATTAACTGTTATTATAATCAATATTATTCTATTCTCTATTATTCAGTTAAAGATACAGTCTATCTCTATTATTAATAATAACAATATAACACTACAGTAGAATTCTCTTTAAACTAATAATATAAAGTTAATATTAAATAGCTTGTGTTGTTATTTTTACAGGCTTCAATAGTTTCTTAACCTAAATCTATTAACTATAGACAGACACTGGCCAACTCTAGGAAGCACTGGCACAGGCATCAGAAATTTTCTTTACTTGAGGAGGATTCAACCCACAGCAACTAATCGCCTAGCAGACAACAATCCACCTGGCTACTGACTGAATTATTTCACTGTTATAGTTAAACTAACAGTCTAATGTAGGGGAGATAATATAAAACCAACCTTTCTCTACTCTCTCTTTCTTACTTTCAATCAAACGAAATACTTCTTCTCTTTCTAGATCTGATATAGTACGATGAACAGACATTTCTATTGGTTGATTTCACTCTCTTTCACTTAAACAACCAATCACAGTGTTTCGTTGACAAACCATTTAAATAGTCTAGAAAATAGAATAAATATAATCATTAACTATCAGAATTTAAAATAACTTGATGGGGATTTGAACCCATGGTGCTTATTTTCTATCAATAGTAAGATTACAAGATTAATTTTAATAAGGTACAGTAGAATTAATAAAACTAAGTCACTGGGGTGTCCATAAAAGCACAGACCAAGTTTAAATAAGGAGATTACAATAAAGATCTTCAGCTTATCTTACTAGTTTATTTTCTAACTATCTATTGATACAGGTAATTAAAAATAATTATTAAAATTAAAATAATTCAGAGATCAAACTAGAGGAAATATAAATAATGATATTAAAACTCTTTTGACTTGTTATATCTAGTGTTAATTAATAATCAATACTTTTAACCAGTTTAATAACTGATCTATAATCAATAATCAATACTAGTTAAATATTGATTATTAAACACTACAAGTTTTACTACACCTGTTAGGCTCTCTCCATAGGCTCAAAATGAAATGTTAAAGAAGAAAGTGTCAAAATATTTTCAATACAAACTGAAATAGATCACCTTCATAGTATTCTTCACAATCTAAATTCTATAACAGTAGTCAGGTTAAGACCACAAACAGAAGTTTAAAAGAGTTGTAAATCTCCAGGAATAATGTCTAGGAATGAGTGGAATCGAGTCAATGTCCTCAGTGTGACTATATAATACTAGTATAATACTATATAAACTGACAGTAAACTACTAATCAGATTAGTAAGTAATTAGCTAGTAAAATCATGTTTTATCATTCAGATCCAGTTGGTTTATAAACATCAAACACACTAGATGTTATATTTCTTACTATTATATCTTTATATAGTTATTCACATAAACTAATATTAACTGGTACAGTATTATCTTTCCTGAGTATTATTACACAATGTTTCAACAATTTACACTTCTGTTTATTAATAAATAATTTCAGTTGAATTTGACAGTTTTCCCAGTTATTTTGATAGTTGGAGACCAGGAATGTATTTTATATGAAGAGTAATGTGTGTTAGGAGGGAGTGGAGAGTGGTGACAGGTGTCTCTAGGAGAGACAATAAAACATTGATTACTAGTAACAACTCTTATCTTACTTCTTCACAGACTAATTTACTGATATTAACAACTATTATTTACTGTTATCATGATCTTATATTAAATATACTAATTTCCTACTATCTTTCTTCAATAACTTCACTGTATTTCATATACAGACCACAATCTAACATGTTCCCTTAACTCATAGCTATTCTACTTCCATATTGCACCTTCAACTTTCAACACTGTCACATATAGAACTAGACCTGGCCATGTATTCTCCAAACGATCTTAGAGCTAGGATGTCCTAAGTTCTTCTAACACTGATTCTAGGATGTCCTAAGTTCTTAACTTCTAAAATTGATTCTAGGATATCCTAGGTTCTTATCTTCCAACATTGATTCTAGGATATCCTAGGTTCTTATCTTCCAACATTGATTCTAAGATGTCCTAGGTTCTTATCTTCTAACATTGTTTCTAGGATGTCCTAGGTTCTTATCTTCTAACATTGATTCTAGGATATCCTAGGTTCTTATCTTCCAACATTGATTCTAAGATGTCCTAGGTTCTTATCTTCTAACATTGATTCTAAGATGTCCTAGGTTCTTAACTTCTAACATTCTAGGATGTCCTAGGTTCTTATCTTCCAACATTGATTATAAGATGTCCTAGGTTCTTATCTTCCAACATTGATTCTAGGATGTCCTAGGTTCTTATCTTCTAACATTGATTCTAGAATGTCCTAAGTTCTTAACTTCTAACATTGATTCTAGGATGTCCTAGGTTCTTATCTTCTAACATTGATTCTAGGATGTCCTAGGGTCTTATCTTCTAACATTGATTCTAGGATATCCTAGGTTCTTATCTTCTAACATTGATTCTAGGATGTCCTAGGTTCTTATCCTCTAACATTGATTCTAGGATATCATAGGTTCTTATCTTCTAACATTGATTCTAGGATATCCTAGGTTCTTATCTTCTAACACTGATTCTAGGATATCCTAGGTTCTTATCTTCTAACATTGATTCTAGGATATCCTAGGTTCTTATCTTCTAACACTGTTTCTAGGATGTCCTAGGTTCTTATCTTCTAACATTGATTCTAGGATATCCTAGGTTCTTATCTTCTAACACTGATTCTAGGATATCCTAGGTTCTTATCTTCTAACACTGATTCTAGGATATCCTAGTGCTAAGATTGTTTTGAGAATACGTGGCCAGGTTACTATAAGTAATAATTTACTGACCAGCAAGACATCAGAAGAGTTTGATAATCCTAACTTAAGACTATTTCCTCCACTCTCACGTCTCCAAATAACAACTAACTGTAACTAGAACTAGAATTAAACCTTGTGACTCCAGTAAAACTCCAGTAAAACTGTATTGACCAGCAAGACCTGAGAGAAAGAAACTACAGTAATCTCTGAAAGGACTGTCACTATGTTTCTCTTTAATCCTCTTATAGTTCTGATAGATTATAATATATTTCTATAATCAGATTTCACTTGATATATTAACATACATAATCTCTTACATCTTAATAACTTTATTATATACAGATTGATTGAGTGAATGAATGAATGAATGAATGAGTAAATGAATGAGTAAATGAATGAGTAAATGAATGAATAAATGAATGAATGAATGAATAACCAATCTTTAAAAGTGGCTGATTATTTTCAGATTTCCAAGGTCATGCACATAGGAGCTCTAGTCAGATATATCTGGTAAATACAGTAAAAAATCTAATATTACCACACTAGACTGTGTTTAATTTTAAACTGATTTATTTATGACTATACTGTGTATTATTCACTGTTAAATTAAATCAAATTATCTATGACTAGACATGACAGTCTCTGTTTTTAATCACAGACAATAATCTTGGTGGTAATATTAATCATATAATAAGTTTTTATTAGTAAATCAGGAATATTTATTATCAGAGCTTACCCTAACTAAATCTTAATAAAACAATTCTCACATACTAGAAACAAAATAACTACTGTAACTATAAACCTTATTCTGTACTGATCCAGTGTTTTATATCCACTTTTTATAAAAAATCCCACGTCGTCGGTAAAAATGTATATCAAATTGAAAGAAACTAAGATAAAACAGTAGCTAATGTAGTAGTGATGTATAATAATATAATATTATTCATAATCCTGTACAATCTAACCTTAATCTTTACATGTTTGATAAGGCAACTAGTCACTTCTCATATTATTCAAGTTAGACTCTCCTCTAATACATCTTCACTATATTAAACTATTATTATAAACTTAACCTCAAAATAGCCCCCCTTTCTTATCTCACAAACTTCGTCTTCACAATGTCAAGGTATTATGAACTGCATCTTATACCTTGACTGCGAAGTAGCCACCTTTCTTGTATAATGGAATGCAGCAAGTTGGCTACTACAGTCATAAGGGAATATTATTGTTTTTGATTTGATTTATCAATTATTTGATCATCTTTGTCAATGACTTGATTATATCTTGAGTTAGATGGTTCTAGTCTATATTAATAGGGGAGTCCAACTTGAAATAATAAGAGATCTGAAGGGAGGTAATATAAAACAATATGATTTATCTCAAGTTCTATTGTATTACATTGTACACAGTTCATTGATTGAATGATATAATAAATCATATAATGAATGAATGAATGAAGTTGATATCAGTTGGATAGATTGAAGAATGAATAAATATGATATTTTTGAGATGTGTCTTAATTAATAGTTTTATAATCAAATGTTGAAAATATCTGTTTCTATCTACTTCCTGTTAATATATATATATGTTATTATCAATATCATTACTATATACAGACAGGCTGTGATTTTATACTGACTTATATAAAGCACAGGGTAATATAGATATTAGGGGAAGAAAGCTGACATGGAAGCACTGGCGCAGGCATCAGAATTGTTCTTACCTTAAGGGGGATTCAACCCCATGGCAACTAATTATCTAGCAGAGGAGACAATCCAACTGGCTACTGTCTGAGTTAGGTGTTGTTGTATTTCTATGGTATTTGTATAACAATGTAATAATATTATATCAAATAACATATTGTAACCAATGATTCTTTCTACTTGATTAACTTCTCACAACTTCTATAACTTTATTAATCTCTTTATATAGTTTCATAATCCTCTAACAATATACCCCTACTAGCCTCTACTGTCTATTAGCTAGACATGACTGGCAAATACAGATAAATCAATAGCCCTTGTTTCTTCATAACAAACAGCTAAATGAGTTATCTACCAACACAACTAAAATCATTCTTTGATAAATAAGCTCTTTTATATTTTTAGCTGGACATGACTGGCAAATACAGACAAATCAATAGCCCTTGTCTAGTCTGTACTATAAAATATGACTGTCAAATCTATGGTAAAGCCATGTAGTCTGCAATGAGGGAAATATTAACATGATAGCTGACACATATTGAATTATACTCTTGTTTGAAACTGGTATGGAAATGGGGTTTAAATTCTAACGAACTAATGAAACTTTCAACACAGGAGTCAGGATTCAAAACTGAGAAAATTATTCAGTACATGTAAGCTAACTTGTCACAGCAGGTCAAGTTTCAGGAAGCAAAACATCAAACATGAAGTCAGAATAATACAAGGCTATAAGTGTCTGAATGCTGTTTGAGAAATACAGGCCATCATCAGGACAGATATATAAGACAAGGGATATAAGAAATAGAAGAATTTATAACTATATTTTATATGTTCTATATACAATATTATAATTATAATAAATGGAAGTTAAATTCTCTTTGGTAGTTGATTAACTATCATACTTTCAATAGTTTCAAACACTGTATGAGGATCTTGGTCAGCATTAATATGTTGACTAGCTTCATAATAATCAGTTAATTCTTCATAGTAAGCATGATACTGAGCTAAACGTTTTTTAACATGTTCTTCTTCATCTTTCTCATGACGTTCTAGTCTATCTTTAATATCTTGTGTTCGGGGAGGGTTATACAATAGATGATAACGTTCTCCTGTTATAGGATCAGTATAACGTTGTGTTAGACGTTCAATAACAGAATCATTTGGAACGTCCAGAAAGAATATTCTATTAGGAACAAAGCCTTGTTTTTCCAGTTGTTCCCCTTGTTCTCTAGATAATGGGTAACCATGGAGAACCCAGCCTCGTGTAACACAATCTAACTGACCTAATCTATCTTTAACAATACTTAAAACAATTGTATCAGGTACCATATTTCCCTTCCGAACGTAATTTTTGGCAGCTTTTCCTGATTTAGTTTCGTCAGCTATGGCTTGTTTTATCAAATGTCCACATGAAATGTTAACTAAATTATATTTAGAAGCCAAGAGAGCTGCTTGTACCGCCTTACCACTACCAGATGGGCCCAGTAACACTATCCTGGGGGTATGGGGGGTGGGGGAACGAGCTTGTGAACAAATAAACGTGAGAACTTGAGCGAAGACATCTGCTTTCGGCTGATCAGCGTTGACAGTTTGAAGAACGGCTCCAAAACAATGTTTAAGACTCTCAATATAACGATGATATAAAATCAATTTCTGGACCATTTCTTCTTCTGTGTAACCCTCGGCAACCACCAGACGATCTTGTATTTCTTGGTTACTAGGCCAGTTGAAGGTTGTATGATAAATATCACCAGTTGTAGGATCAACTCTCTTACCAGAAGCTCTCTCTATTAGAACAGTATCAGGAGCTTCTAGGATAACACAATGTTTAGGATAAAATCCTCGTTCCTGTAGACCCAGAGCCTGTTCACGCGTCTGTGGAAATCCTTCCATCACCCAGCCTTTCTTAACACAATCAAATAGTACCATTCTTTCTTCTATAATCTTCATCCATAATTCTGTTGGTACGGCCTTTTTCTTATTGATATAATTCAATGCTTCTTCACGATGGCTGATATCAGCTTCTGATATTAGATTCTCCATGGTGATATGAGCTGCTCTTGTTTTATTACAAATCATCTTCCCGATGGATCTCTTCCCAGCTGCCGGGGGACCTAGAATTATTATCTTGGGGACATCATCATTATCACGTTTTAGTAAATCTATCAGGAAGCTGATTGGTTCATCAGGTTTGTGAACAAGTAGCTGTTCTAACAATCGTTGATACATATCAAATACACCATGTTCTTCAGCGTAATACGCAAACTCTGGTGGAATCAACAAGGGGCGTTTAGTTTCATCCATGTCTATGAGAATTCCAATCACTCTTCCAGAATATAAAAACTTCAAATTCAGTTTTACTCAGGTTTAGTTTTCTCTCAAATACAGTTCTGTAGAACAAAAGTCAAGTTGGGTTGTTTTTTTTAACCAGTACACACCTTCCTGTCACTGTATTTAGATAAAACGTTTGTTATATTTCTATATAGATCAGTTTAACTACATATCTAACTAACTGTGACTTGGTGACAACACAATGGCAGCCATGTTGTTTATAAATGGCCGACCGTGGTAACTAGGTGATAAGATGACATTTAAGTAGCTTTACTCTATTGTCAATACAGGCTATTATAATAGGGGTTGTTTAAAGGGACACAAGAAGGTTTTATTTAGAAAGAGGTTGTATTGATCAACTGGAGTAGATTTAATTTAAAGAGAGGGTTTGACTTCTCACAGATCTTTAAGGCTCTCTCACAATGACTGACAAAAGCACTGGCTGTTGCATCTGAATTTTACATTTCTAGAGCAGATTTGAACCATCAGCACATACTGGTCTACCAAATATACAAGTTGGTTTCTATAAGCTACGGTCTTAAGCTTAAAAGATTCACCAAACATATTTAACCTTCATCAAGGTCATCATCAGAAATATGCAGCCTATCATATTGTGTATGTTGTTAGATTTTGTTTCTGTTTTTGTTAATTGGACTTACATATTGGGCTATTATAGTAGTACCGTATGTTAATTGGACTATTGTTGTGTTTTTACCTATGTAACTAAAGAGTATGAACTGGATGAAAATTAACAAAAACAACTTACAACTGATATGATGATGGTTCATATTTTAATCTTCTTCTTCTACCTTGACTGTGATGAACCTCACTAGTTTCAAACAGGAGTTCATGTACTTTCAATAACTTACAGTATAAATCCAACATCTTATTGGCACTTTCTGGTTTTCTTCTGGAAATTATTAGACAAGTGTCAGTGGTATGTTTAAGGTCTCTTTCATACAGGATATTTCACCATTATATGATGCATTTTACATTCATAACATTGTGCAACTTATATTTTTCAACTTTGCCAGCATCTTGTGGACTCCATCAGATGAAATCTGTTGGCTTATGAGGCCTCCTGACCTCAAGGGGATCTTGTCTTGCAAAGACTTGGCCCCCTTCCCCTCTTCCAGGCTATTCCCACATTCGCTCCATGTGCCAGGTAATGCAATGTAGTGTACAATGAGGGAAATGTTGATAGGTGTTTGGGTTGGGTGACCCTTGTAGCAGTTAGGGTGTGTGTGTGTGTGTGTGTGTGGGGAGGTCGTGCTTAAGTTCCCTGCCCCACCAATCCTAGGATTCGGAGGCTTAAATTCCAAGAATGGACACCAAATTTTACGAGAAAATCCAAAACATTACCTATCAAGTAGGGCCACATGGAATTCAACGTGATAGCGTCTGCTACTGAAGAGTGCACGCGAAACGATGTATGGGAAGTAACTCTAGTCACATTTTAATTTTTTCAGACCACAGTAAAATAGTCAAATTTAAAGGCATTTACACAACACACCCCCTACCCAATTTTACCCCCTAAATCTCTTCTAAAGATCGACTTTCTGCTCTTTCCCGACCCTCCTTTAAATCTCTCACCTGTTAAAACTTCAGTAACCGACTGTCATCAGTTTAAAATTAAACTAAGTGTAAAAACTCAATTGATGGCCTAGATGCTTCCTATGTTCCTTAATTCTCTCCTTCATGTTCCAGGCCCCACCCCACCCAATCTCAAAAACAAGAACAAGATTGTGATGAACATATTTTTATTCCCACATGTACACAACAATATGTAGTAAGACATATTTATATTTAACACATTAGAAAAATGCAAAAAATTAATTTCCTACCAACTGACCACAGTGACCAGGATGACACGCCGGCAGCAGAGGAAGTGATACTGAGCAGATATAATTACAGACAGAAAGAAGAGTTTTAATTGGATTGTTTCTATAAATTAGGTCCACTGATAATCTACTAGTAATATAGCCCTGGTATATCAGATAGACTTTGATCAATATTCACTATTCAGGTTGATAAAGCAAGTTGCTAAGTGTCATCAGGTGGTAATAGTGAGTGATAACACCCTACCCTACTCAGGTCTATACTACCAGTAGATTACATGTCAAAACTCAAGTTAAATCTATAGCAATATTCCAGTCATGAACAATTTTATACAAATGAAAGTTTATGATATCAAGGGAGGAAATTTTAACAGCTACCTCGGGCTGTTCTGTTTGCTGTACATACTTTACTATATAACAAAATTGGCAGCTTTTTTTCTTAATTTACACAGAAATTTACAGAATTTATAATAAATGGGTGTGTTAAAGGTGTCGTACCATTTAATAAGGATCAATATCTGATGACTAAATGGTACTATCTCTTTAACAATGACAGCTGAATGTAATAATATTGTATATATATTGTACATCTAATAGTTCAATTAACTCTCTACTAATTAGATATCTTGTTAACTCATCACAGTCAAATATAATATAGCAGATAACTTTATAACCTGAGTTATTAACAATAATATCAACTAGTCTAGAGTTAATATTCACCAGTCTATATTTCTATCATAATATATATATATATATATATCTATATACTTAGTAAAATACAAAAAGCAAAGAAATGAAACAAAATTTTCTAGACTTGACATTATTTTGAAATTTATCAGAAAATATTTGAAAAGGATGAAGTGAGAATACTTCACTAGAAAATACTTAACTTCATTTTAATAAGAAATATACCAGAAGTCATTTTTCTTTTTTAAAATTCTAATTTTTCTAATTTTCAAAATGTTTTTTATCAAATTTTATATAACCTTCCAAATAAAACTTTAAAACAGTTAAACCTCAAAATAATTCCAAGACAAGAAGAAAATAATGATAAGAAAGAAGCTAGGATTATTGATAAAAATCACACAAATAAAACAAATGATTTGATGTTCCTACAATGTCTAAGATTTCATTGATATATGAAATATAAAGTGAAAAATATACAATATCAAGCTTAATATAGATTTACTAATTTAACCCCAAATATATCCAGCGTTATTAATTAGTGAAAGATAAACAACTACTCATATTTTTACATTTTCTTACTTTGTTTCCTACACATTTCTCATCATCAATTTAAACTCATCTTATTTCTTGATTATTACAACCTGAACTTTCAATTAACTCTTCTACCATTTCTACTGACTCAGTAGAAATATTGAAATATCTTGGAAACAAAATATAAAACGTTATAAATGGGAAATAAAACAACGACAAAGAAAATAAAGCAAACAAACAATAAATGATGATGAAAAAGTGTAATATGACACACGGAAATCTCTAAATGACTTGAAAAAAAAAAAAATTACCTTCACCAAATGATACAAAACTCTGACAAAAAGCTGGCCACATTTTAAACTACAAATAACTCTATTGTAGAGTAGCTTTTTATCCTCAAAAGCAAGACAAAAATAATAAAAACTTTTCTCCAAAATTGTCCCTGTTTTCTCTAATATCTGGCAAGAATAATTTAACTTTTAAAAAATTAACAAAATTTCAATGTAGATGAACAACTGAAAGAATTAGAATTTTCTCAATATTTCTAAAGAGAAAACCACTTCCTAATCTGACCCCAAAAAAACTTGATTAAATTAACAAAACATAAATAGAAAAAAAATAAACCCTTGTATCTTCAATACACCCAGGGGAAGCAAAGTTTCAACATTTCCTATGAAAATTAACAACAGAAATAATGACAAGTTATTAGAAAGAAAACATAACTAATGTGATATCTAGCATGTTAAGAGCTGTACAGGCTGGTGTGAGATATTTTATAGTGAATTTATTATAAACAAAATCTTAATACGTCATATAGAAACCTGTACAATATTTGACTTAATAAAAATATCAGAGTTGTTATTCATTATCTTCTCTTTAACTACAATAGAATCAGTTTTATAATATAACATTTCTTTACTGTTAGAGTTGATTTTAATTTTTATAGAATAATATTCACTTATCTTACAACTAAAATAGTTTTACATCCTGTGGGTTAATAAAGACTGGAAACAAGAGAATATAATGAATAACAAGTAAGATATTTTACAGACTATATATTTTAAAGGTAGCACTTTCATTGGACTTGTTTCTTTATTTTTCTATACATTAATTATACAACTGTACATTTGGTTTCCATTATTTATTCACAATTCTACTTTTTTTTTTACAAAATTCTTTATCTTTATTAACATAATAAAAACTATCAAAATAATTTCAGAAAGCTTTCTGCTTTTATAATAGCTTGATTCCATTATTTTATTATTTCTTATAGAAACTTGTTATTTATTACTTTTTATTTAATAACAAATTTACTCTGAATTTCAGATTTACATTATAAACTTTTAATTATTTTTCTAGTAAAATATGACAGAAATTGATTTGATTTGATCATGAATATAAGATAATTAAAGAATTTCCAGATATTTTGATAAAATAACAAGTTATAAAATATAAGAAATAATAAAATAAGAGAAATTAGCAGATCTATGAAGAATGAAAACTGAATTAATGAAATGAAAGTATCCTAGGGATATTATTTTAATTTCTATACAAATGATCATTATTATAATCTTCTGTACAATTTGGTCGTTACTCGTGAAGATTGAAGAAAAACTATCAACATGTTATAATATATATTGATGAATATTTATAATATTATTACTCTTGTTATGTTATCTTAAAGATTCCCAGTCATATTGTATTTTTACCCTATATAATAATAATTCATCAATTTTAACAGTTTTCTAATTTCTAAAATAATATTTAATTTTAGTATTTTATAAAAGTTTTTAATCCAGATTAATTTGGTGTCAGTTTTTCCTCAATCTATGAGTATAATTTCTAGAGCGAATATCACTGGATAATCTGATATATCACTGGATAATCTGAAGTTTATTTACACGATGTTTAGATAATTAAATTGCTCTTAGAGGCAGTGGTTGTGAAGTTTATCTTTATACAGTTCTTACAGTATATATAAGTTAATTTTACACGTTTCTCCTTCTATATCTACCAGACTTATATTTCACAAAAACTTGACTAAAATATTCTCATACTAGTATAATACTACTGTTAATTTCAGTTAATATTTAGTATATAACTATCTATATAATACATGTTTTAAATGTTCATATCATGGTCTATAAACAGAGTTCAATTTCTTAATTAATAAAGACAGAAAGTCTAATTTTTGTAAAATAGAAGCCTGGAAATATTAGTGTGAAAATATACATTATTTTAAAAGGAAATTTTCTAAATTTACAAAAGGTGACAAAATAAATTGAGAGAAAAATATTGGCACAATTCTTTGACAAAAAAAAACTTCAAATTTGGTAGGAAAAGTTATAGTTTGATATCTACATTGTGTTTTCTTATTTTATGATAAATTTACACCTATAAACAACTCTTAATGGACAAAATATAACCTTAAACATCTAGTTGGCTTTGAAAACATTTATATTAAATTTGACCAAAGCCAACCAGATGTTTAAAGTTTCTAACCGAAGTAATAAAATTGTACAATATTTGAGTGAATTTGAGAAAAAACATGCGAAGAGAAAACATTATTATACATTATTACAACTTTGAAAAAATACAATGTCCCAAAAAACACATGCCAAATATACATTCTACTATTATAGCTACTTACAAAATATCTAATTTACAAACAAGACTAATAATAAACAAACTTAATCTGATTCTTTACTCTTTTTATACCCAATCTTATCTTATAAAACTCTAACATGTAGGTCCCTCTATTCCACTTGAATGCAACATGGAATTAGATAAAGCCACGCCATTAACAATGATGTTTTTCAACGATTTTAGCTTGGAATAAATCATGTCACTAGCTGACTGAAGATATTAGTATAAAAAGAGTAAAGACACCAACTAGAACTATACAAGGCACTATCAAGCTAAATAAAGACTATAGTTATATAGAGATAAAATACTACATCTTAGTCTACCCTGATATCTTGTCTGGATCTTTCAATATCTCTTATATCAACCTCCTTCATCAAATATAATAATAAAATCAGACTCGTGTCTACAGACTAGTTATCAGGGTAGTAAACCAAGATGAAGAATAGTCAGCAAAAAACACACCATATATACCATAATACAAACAACAAGAGAGAAAAAAAATATATTTTTATAATCATTTGATGTACTTTATCATTATATTCAGTTAATATCAGATGAGAATACAAACTCTAATATCTCAACTTGAAATATAAATAAACACAGTACATCAAATCATTGTAAAAATAAGGTTTAAAAAAAGACCTCAAAAAAGGTCACCAATTTTCAAAACAAGGTATCGCTTTAAATTCTACTTTTGATTTCAACTGCGATACAAAAAACAGCCAAATCATACCCTTCAACTTGGGGTACAAAAACAGCCAAATCATACCCTTCAACTTAGGGTACAAAAACAGCCAAATCATACCCTTCAACTTGGGGTACAAAAACAGCCAAATCATACCCCTCAACTTCGGGTGGAAAACAGCCAAATCATAGCCTTCAACTTAGGGTAGAAAACAGCCAAATCATACCCCTCAACTTGGGGTACAAAAACAGCCAAATCATACCCTTCAACTTTGGGTGAAAAACATCAACCATGAACTTTAAGGTTATATGTTACCCAACAAGAAAACAAACTTCTACATTTTAAAATAAGCCTGAAGTTTTCATTTAATTTCTATTCTATCTACATCTAAAATTTGACCTCAACTCTCTTATTTTAAAGTCGATTCTAATTTACCATTAACAAAACAACTTCATTGATTAACCATTTAAATTAATTTTATAATTCAAATTTACAATTTCTTAATTTAGAGACAAATTTTCCATAATTCAAAATAAATTTAACATCTGAAAATGGACAAAATTTACACAAGTTTTTTCTGAATATTATTTTACAAATTGTAGAATAAATTTTTGATGTGTGATAATTCAAGATTGTGATGAACTTGGTGAAAAAACCTGTGTATTATACATGTAAATACAATATAAAATAATCAACATTTCTACACAATATCTCTCCTAGTTCAACATCAGAATCAGAATTATTAACTATCAGAAATTAACGAAAGTTTCAATGTTACGCTAACCCACCATTGGTAGGCATTCCAATAGGACCTAAATCAGGATTATTTTTCAGAAAGAATTTCTCTAATTTAGCTAGAATGTGTTTACCATATGTATATTTACGTAATGTAGCTATATGTGGGCGTATCTTGTGCATGAGAATTTTACGTTGCGGAGGTTCGGCTACGTCTATCATCTTCTGTACAACATAATTAGCAAATTGATCTTTCATCATTGTATATAAAGAACTGTGATGTCTGAAATATAGAATTATAAATATACTATTACCTGGTATTAGTTACCAATAAGAGATTCATCCAATGTCTATTACTTCTTATAATACACTTTTTCTTCACGTTGATTGGCTGACAGCAGTGTTAAATGAATGAATATTTAGAGCAGAGATTTTAGACTGAAGTGACTATATTAACAGAAATATAAGAGAAAGTTTAATAACTTACCCATCATTTAAATTACAAACTTCATCTATTAATAATGCTTTTTCAGCTCGTGATGAATGAGAAACACATTTCTCTACCACATTACTGAAATTATAATATATAAACAATAACCCATAATATTTACAGTCTTTCTGTCCAGGTCTCTGATTGGCTGTATTTCCTGGAGTATAATCCTGTCAAATCATTGCATTCTGTCATACAAGAAAGGTGACTAATGTAATCAAGGTATAAGTTTGTAGTAGCTCAACTTGTGAAGATGACAACATGGTGGATAATCTATCTTGTTGTAAGTTATATTAGTATAAATATAGTGTAACCAACCTGGCAAATTTATGTTGACTGAGAAGAAGAACTTTGCCTCTAATCATACTAACTATACGTGATTTATCTTCTGGTCGGCCATGTTCTAATACGTGTTGTATTACATAATTACCATATTGATCTTGTACTAATCTCTCAACCTGTACATTGATTATATTTAATATAATAGTGACATGGCATCACGATTTTTAAAACTATTTAATAAAACCTTCATCATTACATAGGACAGAGAGAGATTGTAAAGAGGTTTCCTCAATTTTTAATCAGATGTCTGTGGTTCTTGTTAAAGAGATTGTAAAGAGGTTTCCTCAATTTTTAATCAGATGTCTGTGGTTCTTGTTAAAGAGATTGTAAAGAGGTTTCCTCAATTTTTAATGTGAATCGGGGACAGATAGCATCAATTTACATCATTCTAATGTTACATCAGATGTCTGTGGTTCTTGTTAAAGAGATTGTAAAGAGGTTTCCTCAATTTTTATGTGAATCGGGGACAGATAGCATCAATTTACACCTTTCTAATTTACATCAGATGTCTGTGGTTCCTGTAATTCTACTAAACCTAAGTATCTGATGACTATAGATTTTAAGTGTGTGATAATAGGTAAAATGTAAGAGGTACCTGATCATGAAGTTCATCTAATATAGGTGTGGTTTGTTCAGCTATACAATGTTCTAATATTCTCTGTATGACACGACAACCATAGGGATGAGTTGACAGTGTATAGACCTATAAATATAGTATATTAATATAACACAGGGGCTATAACTCTATAACTTATAGTCACATAGCACTCATATTCCAACACATACTTCCACAACTAGAATACTTCTACCAGAAAGTTCATCATTATTCTGAATAATAAATTCCACACTTCTGATTGGATAATGTAGCAACTCTAAAATTTATCAACCAATCAGATTTGAGTTGTCATCAATGTTAAAGAATATAACTAAACGTGTAAAAAGTAGAAAGATTACCTGTCCTTTAAAAGCATCAATTATAAACTGAAGATGTTTAGGTTCAACACACTCGATACATTTCTGTACAACATGGTTTCCATTTTGATCTTTCACACATTTCAATACATGACCATCTAATTCTTTTAAAATCTCTACCTAAAATTCAATATTATATCATCAATATTTATACTGTTCACTGTTCTTTTATAATATATTCTGAATACCTGCTAGTAGCTCAATATCAATATCTGTATTCTGTCATTTCGATCTTAACATAGTAATCTATGAAAGCACATGGATTTGACAGAATCCAGTCCACAACCAATACAAGATTAGGGGACTGGGATTATCTACAATGCTGTGGAATGGAACAAGTCAAATCTTTCTTTAAAGATGTTCGTGTACCTTTTGCCACATAAAAACAGTCCAGGAAGGGCTGTCGGCATTAATGGACAAGATAGTATTAGTTTAGAATAGGAGAATATCCAAGCTAATGTAATAAACCTGATTGTACCTGCATGTCTGATGGTATAGACTCTAGAGCTTTCTGTATCACTCTACAACCATACATCTGTAACGCTAACGGTAATACATGACCTCTGACTCTCTGAGCTAATGTATTCTTCTGATCAGCTGATCCAAACTCAAAGAATTTCTGTATGACATAGTTTCCAAATACATCAGTCATTAAACTATAGGCAGCTGTTAATATCTCTGTAAATACCATAGCTTTTTCTTGAGTTGATGCTCTTTCTAGTTTCTGTTGTATAAATCTACAATATTACATAGAAAATATTTTAAATACAAGACTATTCTGTTTGGAATTTAATCTATAGGATTAACATAACACAACACTGGAGGGTAATGTATCACGTGATGTTTAATACAGGACAATATCAAATAAAATACTCACCTTGAGCCGTGTTGGTCCTGTGAAAATTCTACCACATGATTCACTAAGTCTTTTAACTGTAAATTGGGGATACGATTGTTACGAAAATCTTCTAATAGACGACTTCTTCCAGTCACTTCTTTAGATAAACTTGCACTGAAATAATACACAGGATAATCTAGACTACCAACAAATAACAATAATAGTATACTTTGTATAATTAAATGGTGAAATTTATAATTGATATTGATCATATAATATTGAATGATCTTTGATATTTATCCAGTTTGTCACATGATTAATGCCTTTACACACCAATAATACTAGTGAGACTAGGGTTGAATTATCTAATAAACATCAAGAGTTACCTACCTTCTAGACGCCATGTTTCTATTCTGAAATAAAGATGTATTACCAAACAGACCATTAGCTGGAGACATCAGACCAGCTCTATATTTAGCTTCCGCTCCTGGAGCAGCAGAATACGGACGTGCGGCACCAAAACCTACAATATATAACAATAGTTAGTGAAATGACAATCAAAGACAATATAGAGATAAGGGGGAGATTTTTCATCAACAAGAGACACAGACTAAAGGTTAGTAAACTAACTTAAAAACTTGGGGAGATTACTTACCAACATTGACAACAACTGACTATTATAAAACTAAATGTCAAGAACCTACCTAATGTGAGATTCGAGGAGGATCCAGAAAGAGAAGGGGGTGGGGTCATAGACTGACCAGGTTGTAATAATCCACCATGGCCTACAGGTGATCCGGCCATACCCGATAATGACCCATAATAACCACCTAGTTGTCTTTTAACATCAAATGACTCTCTTCTTTGACCTGAAAAACAAACAGACTGGTTAATAAACAATTATAGACATGCTTATCAGGGCTGATTTTTAATTAATATCTAGACTAGACTAGGTCAGTCAGGTACTGTTTAATATGTACATACTCAGTCTTATAATCTGGTGCTGGTTAAGTTTTGATTTGCATAAACATAATGAAGACATAATAAATTGTAGAAATGAGTGTATTTTAACGTTAAGATTAATAATATATATTAAGTGAGAGTCTGGTATTAATAACTTACTGACTCTAATCTACCTACTGATAATTATTATTATCACTGTTAATAATAACTATCACAGACCAGTTATAGAGTCAGTAAGTTTTATATTAATAAAAAACAGAAAGTGAAAGAAATGGGCTTAACCCAACTTTGTAGTGAGACAGCCTCAACTTGGGTTTTGATATCAAAATAAAAATAACTTAAAAACATACAGAAACACAGGAAAATTCTTCCATAAAAATCTAGATGTTTTTACATTAAAATATTGATGTTTCTATTATTGAGCTAGTGTTAATCAAACGCTTTGATATTTATAACAAACTAGTTCAATATTATAAACATCTTAAACATAAAATATACAAGTCAGAAAGATATAACTAAACTAAAACTAAATAATAAAGTTGGTATACTAGTAGAGCTACAATAAAACCTACCTATAATACCACTGTTAGTATTACCTATTGCCAGCCCATCTAACCCATTAGTATTATTATAACCAGCAGCCGCAGCAGCGTTATTTTGGTGTGCTAGGGCTAGATTGGTAGAAATAGGTGTATACAGGCTAGGGGTGGCCTGTGTATAACCGAGACTTGTTGATGGGCTATACCCTGCAAAACATTACACCTTTCTCTCAATATCTCATAACAATTTCATCAAATATTATACCAATCAATTTTCATCAAAATAAATCAAAAAGTTATTCAATTTGTCTATCAAAATCTTAACAAGAAATCACTAGAATAATCTATATTTTCATCAAACATACTGATAATTTCTATATAATCAGATTTCTTATCAAGTTGAAGTTTTTTATAATTAATATAGATAAATACGAAGGTTTCTAATATTATATATAAGGTATATATTCAAAGCTTTATAACTCTGAAAGCTATATAATAATATCTGCTAATATATAAACTGAAGCCAGGTCAGATATCATTTGTCATGGTTTTTATAGAAAATTGGTAAAAAGGAAGGCAAGTGAATTTAGTGGCTGTGCTTTTTCTCTTTAATTAAAAATAGTTAGTAGCAAAATGTTACAGGCATATTACATTGTTAATTTGCTTTCTATCAAGACTAGAAATAGACAAACTAGATCTAACACCCCTCGACTCTATATGAACTCTTCTTGTTATAGATATATTAAATATATATCTAGAAGAATTCATTTATTAATCAAGGTGTTTTAAGATATCAGTCATTCTATTTTCAGTTGTGATGATACATGCATATTAATAAGCCATGTTAATTTCCCCAAACCAAGCCAATATAGTCTATCTCAACCTGGCACACTTTGTTTTGAGAACATTGTCCAATACAAGTTGTTATGGTTTCCTTAATTTTAAAACTTGATAGCTCATGGAACAACAAAACCATCAAATTAACATAGGGCTGGTAAAATACACCCTAATTTCCAGTATTCTCATCACAAAAGGTGCCAAGAAGTCATTAGTAATTTTTTTGACAAGGGAGGGTTATCAGGTGATCTATACAAGTTCTCTGGTAAATAAGAGCATGACCTGACTATTTTAATAGTTAGAAAGAGCATGCCCTCTCACCAGGGTTCAATTAAACTGTATTGAATTGTAGTTGGTGAGTCAAAATGACTGTAATTTTATCAATGTAAATTGAACCCTGGCTCTGACTGTTATCACAGTAGTTAACATGATATACTGTACATTATATAAATCTCTACTCACCCATACTGTTATTTTGAGAGGTGGATGTATTGCTGGTCATAACAGGGGGGGTGGGCACCTGTTGGGTCTGGGTGGTCAATAATCTTAGTGGGTTATTACTTCCTACAATATAACACGTCAACATTTGATATATCTACATCTAGTCAGTATTTCATTATGAACAGTGATATCAGGTGTCTAGAAGAGTAACCATACTCTGTCTGAATATTAAATACAAATGTTAGTAAATGTGGTAGAAAGCTGGAATATCCTGGTAGAATAAAATATAAAATCTTTACCTTGTTGATTGCCACCTCCGACTAGAACTGGGGCAGGGGAAACAAGACGTACAGGTGTTCCCATACCACGGGGATTACCCACTACCAACTGACCATTCTGATCATAATAGGCTGGGGTCAGGATCTGATACGGGGCATCTACAAAATAACAATATTTATATACTTTCATTTTCTTATAAAAAAAAAAATGATTTCTTAAATAATATTACTATTAACTATCAGGTTTCTATTAAATATAATACACATCACAATCAAAGATTTCAGCCATTTTATAATAGGGAATATAAATCTTTCATTTTATTCAGAATGTAACTTACTAGATGGCATGGACTGTGGGGGTAGAGAATTGGGTGTGGCCATTCCATCACTCTGTTGAGACGGTGTTAGTGGACGATTACCTTGTCCCCTCAGTAATTGTTGTTGTTGTTGATTCATGCCCTGGGGTGTCTGTTGTCCCTGTTGTATTAGGTTGGCTGGGTAGATCCAGGGAGCCTGTACCCCGTAATACTGGGGATGTATGACAGTTGGACCTACAGATAAATAATATATTATATAATACAGTTATTAACTCATAATAGGGCTATATCTACCACTAATATTAATTTTAACAGATATTTCACTAGGCTTGATAAAAACAATTCAAAATAGAAGGTAGAGAAGGCAAATATTGTACAAGAAAGTAACTGAGTTAAAGAGGCAGAGAAAACTAACAAATAGACAGAAAACAGAAAATAACAATTAACATTGAAAGAACAGCCCAAATAAATACTGCCCAGCCTAGTACAATACTCTCTAAACAAACAGGATACAGATGTAATTTAATAGGTTATCTACAGAACACAGCACTGTGACACAACAACATGGCTGCTCTATTATTTACCTACAGCAGAGCTATGATCAATCTCTAATTTTTACTAGACATTCCGTCTCAACTACTCAAATACTGCACTTTTAGTGTTTTTCCTGGGGAATCTTCTCTAAATCATAATAATCGAGGGAAAGCTCTTGCATGACCAGACACGTATGGTTGTAGCTCCTAAATGTCTGGTTGTCATTGCAGTATTTAGGGCATTTTCTACCACAATCAGCTATCTACATAAGCATATAAGCCACACAAAAACAGTGAAACTGCTTCTTTGGACAAAATTCAAAACACATTCATAGAAAGAAGATTAAAGCAATTTCAAAGCGTCCTGATTAAAGAGGTTTCACTGTATATACCCCCCACAGAGAATATATATGTACAGTCTAACCTGATAAAGGAATACCAACAGTGTATGGGTCTTGGGCACCAATGAGATACTGAGTATTGGTAGAACTGGAAGGATTTAATCCTATAGAAGGCAAGCACACAATATATTAAAGCCATGCAAATTATAAAACAAAATATAAATAAACAATAGTTTGAGAAGATGGCATCATGCTGGACTTCATTGAAGATTTAGCAGTTGTTCTTGGCTTTAAATGACAGTCTATTTGTTAGTATTTAACTCAATCTATTTGCTGATAATAATCAAACAGATATACACTGTGGTATTTTTGCTATGTATAAATCTAAACACTGTGACCCCACTCCCCAATCTATTGGTACCAGCTCTGTGTGCTTGCCTATACCAATATTATCATATATTATAACAGTTACACACAATGATGTTAATAATGAATTATCCCTGATAAGAGGACAGACCCACTGATAAACAATATATCTTCCATAAATAATCCTAACTCTGCTTGACCAGTGCTTTTATCACCTCATACTGTCATCTCAGTCAGCCTTCACTGAGTTGAGACTGATGATAACCAACCAGTTTATATAATGAACAACTGTAGTCAAGAATATCAGGGTACAATATGAATTTGGGCAGAAAGACAAGAATGAAATTTCACAACAATTTGAACAACCAGCCATCTTGATATGTTTTAGTAAAATTGTAAGATTTACATCAAAAAATTCATAGAAGTTGAATCATGTTGTTATAGAGAGTTTCAAACTATGTGATCTTCAGACAACTGACAAAAGTCTAATTTAAACTGTATTTTTAAGAGTAAGAAAATAACTGGTTGTTATGACAATGATTTGAAACATGAAAAAGAAAAATGTTGGAACTGAAATAAAACTTGACGTAGTAAAGTTGACAACAGGACATGCTATAAATAGAACAGAAAGTGAAAGTAGACGTACCCAGTTGTTGTTGTGTAGCCAGAGCATATTGCTGTTGTGTTAAAACTGCTATTGGTTGCTGTTGTCTTTGTAATTGCTGTAAGAGAAATAGGGAATTTAAACTAATCATTAATCCACATGATTGACAAGGGGAAACATGACAACATCTCAAGCTTTGTCTGCACTGAAAATAATCTTATAACGCAAGGGTATCTAACTCTAGGGCTCTAAGGGAGTCAATAAATAAAATAGAGAAATATATCATACCAACCTGATTATAGTCCATATTATTAAAGTTGGGACTATCCATTGAGGGGATCATCTGATTACCATAATCAAACTGTACAGGATCAATTCCCATTGGTTCAAACTGTTGAGAATCAAACTGAAAGTTACCTCCCCCTTGTTGAGGGTGAAAGGCCTGGTTCTCGAAAAAATCTCCTTCTTGTTTCATCTTCATTTCTTGATATTTAACATCTTCTCCTGTTGGTGAATTCTGACGACTCCCTCTATAAAATAACAAGATATAGACTTTAACATCATACAGGGTGACCATAAAGTCAAGTTTCACTAGTAATAGAAACAATCTTAATCTGTCAACTTATTACTAATAAATTCCAACCTAAATCCTGTATTCTCTTCTAGTCCATTCTGTAATATACCATTCTGTTCTACTTTATTCTCCTCTCCTCTATCTCCTTCACCATCAAACGGGGACGAGGTCTGACTCTTCTTCTCTCCCCCTGGGGCTGAGGCATCCCCTCCCTCTACTGCCTGTACCTATAATACATAATTAAATAGTAATACAATACAGTCAACAACTATTTCCTAACAATTATTTAGTTTTAACATGAAATATTTCCTCATTTATAAGTGATATACTTCCTCATTTCAGTCAGTGAAAACTTGATAACTTGCTACCAATGTATTGTCAAGCTGTTTTGTAAATTTAGGGTTTGGTATTGTGTTTTGGATCAGTAGTACTAAGACCTCATTTCAATCAAACTGTTAAAAAGTTAGAAATGTCTGGACAGTTTAAGATACAGGATATAGTTTCTAGTATTAACTTACATTATAAGATCCTGGTTTGATTCTAGTGAGACGATTATCTACCATATCTTTACTTGTATTAGGTGAACGTCCTAAAACATATTCTACCATATCTATACCAACTGGTCCATCAGCCATTGGTCCACCTACAGATATCAAACAGAATCAGGACATTTAAACTATCACTCAGAGTTGGGGCTCACAGTTAAGGCTCAGTGAATTAGAGCTGGGTTAGGGCTCACAATTAGGGCTGGGTTGGGCTCACAATTAGGGCTGGGTTGGGCTCAGAGTTAGGGCTCAGTGTATTAGATCTCTGAGAGTTTAAAACTGGTCTGGGGTTGTCAAAGTGTTAAATTCCCTACATCTAAATAATTAAATGACTAAATAACATTAGAAAACTCAAAACAATTCTGATGCAATTTTTAGGAACATAAAATAATAAATTTCTTACCAGGATATTTCATAGGTGGCATCATGTGGGGAGGGGGTAATTTTCCTGGGGGTGGGGGAACACCGCTCCACCCATCATCTCTTGTTGTCCAGTGTGGGGGCTGAAATAATCCAGCTTTACTAGCATCCCCTCCCTTGCCTTCTTCACCCCCGACATCCCAAATCTTCTTATTAGGATTAACAGGTACCTAGAAGAGAAAGATTGAAACAGTTTAATATGAGTTAAAGATATAAAGTTAATAGCTAGAGTAAAATGGTGGAGGACTGAAAATTGGGAGACATTTTGATCTAGGTCCATGAAATAATGAAAGCTCTCCTTGCAAATATATTCACTGTTATCTTCAAATAAAATCTGTATTCTGTCATTTCGATCTTAACATAGTAATCTATGAAAGCACATGGATTTGACAGAATCCAGTCCACACCCAATACAAGATTAGGGGACTGGGTTTATCTACAATGCTGTGGAATGGAACAAGTCAAATCTTTCTTAAAAGATGTTCGTGTTCCTTTTGCCACATAAAAACAGTCCAGGAAGGGCTGTTGGCATTGAATGTTTGTATGCATTTCTTATATTTGAAAGAACATAGGTACTATATAATAACTGAGAGTGCACAGATTTTAAATTTAGGGCATGCACCAAACAAACACTTTAATCCATCCAAATTCTTATACCACTCTCCACAAATTTTTAAAAAAATATCCTACGCAATATTCATTAACAGAACGCACCAAAAATTCAGTCTCAAAAAGAAATTTTTCCTTCATGTTGAAAACCAAGTTGTGGATTGCTCATTGATAACATTGATGAGTTTTCCAGCTAGCAGCTGACACAATATCCCCAAAATAGATCAATGATTCACGTTTCCATGGTAATCTATCAATAATGACTCATAGAATATCGAAATTTCTGGGGAAACCCCCTCTTATGTCATAGTTTATTATTTCAAATTTGATAAATTCTAGTTATGCTCCAAGAGAAAATGGCTTAACTCTTAGAGTAAATATTTATTATTTTTAAATTAATTTTTTTTCAAAATTAAATTGAAAAGTAGGGGAATTTCCTCAAATATTTCCCCACTTCAAGAATTTTCACATAGATAAATTGAACAATCTAAAACGGATGTTGACTTTATTTTTTTATTTTCTATTATCTGCCTTGTTTGATTAGGAAAGTCGTGAACTTCAGCCTTACTCACAAAGCATTTGACCTAGAAAAAGTAAACAAACCTATTTTCACTACAGATTTGGACAATGGCCCTTCAAAATCCCCAGTCAGTAGACTACAGACAACAAAATCTTTTGTAAAAATTCATCTACTAAGTTTTAGGGAGGAAGGAATTAAGTTTCTTTGTTTCAAGTTCGGTTGATTCTTTAGATCCTTTGTTTGCCTGCACGAGATAGTTTACATTAGTAAAACAAAATGGCTGCCACTTACCTCACGATTGGACATTGAAAGTCCATGGAAATCTCGCTCCAAATCTTGAACTGTCATACCTCTAGGGGCCTAAAAACATCAAATCATCCAAATATATTCTTTAAAAGATCAAAATATTCGAATGTCACGCCGACATAAAGTGAATACGAGTAGAAATTCATTTCCGCAATGGCGTACAACCTCTATGTTTGCAATGTCAACAAGCCCCAAAATCGACTAGAAACGTTGTTTTCATTGCGAATTGAACGAAACTACATCAAAATTTTACCTGTTCAATAACACTGTCATCTCCTACAGCCCATCTTTTATTCGTATATCCACTTAATTCGTCTGTTTGAGTCCTTTGAAAAAAATAGCCCACCATTTGATCATCTTGTGAACGGACAGCCGTCGTGTTTTGTCGAACTCCAGCCATGTCGCGTGAATTTTGTGTCACTCTCGAATTATCGTCCCAAGCAACTTGGTTCATGCTTGGCACAGGCATTTATCATTCATTCTAGTTCCCGTCAACCTGTAACACAAAGTTGACATCTTCAGAATATTGAAATTAAAGCATCGGATCAGCTGAACATCACAACAACAAAACAAAACATGGCGGGAGACGAGCAGGAAGGGGAAATCCGTAGCTCGTTTCCAACATAATCTGCAAATTTGCACTTCCAATCAAAAATTAGTCAAAAGAAATGATAATCAAATTTTAATGAGGATGCAATTAAAAGAGTGATCAATGTTTCCTTACCCCGATTGCATTGGATTTAGGTTGACTAAAGCGGAATGTCTCACAACATGGCGATCAGAAATTTACAGCGAAAAGGATTGTGGGTAAATTGTCCCAGACAGGATGACGTCATATCGCGGGAGTGTTTGAGTGACGGTTTCCCGTTTTTTTTTACTTCAAGGGGGATTGAACCGGGGCTATGCAGTCTCAATTTACACCTGACCGTATAAAATAGGGACCTCTCCAATCATTTTACTAGGTCAAATAAAATTCTACCACACCCCCAATCGGGTCATAGGACCTTTTTGAATCCATTCAACATGAAAAAATTAGAGATGAAAAACTCAACATCAGCCTTGGGACAGTATGCGATTCTTGTCAATGACTAATGGGAGAGAACTCCAGTTTACTAGCTCAATATTTAATTATTGTCTGTAGCCTGATTAATTACTATAGTATCTATACCTGGGTTTCGTTTATAAAATCTATCACCGAGACAGTTTATTCAGGTATAGGATTAAACTCTAATGTTTAAACTAGATGTCGAGCCATAGACAAACTGTTTTGATTGTTATTTTGGTGAAGAAATAGATCAATTCACAAATTAGTGATAGAGAGAATCGCAGAAATCACCGAACAGGAGCGAGAATAATAAAATATTGTATGTCTAAAGACTATAAATCACTCAATATATACAGACTCCGCCTTATTAGCATCGATTTCTAAATCTCCTGTAGATAGACTAATTAATAAATCTCTTTAAAAATTCACTGTCAATTGATAGAGGGGTTAAAATGACCCAGTGTTTAAGGAGAACGTCGAGGTTATTTCTGTATTGCAATTTGACTAAAACTAGCCCCTTTCCTGTGGGATGAACTGGACCTATAATATTCTCTATGATGTATTTAACTGTATTCTGATCACAGATATTGCTGCTAGCTTGTAAGATACGACGATGTTGTATCATGTGATTGAGATTTCGTGTAGATTTCGAATTGGGGAAACAAATAAAAACGAGATTGACTTAAAGTTGTAGAGAATGATAAACAAGTAGAAAATCCGATTAAAACATGATCAATATCAATCATTATTAGGTTAATCGATTATTTCTATTGATTATTAGATACCTAGAGAATAGTATGTTACTAGCTAGTCCTTACACCGTCTCTTTAAGGTAAAATATCAAGATCTATTTGTATAAATACAATGATATTAAGTTGTCTATTATTACAGACTAGCCTAGATATTTAACAATGTATTTTATATGTTACAATAATAACTGATATCGAATATAACTATTACTAATAACTAACAGTGATTATATCAATCTCACCTATCTAGTTTCTAGTTTCTAGCAATGTGAATATAAAACCTGAAGACATCATCAGAACTAACAGAAAGATGGAGAAGGAATTCAAGGATAAATCAGTCGCCGCCGTTTCTTTCTCACCAGTAGTTCTCTCAAGATCCGATTCTTATAGCGGAGTCGTAGTCAGAGACGTGGATGTAGTTAGAGACGTGGATGTAGTTAGAGATGTGGACGTAGTCGGAGATGTGGATGTATTCAGAGACGTGAAGCCAACGACGTTATCAGAATATCCAACAAATTCATTAGGAACTATTTCCAGGATATCTGATGCCAGTTCTTTCTCAGAAGTCAGCATCCAGCCTGAAAGAGGAGTCAGTTCCAGAAATCCTTACTACCCAACCCTTCAACAACCAATCAAAAAGCAGCAACTATCCTACGGATACCCATCTGATCACTACCCAGCGTGTGGGTACCCTTCAAGTGGAAATTACCCATATTCAGATTTCCCTGGTAGACATATTTATCCTAAAGGTCGTTTCCCTAGAAATGGGATGTACCCTATCACAAATGAGGATGATTTGACAATTTTTCAGAGTAAACCGAATTCTGAATTGGATAAGTTTGGAGATCATTATCCTGATAACCAGGGATCAGACATTTATGAGGATAGTGATAGTGATTAGTGATTAGTGATTAGTGATTAGTGATTAGTGATAGTGATTAGTGATTAGTGATTAGTGATTGGTGATTGGTGTAAATATGGAGATAGACTAATTAATATTTCTATAGAATTTATAATATTATATCATAGAGAATATTAAATCTTATAATATATATGTACAGTTTATATAAATAAGAAATTGGTACCGTGGGTTTGAATCCCCTGGGGTCTAGTGAAATAGTCTTCTAGTAGTCTAGTAGTATCAGCAATCTACAACTTTCTCACTTTATGACTAGAACAGAGCTATGAAGCTATCCACATAAAAAAAGGAATCATTTAATCTAATTGTGATACAAGAAAGGTGACTATTTCTGTCAAGGTATATGAAGAAGCTTAATATTTATTCAAATGACCTGTCTCTAAAACAATTTTTTTGAAATTTGTTTCCATTTAGACATCATGTGTAGGTCTGGTAAACAATAAAATATTGAGGCAGTTTGTAGCCCAGGAATTGACTAATTAAATAAAACAGACTGAGAGACCTGGGAGATTATCAACAATTTAAAACACATCCCCTGATATTACTATCAACATGTAAACAAACAAACATATTGAAATATTGCCATTTAACTTATATAATATAAGATTGTGACTTAATAATATAACAAAATCTATCAAATTATAACTTAATCTATCAAATTATAACTTAATCTATCAAATTATAACTTAATCTATCAAATTATAACAAAATCTATCACATTATAACTTAATCTATCAAATTATAGCTTAATCTATCAAATTATAACTTAATCTATCAAATTATAACTTAATCTATCAAATTATAACTTAATCTATCAAATTATAACTTAATCTATCAAATTATAACTTAATCTATCAAATTATAGCTTAATCTATCAAATTATAACTTCATCTATCAAATTATAACTTCATCTATCAAATTATAACTTCATCTATCAAATTATAACTTCATCTATCAAATTATAACTTCATCTATCAAATTATAACTTAATCTATCAAATTATAACTTCATCTATCAAATTATAACTTCATCTATCAAATTATAACTTAATCTATCAAATTATAACTTCATCTATCAAATTATAACTTCATCTATCAAATTATAACTTCATCTATCAAATTATAACTTCATCTATCAAATTATAACTTAATCTATCAAATTATAACAAAACTCAATTTAAAAATGTTTAAAAATAATAGAAAAGAATGAAAATATGCTGGAATATGACCTGATATATAATATGTTATTTCTAGGTTGATTTTGGTTAATTTGGTCGTTGTTAATCTATAAATAAATTGTGACAAGAAATATTGTAAAAATCATAAAGTGAGTGTAAAAATTCATGATCTGCTGCCAATGTCTTTATATTGTTAAAAATTAACAGTTCTATAAGTTCGAGTCAGAATAACCCAACAAATTTCATCAGCACCTGCTTCAGACCTAGGCCCGTGCTTTCTATGAGTTAAATTCTCATTTCACTGTAACACTAGTTTTCAAAGATATTTATAGGACACAATTTTTTCTGTAAAATTATTTTAAACAGTGATATTTTAAGACTATTACAAAAATTCCATCTCATTTAGAGTGAAGTTTTATAAGAAAATGTCTGAGTTGAAAATAGAATAAAATTGTTCATGTTTATATTGTTCCCATACCGTAAATAACATGATAAATATACTATATATCTATATATCTATATACACCCTTCATTGTGACATCAATACATTAATTCTATATACACCCTTCATTGTGACAAACATATACTAAAATAATATTTTTGATCAATAAAAAGAAAGGCTGTGCCTATTGGCACTGTGATGGTACAGAAATGGGCATTAAAAAACATTTAGCCATCCCTACCTAACTCTAGCAAAGTTACTTAATATCATTCTTGACAATCAAAATGACTTCATGCTTAAAAAACTCCACGAAAACTAGCTTGCCCAATGTACCGTATCATTGTTAGCAGACATAGAGAACACTCATCATGACAGTATAAATAGCCATTGTGATAAAGTATAATATTTAGTGTTGCTACAATACAGATTCAGTCTTCAGACTATAGCGATCACTAGTTGTGTATAGTTGTATATAAGAATAGTGGTTATAAGTTACGAACGCAACTCTCATGTAACTAAGATATAAATTGTGTTCGGGAAGTCATGACCACTTCCATTATTGACAACTATACACAAGAGTCAGGACATCTAACAGTTGTCATAATTACTGTCATTATTCTATGGCAAGTAAGTTTTAAAAATCTAGAATACTTCGATTGTGATACCCCTTGTAATAACTCTCCTTTCATCGTCTCACCATTCAAATTTCAACAAATCATTACTATTGGTCAACATTCAATGAAATCATCCAATCAAATTGATTCAAATATAGAATGTAATTGAGGCAATGTTTTAGAAACTCATTGGCAAGTACTGATTGGTTCAAATCAGAACAATCATCCAATCAAATTGCATCATCAATACAAATCAACCAATCACAAATCATCATCACCGATTCCACCAAACACACTATTTTCTGTGACACCATTTTCAGCAGATTTTCCACCTTTCGTTAATTTATCCTACAAATATAACAAAAACAATATAAAAACAAATGATGATATTTAGATAATAAATATTCTACTGCTGTCTCTTCACTCCTGTTCACTGACTTCTAATTTCTTACTGATAACACAAACATAAACTCAGAAAATAAATAATAAAAACTCACAGAAATTTTCTTGACTGATCCAAACGCCTTGTTGATAGCACCGTGATCTTCAGACTGTAGAGAAAATATATAATAATCATTATTTATAAGTTGAAACTATCAATAATTACAGTGTTCTATTATTACTTTATTTATTTACTTTCAAATCATTTTATAATTCATAGTCTCAGATAGAGTTTCTTTCTGATAATTTGTGGAACTATAATCTGTTAATTGTTAAAGTTTTGTATTAGAAGTCTACTAATTTGATTCAAGAGTGGAATTAAAATGTTTCTATTACAAAATATTAATTAGAAATTAGTAACATTATCAGACAGAAAACTATTAAATAATAAAAAATGAAGAATCAACATACAACAAGATAAAAACTATGAAATAATAAAATAAATCTACTGAAAAATAAAATTAAAATATGAAACAGAATCAGTGTGTAAGTAAAAATTAATCTACAAAAACAGGAACCAAAATATAAATATACCGTTAAACTTGGTCCTTCATTAGATGGTGATCTGACAAGCTGAAGAAAGTTTATATAATTTTATTATTACTGACATATACCTCTTACAATATGACCTGTTTATTTTATATATAGGTAATATATATAGTTATTAAAGAGATTGTAAAGAGGTTTCATGTATATCAGGGACACTGATAGTAGTAAGTTGCACCATTTCAATTTTCAATCAGATGCAAGCACTATTCCAATAAAACTAAGTGTTTGATGACATCTGATTTATCTGATACAAGCACAGACTTATATATAAAACAACAACACTTACATCACCGTTAGAGCCTAGTGAAGGTGAGAATGTAGAGTTATTGCCCTTGAATGGTAAACCACTGACCGTTTTCTTACTTCTATCTTGAGGCTAAAATATTGACCAAGTTATTGTCATTTTAAACATTAATCATAATTATCACAACCAAACTCTTATTTCACTATCAGATCCCTTAATAGTTGGAAATCTAAATGGACAAAATTTATCTCAATGAACACTGCATGGCATTGCCCGTCTTCATTAGGCTATTAGATGCAGAAAAGTAAAACACCATTCATTTCATTTCAGCACAACGATCAGTAAAACCTAGACTTACTCGTTTCAATTTTCTAGCCTGTTTCTTCATCAGTAATTCATCCACCATATTCTGTAGACTCATACTTAACAACATTGCCTGGTGAAAATATTTAAACTGTCTAATATAATTACTGAGTTTAATTTTACACAATGTTTCTACAATTTACATTGTCTTTATCATCAGGTGAAATTCATTATCTCTATGTAACAGGCCGACCTTGTAAGCCTAGCTAGCTTGGTTACCCAGACTAGAACTTCAGCTTCAGGAGTTATTGTTAGTAATGTCGCGTTGGCTTATAAAAGTATGTTGCACGCATGCACTGTAATCTGAATTTCAAAAACGTCTATACCTGATCACTGGTAATCGTCACCCATTTTAACGTTTCTCTAGACATTAAATATTCAAAGGATAATTCTAATTTCTGTTTCCGTGAACTTCCTGTACTACCATTCTCATCATCTGACAACTGAAACAGATAGTAAACCTTTCATTATGTTGAGTAATATTGAAGGGAGGCAACTCTTCAACCATTGAAAACAATCAAATCTTTTTTATCAAGAAATTTTATTAAAACGTTAAATTTACGTTAAAATATCTTGATATAAAAAATAACCTGAAATATTGAAAGTTAATTAATTAACAATAAAAACTGATTGATAATTAATGGAAATGATAGGAATATTTTCTAGTTATATTATAATCTAACTTTGTACCAGTGTCAACAACTATCTGATTTAAACAGGACAACTCGGATCTACAACTCAACAACCAGAACCATTAACCCCCAGCCTCCATGCATCCATCTTCTATAGAAGGAATGTGCCACGACTGGGAAATATAACAGATAGCTACTGGCTGTTAGCCTCTACAATCTACGCCAGGAGAAGTTTAATATGGACTGATCCTAGTTAACAGTGGAGGAACATATCTATACAACCACCCTAGACAATTAGAATATAATATATTAAGATAGGATCATATTGAATAATACTTACAGTAGTAGTAATTCTCCAACACCTCATTCTAGTTATACTAAAACTACCCTCTTTTATCTCATCCTATAATATAAATAGTTATCAGAATAAATCATCTGTGTGGAAATCTAACAACATTTATAAGAAAGATGTGTTCATCCTTTTTAACCAATCAAATGCTGTGTTCAATGACTGATTAGCCATCACCAATTCTTGACAACGCAATATTACTTACATCAACTTGAATTCTAAAATTTAATTCTTTATTTCCAGCTGCTATCAAAACACGACAGTTTGGTTTGGGGTAATCAGTGAAACACGGTAAAAACTGTAGATAGCCGTAATATCGTAATGTTCTAGCAAATCTTACATACTGTAAATATACAAATAATATATATATATATAATCAAAAAAAACAAGCTGAAGAAAGTTTTATTCTAAAATAATCCAATGTATTTATTTCACAGCTTTCTCTAGAAACAGTGTAGAATTGATGAAATCTATGATAATATAACGTCCAAAGACAGACAAAATAGATTACCTCTTTTTTTGATCCACGTTCCTGTAAAGAAGCAAGATGTTTCACTTGATCTTTTGATGCTAAAATCCACTGTCTTTCTATATCATTTAACGTCTATAACAGAATAACAATTTATTATTTTTCAGGTTAGAAATCAGTATCTTATAGAGTGAAATAGATTGAAGTTTAATATCCTACAGAACTTTACTCTATTAATAATGTCACTAAATAGTGTGGATAAATTCCTTCCTTCCTTCCATGCTGTGTGCAATGAGGGAAAATATGCAATATCAACTGACCTGTACATAGAGTAAGTTCATGGTAATTTTGTTATCTAACAACTCATCATCAAAACTTGAATCCCAATAACTGAAATGGCAAAACCGTGATTCTATAAACAATTATATTCACTCTGTCATAAATGTAATAATAAATGTAATAATAAATGTAATAATAAATGTAATAATAAATGTAATAATAAATGTAATAATAAATGTAATAATAAATGTAATAAATTTGGAAAGCTAAAAACTAAAATATTGGTGTAGTCTCTAAACTGTGTGTCCTAGGGTCTTAACTTCTAACACTGTAACACTGTACCTAGCACTAAGATCATAGAATACATGACCAGATTGTTTACTACAGATAACATAAGAGTATATTTACCTTTTACGTAAAACTATTCTATGAACGCAGTCTTTATTAGCTGAACGTAATGAAATAAACGGTGATTCAAATTCTTGTAACTTTCTAACAACTAAAATAATATAGTATATAAACATTGTATCAAAGAAAAGATTGGAGATTAATGATACAGACTGTAGATTAATGAAAGAGGCTATAGATTATTCAGTTAGAGTATTGAAATCTAGATATCATTAGTTGGATATAAAAAACAAATCATATGACTATAACTTACTAGAATTTTCTCCACCATGTTCTTTCTTCACTAAATATAAACCAAAATAATAAACAAAATCATCAGGGATGTGAATTTCACCTGCTACACACTGAAAAATATCATAAAATAATTGAATAATTACATTAATTACACCAGGTACAACAGAATAATATAACACAATGCTGAAATCCACAGTCTCTACTTGTAACCTAGACCAGTTCTCTTATAAAACCTTATACCAGGTCTGTAAACTAGACCAATATACTCTAATACCAGAATTTTCACAAGTTAATCATTTCTCTAGCTTTTCAGATTACAACATTATATTTTCTCTTAATATTCAAGTTACCTCTAAAACATCATCTGTTTGATCCGTCGAGTTGATATTCACTGTAATTTTATGACCATTCATTAAAAATACATTTAGCGTAACTTTCTCCGGAGCCTCTTTCTGAGTCTCCTGTTGTGCGTTCAGTAAAAATCCATTAAAAATATCACTGTTACAAATCTTGACATCTTGACTTACTGTAATAATAAATATATCATTAGTTAATATCTAATATCTATATGTTTTAACTATCATCTTCAGATAGAATCAAACTGACAGGTTTCATCTCAACACCAGTATTATTTTAGTATAATATGGAAGTTTTTGCTGTTTGATTTGAGACAATCTATAAACAGACAGATGAAAGTGGGTAAGATTGAAATATCTGTATCAATGATGGTGAAATATATTCTAGATAATAATATAATAATAGGTGTATTAACTTACGTAATTGTACATAACGTTCCAGCATGCTTCTTCTCTCCTCTATTTGTAATGGAGACAGAGACAGAAGTTTTTTAGGAGGGAACTGGGGCAGATTCTGAACACCAAACTCTTTCTTCATCTAAATTATATAATACTCTTGATGATGTATAAGCTACTAATATAGCAGGAGTCATACTAAATAAACTGTTTACCAGCTGATAGAGCTCTATTACAACTACCTGTATGACTGTATATATTAAATCTGATTGTAAATAAACACAGTGTAGTACTGTAGTACTGTAGCAGGAACTTGTTATAATATTGAATCAGATAAGATTGATGCTATGACAGATAAATTATAATATAATCTTGCTCTGTTTTACCTGTTCATGAAATTGATGAAGCTGTCTGTATCTAAGTTGACAATGATAAACTCCATTGATGTATAGATTGTATGACTGAAATATATAAACAACTAAATTAGTCATTGGCTTTTATAGGGACAGGTTCACCATCCATATGTCCAATCTTACCATAGTCTCAATAACAGGACAGTTTTCAAACAATATAAACAACTAAATATGTTATAAGGTATTATCAGTCAGGTCTGGGGGATTCTGTTAATGTTTCTCGTGTCAGGTTATTGCTATGGTTAGGCGTATCAACAGAGTTGTATTTAGTAAACGTTGCTGGTATTTGTATATATTATAAAGCCATGGAAAGTGTAAAAATATATTAAAAGTACAACAACAGACAGGATATTAATAGCAGATCATCACAACACCATAAAACATCCTGCTGTACTTTAAACCAAACCTTAAAAAATCGTCTGTTTTCCCAGATTTTACTGTTAAAAACTCACCGTGAAGGCCGTACCGCCCTCGTCTTTACATTCCTCTGTATCGGGGATGGAAAAATGCATGACTGCGCATTCGATCTGTGATTTCTAGTAACGCTGAGGCAGGAAAATCTTCGGAATTTCGTCGTAAAGAATTAAATCGCACACTCCCCTTCAGCCATTTCTTTTTTATTTTGTCACGTGACCTCTTAAATGTCAATAAAACTTTAAATCTGGAATGTTGGAATTTTATCGAAACGTTGTGATAAAATCATAAAACAGACTAATTAGAATACAAGTCTTTCTTTGTAAAATTTTAATTTTCAATATTTTAGTTAAAATTTGAAAAAAACTAATGTCGTAAATCGATGTCGTAAAATTTTGACGTTGATCGGATACAGACTTTTTAACGTCACGTCACCTCTGATAACAAGTTGTGGCTGTATTTTTTCGGCTTCTTTTTCTCTTTTTCTCACACATTTGCTCAAATAAAACTTGTTGGAACCATGCCGCCTGCAACAGCACCCGCAATAGCAAAGGAGGAAGAGAGTAATGGCGTTCATGCTATCCTCTTGGGGCCACCCGGCTCAGGTAAAGGTACCCAGGTAAGCAAGTTATTTCCAAGGGCACCTATTTCAATCAAAGTTCATCTATTGTTCTCTGTCCCATTCAGTAAAATCATGACGAGAAAGGTTGAATGGTCAAATATATAATTAATAGACTTATTATAATGGATAATTATTGATTTGATGTCTAGTCCAATGGCTATCTCTTTACTCTTTTATCCTAATCCCAGATTAAGGTCATTCTGGCATTATTTTAAACTAGACACTCTAAGAACTGTACAAGCTTTCTTTTGTTTCCTGGCCCCTACCTAAATTTCAGAGAAAGGTCACCCTAATCTAACGACTTGAGAATTCCAGTACAATTCACTGCAGCTATTAAATACTATGTAAATCTGTTTTACATTGTTTGTTTTAATCTTTCCAGGCACCAATGATGGCAGAGAAATTCTGTGTTTGTCACTTATCAACAGGTAATCAAATAGAATCTATAATCACAAGAAAAACAACATGTTCCTATCACTATCTATAGACAAAAGTCAAAATCCATAAACTGGCAACATAGAAAACTGAAATGTCCACAAGTCAGGATGTAACAGAATTAATAATCAATGAAGTAACTATAATAGGGTGTAAAACTCATGTTATTTTGTATTATAGGTGATATGTTAAGAGCTGTAGTAGCATCAGGTAATGCTCTCGGTAAACGAGTAAAGAAAGTAATGGACGCTGGTCAGTTAGTCTCAGATGATCTGGTTGTAGAAATGATAGATCTTAATTTAAATAAACCAACTTGTAGAAATGGTTTTCTATTGGATGGTTTCCCTAGAACTGTAGCTCAGGCTGAAGCTGTAAGTTTACATGATTCAATATCTTCTAAATAATTAGTTTAACTTTCAGGACATCTTGACTTGAGCTCATCTTCTGTATAATACCATCTGAAAGAAGAGGTTAAAATGATGAACATCTTCTGTAGCATGGGGCCATTAATATTAGTCGTCTTGGATTACAATAAATTAGATAAAGGGTGTCAATTTTAACACACTTGTAGGATTTCATTTTACATGGGAGATAATCGATGCTGGCTTATTGAGACTACGACCACAGTTAAATTAGGATATTTGAAGGGACGTAACTCGATTTAGGAAGAATCAGGCCACAATTAAATGATGAAAATTTGTATTATTCAGTATATGTTTAGAGGGTGTTTAAAGTGTTTATTTGTTATTAATTATAGTTAGATAGATTACTAGAGAGAAGAAGAACATCGTTAGATGGAGTGATAGAGTTTGCTATAGATGATGGGTTATTAGTTCGTCGTATAACTGGTAGACTAGTACATCCAGGCAGTGGACGAAGTTACCACACAGAATTTAATCCTCCTAAAGCCCCCATGAAAGATGATGTAAGTAGATTTTTACCCGATCGTCAATGTAGACGCTAAATAACGAACATGATACAAGGAATAAGTACAATTAGCTGATATTGAGAGATGTGGTGCTATAGACTTGTGTATGTTAAATATCCTACATACCTTGTATAGGTAAAGAGAATTGTCAGGAAATACAGAGTTAATGTGTTTCAATATTTAAATATATCTCTAGGCTGTGTTATATTATTATTAATTAATATTTGACTGTGTAATTACAGGTAACTGGTGAATCATTAATTAAAAGATCAGATGATAATGAAGAGGCCTTAAAGAAAAGATTAGAATCCTACCATAGACAAACTAAACCTCTAGTAGATTATTACAGTAAAAAAGGTCTTCATGTAGCCGTGGATGCCTCACAGCCTCCTAAAATAGTTTTCGCTGCTATTTGTGCTGCCTTTTCAGCCTCAGGCACTGGAAGAATAGCAGCATCTAAATAATTGTTAGGTTTTTAGAAATTATCTCAGATTTATATCTCTAGTTTTTGATGGTATTTTTAACTTGTAAACAACAAGACGTAGTAAGGCAGTCTACTGTCTATACATCTACCCTACGTTCAATATTTAAAACATTTCCAAGCCCTGTGTCATATCTATAGATAATAGAAGAGAAAACAAAATGATTAATCGACAGTAGCACTGGCACAGGCAACAGTATTTTTCTTACCTTGAGGAAGATTCTATAGTTATAGAGTCAACAAGTTAAAATTACCATCAGAAACTGTAGTATATTTATCTAAGACAGGAGAAATAGGGTTATTTTTCTAATATTAATAATAAGATGAGATGAGATGATGTGTCTTACTAATGTATTCTTTTTGATTTACAAATGTTAAATATTTACATGTTCTCTACAGTTTAAAAGATTTGATAGACATTCTGGTGAAGTATTGAACCTAATAAAAGAGTAGTATTTGATATATAAGAGATAGAATAGTAATTGAAACTATGATGGTATAGTAATATTTTTAATGTTAAGATTATATGATGGGAAGGTGTGATGATAATAATAATAGTGTCTGAGAAGTGTATAATATCTTTATCAAGTTGTATGTAAATTATTTTATTGACTACGCAAGTTTAGAATTATAATATCAGAGATAGTATGATTGTTATGGAAAGTGACAGTGGTATATTAAACAAGTGATTAGAACAGAGGTCTTATTCTTAAAAATTTAAAAATCTAGATGTCTAACTCAAGGTTGTGGACACTAATTATATTTGTGTTAATGTAATTAATCTATAGAGTGTGATGTTTTGAATAAATGGTAACCTTATAGTATTATATTTCCATTCTTAAAATAATCTTAGTCAAAACCTTGCCAATTTCTTAACCCATCTGTAATAAAAACCTCTCAAAATATACAATTTTCTTAACTCAAACAAGACAGAGAAAGTTACCAAACCCTTGATAAATTAGTATAGTTTTGACTTCTATTACAAAAACCTTTCAAATAAACTGTATGTCATTTCCTAACGTAAACCAGACAAGAGAGAAGACAGGAAAGAATACAGGTAGAGTTGTTTTATTCATTCCTATAATATTAAACCTCGGTTGTTAAATTTTCCCTGTAGAATAATTATACCTGCTGATGGTAGCCTAGTATAAAATATCTTGTTTTTAATTACTTTATTATACTGTTATTGATGGTGATATCAGGTTGAAATTATTTATATTCTCAATAAAGTTTCCTCTCACACCATAGCAAGTTGTGATCGCTATGATGTGAGAATATCTTTACATCAGCTATGTTGACTACTGGTTGAATATACAATGTATAAGAATTGATATAAATACAACCTGATAAATAAAGAGTGAGTGAAAGTAAAAGTATATTGAGATAAAAGATTAATAACAGTGAATGTACCAGAATAATATCATCTATAATAGGAGTGTTATCAAATATCTTGATTTTAATTCATCTGTAATTATATTTGATTGTAATAAAACTAGAAATTTTATACCTTGTTTTTATCTTCAGATATCATAGTTACTGACTATTTTACCTGTTCAAAATACATCAACATGATAGGCACAATGATAAAAATTCACACCAAATATAATCTAAGATGTGAAATATACACACATTAAACTTGATGCAAAACTTTCTCATTTTAACAAAGATAGACATGTTCACTAGTTTACCATGCTCAAATTGTGAAACTATTTCATACATAGCACCTCTAATATATTCTCTTTATATATATCAATTTATTATCACTTTTAATATGTCCTTATTCACTACTTACCCCATGAAATATTAATTGATTTGTTATTAACAGAACATGGCCAGTTTGTCAGGAATTGCAGTCAATTTTCACGAACTGACTCCACAAATCAACAGCTTACGACATCTTAGTATTATAATGACGGGGGAAAAACCAATCAGATTTCATTTTAATTTCAAATGATGTTTGTTTTTTTTTCACACAAATACACTGTAATTCTCCTTTAAGAAAATTTACCAGTGATAGCATACCTTACAGTGACTCAGTTCTAGCTTATTGATTCACTCTGATAGAGTCACTATGATACAGTCACTATGACTCACTAGTTTCAGCATGTTTGACACGAAGTACTACAGGTACAGACGTACTAGGTATAATATCAAACTCTGTAATAACAGCTGTGATTAATTCAGGGGGAGTAACATCATAAACTAGATTTAACAGAGTGAGAGAGTTATATTCCTTCCAGTCTGTTAAACACGGTGGTTTATTACCAATTTTAACTAGGTCATTAGGATCTCCTGGAATATACAATAAAACATTTTATAAACTTAACATCTTAACACATTGTTCTTGTCACAATCACTTATATCATTAATAACTGTAGTTTTATTAACCAATCAGATTACTGTATTCATATTTAAATAAGTCAAGTTATAGAAAACTGGCCTCTAAATATTCAAACCAAACATTATGACAGGTAAAAGTTGACAAAGTAAACAACAGAAATCACTCAAATTTGGAGCAAATAACCTTAAAAATTACTCACCCAGTTCATTGAAAACAAAGGAATCAGTTTGTACTCTTTCACAGAATTTATAAGTTTCACAACAAACTAATGTAGGTACATTATAGGCCTTGGCTATTAGAGCTATCATAGAGCTACCAACTCTAGACATAACACATCCATTAGCTAGCAGGGCATGGGAGCCTAAAAATACCTTGGTAGCCTGAAAATAGATTAAATACAGGCATAACACATCCATTAGCTAGTAGGGCGTGGGAGCCTAAAAATACTTTGGTAGCCTGAAAATAGATTGAGTACAGGCCAGGTTAGTTTAAGTTAGAAGTATAGTATATAAATGGTATTCTCGGAAACTTAACTAAGATAAAATCTAGATTTTGTCAAGTTGACATTGATATTAGTAAGCATTGATCTAGTGAATCAATATCAATTGTAGATTGAGGCAGCAATCTTTTCTCCTCCTGTACATAACAATTGATAATACAGACAGCAGTAATAATAATAATAATAATAATGACATACCTCTTGCATGACGTAGGAAGCTGCGTTGATTAAAACATAGGTACATTTTATTCCTATCTTTATCAACCTTCGTAACATTTCTTTCCCTATAATAATAGATAATAAACACAGTTAGATAACAACAAATCTAGATCATAAATACAGTTTAAATAGTTCTCTCCATTGATAGTAAACACAGTTATCTATGATAGTAAACAGAGTTATCTATGATAATAAACACAGTTATCTATGATAAAACCAATTCTACTTCACTATTACACAAGATTTGGTGAAAGGGTCTAAAACAATCATTTTTACCTTCTAATTTAGGTCGACCATCAACAACTATCACCCTAAATTTCTTTCCTTGTATATACGCATCTTTTAAAACATGACGGATTAAAGAGGAACTGAAAAAATATCAACATTAATATTCAAAACATATCAACAAAATAAAATAACCAGCCTATCTGTTTGTTTTATTTTTACACTGGCCATCAACAATCTGATGTAAATATTAATTAACTTGTGTTCACTGTGGCATTTGATTGGTTGATATTTTACTATTAATCATAGGGTATAAGAAATCTATCAGATCGTATAAAATATGGTTATAATTCTATCTAACTCAGTATAAACTCACCAAGCGTAAACCATAATAACATCACCATCAGCTATTTTTTTACAAGCGTAACCAGAAATAGCACTAGCTGGTACAGTAATTCTTTCATGAATAAACGTATCAATACACTCGTTTAACATCTGTTTAGCCTGTTAAATAAATTAATATAAAATACTATCAGTAAGCTAGACAATGGATATTTATATAGTTATTTGTATTAAGATAATCTTATACAGGCAAACTGCCAACAGACCTGTAGCCAGACTTGATTGTTCAGAGGGGCAAGTAATATATCTAGAGGGGCAAGTAATATGAGCCGTGCTGCCAGTCTTCACTAAGCGTAAATAAATTATTGTGTAGAGTTACGTACCTTTGTATCAGACATATCTCTTGGTGTATGAGTTATATTCCATTTCAAATATTTGATAGCATTTCCCATACTGACTGATAGAGGACGACATTGTGTCAAAAAACTAGAAAAAATAACGTACAGATAAGATTGAAATTATTGATGACTCTTTGGGAAGAAAGAGTCAAAAACTAAAAGAAGAATCTTAATTCATCCTGCCATGCTGTACAAGTATAATGAAGATTCAAACCTACAAGCGCCAACATATCTTATTGTCACAGAAATAGATTATCAAGCTTTGTACTAAATTGTTTATTACAATAACTATTAAGAAGATTCAAACCTACAAGCGCCAACTTACCTGATATAAGGTTTAATCTTACTGTCTAAATCTCGGCCTAGTTCTTTCTGTGGTGGTGTAGAATAGTCTGATATCACCTGAAAATATGAACATCAGTCAATAATAAACATGTCAGATCTACTGGGGACTGGTCTTAATTATTAAGTTATGAAATTATCAAACTAGCCTGAATCACATAAAACACCCAGCTTGTACTCAGCCCTGCGTATAAAAAAGCAATCGTTTTGTCGTGTATTATTATTTGTTTTCTATTGCCTATAAATATTTCACTATTTATTCAGTAGAACAACAATAAATAGAAATTATTTTGATTATTGAATATAGAGAGTTAAACAGTTAACATTTAATATCAAATAAGATGAGAAAATTACCTTTTTAAAAGCAGCAAGTAAAGCTACACACCGAGCATTAGAACCAACAATTAAACCTTCAGCATATTGTAAACCTAGCTTGATTATTGCTGGATGGATTCCACAACTAGTAAACCTACAAACACATAATTTAATTGTAAAAGTACTGAGTGTTAGAATTTCAATCTGAATAGTGATACAGATGGCTGAGATTGAGCTCATTCAGCTGCTATTTTTAAATATTTTGTATAATGTGAGAGAAAAATGCTTTGGATAAAATTTTGATTAACGGAATTGTCTTGCTTGTATTAACTTTTACATGATAATAAGTTAAAAACTTCACGGAGGACACTCCTGTACTAAATACCTGTTAAGTTGTGTGAAGGTGATCTCTCGTTGATATTGTTGTAGATGATTAAACAGTTTTATTCTACGTTGAACTGAAGTTCTCTGGGGTACCTGCTGTTTCTCAAGTTTTTTAGCCACTCGTTTCTGAGTATCTGGTAAATCAGCTTTCACATTATCAGACACTCTCGATCTGGGATCAGCTAATTTTTCTTTCTTAGCTGAAATATACACAGTTTAACACTCAAATTGATGACCTATTGTTAAATAGAAACTGAGGATAGGGAATATACAATCTGACAATACAGACTGAAGTTGTTAAATAGATGAGGTCTGGTGTACAGTGAGGTATTATAGATATAGTAGAAAATAGTAGAAGTCAATCATGTTTATACTGACCTGCAGGGGGTCCTGTTTTCTGTTTTTCTTTTGCTGCTCTCTGTGCTTCCTGAAAGAAAATGTTAAATTAAAATTAGAGAAACTAGTATTATAGGGTAATTAATGAAACAGTCAGTATCCAATCAGATTCTTTTTCCTTTTAATTGCACGTGATTTCTGTCTCCTCCTCCGTCTGGTTAAACTCCTGACAAGACTCTAGTCCGCAACAAAAATATCCAACCAACCCCTTGTGTACTCGTGTGCTCTCAGCTTTAGACCACTCAATGCCAATGAGATTAATCAAAACATACCTGTAACGCTCTTCTCTCAGCTTTTAACTGGGCCTTAGACTTCTGTTGACCTTCACCTTCAGGAGCACCAGGACCTCCAGGACTTTGACCTTCAGGCTTAGCTGGCTTCGATGTTCCTCCCTTGACCTTTGGGCTATCTGACTTCACTGAAGTTTGACTTGAACTCTGAACAGACGGATGACCATCTTCAACTTTTGACCCCTTGTCTTCAACTTTGACTCCACCTTGACCCTTCTGAGATTTCTTGCCTTCACCCCGCGGAGATTTCTGACCTTTATCCTTTGGTTGTCCTTGACCTTGCTTAGCATTGTCTTTTGCTACATCTGTTTGTTGAGGCGTAGCGCCAGCTGATTTTGGTTTGGGTGATTTGTTTTTCTGTTTGCCTTTTTTCTTTCCATCTTCTACTCCAAGATTTTTCATTGAGGGCTGTGCTTCTGCCATCTTGAATCAATCTGTAATTATAAAGAGGAAGTATAATTAAGTTCAAGTTTGTGTCAGATGTTAGGAAAATAAAATGAAATGAATGGAGATTTATGTCCTTGTCGAAGGATCTTTAATGTTCACAGCCTGTAGCATACGGGGCCTCAGTTTATTGTCTTATCTAAACAACCAGATGACTTTTCCATGTCAGTCAGCCATCACTGACACAGTGACGGGGGAAACCAGAACTTAGATACATGATACGGATTGGATTTCTGTTGCCAGTCAACTAGCTGCTATTTAAATTTGGACATGATGCAAGCTGTGTTCCTTAGGAGACGGAGTATGCTCACTCCCCCCCCCCCCCCCCTCTCTCTCTCCACAACAACTTTCCACTCTGTTTTAACAAACTCATAGGGATAACCTCGCCTTGAAATGTCGAAAAATGATTGCCAATTTACCTGATGAAACCTCGTCTCGCAATAGATCTGCTTATTTCTCAACAGGCTGTCATTTATTGCCAAAAAACAATAAAAGTATGGTCTAGTATCTTTCATCAGAAACAAATATTGAATTATGGGAAGGGATTCCCCGGGGATTCCCGGCTAAAAATAGCACAGGTTATCAAGGCCTACAGTTTCGTAACCATTTTCTTTTTTACATATTTTATGATCTTAAAATATATTTTCATCCCAAATTTGTTTACTATATAGATTGTGATACTATTTTCGAAATTCTTCGACCATTAAAAAAATAATTATTCGTAGTAGGTACGAAACTGTAAAACCTTGATGTTCATTTGGTTACGTATTTGTCTATCACGTGATACCAAATAATTAAAATGGCGACTGAAAATGCAGGTAAATTGTTTATATTTAATTAGATCATTTAATTACTTGATTAACGTCCAATCAGACAACAGTTCACACGTCAGAATTGTCAAACGATTAGCTTGACACTTTATCAGCACAGTTAGTATTATCTGAAGCAGGTTCTTCAATGGAAACGACCCTTGTGAGTGATTCTTTAATTGTCTCTGTTTTGTAATAATAAGGTAATAATTGTTTTATTCTAGAAATGAAGCCAAGAGAAGTATTAGAGTTAGAGAAGGAATTGAGAGATTTAAAACATGATTATGAGAAGTTAGAGAAGCATTTAATAGAAATAGAGTTAAAATACCAGTCTGAGATTTCACAGATTATCTCTAGTGGGGAGAGTCCATCTTTATTAAAATTACAACATAGGATATGTGGTCTTTATAATCAACCTTTATATAGGTAATGAAACAGTTTCACCACTTGTCTTCTTATATTTTATGATGACATTCGATTGGTGTTAAGATGAAATGAGAATATAACTCATAGAAAGCATGGGCCTAGGTCTGAAGCAAGGACTATTTATTTACAAGTGCTGGTTAGCTTGGTAAAGTTAGTTTTATAAATATTCAGGTGGTACCCACTTGTCCTGAGCTATAATAAACAAAAAGCTGCTGTGAATTCTGAACTGAGTTCCTTGTGTGTTCTTATGTTTGTATTTTTGTCAAAGTAAAACCATATTAAGACTAACAGTAACTATCAGAATCTAGTAAAATTCTATTTACCAGTGAAACAACAAGTTAACGACAAGAAAACTCATTAATAAATTACCTTTAGAAGATTCCAACTCTTCCTACAGCAGGCTACAGTACTGATGATATCTATTCTCTCTTCTCTAATACAGACATTAAATTCATACTTTCTATACAGTCATAATACTGATTGAAGGGAAGTAACTCGATTTTAGCTACCTTTCAATTAAAGACCACAAATAACTTCTCAATTTTCCATACATCTACAACACTGCTTGTACATGAACTTTCAATGGTGACGACCATTTTAATAATGAATTATTGTTTTTATCAATGACATGGGGGTATGGGGAGTAGAGTTAGGTGAACTTTGAACTAAAGAAAGATTGAGTTTGGACTACATCTCTGAATTAATACAAGATATAAAGATATTTTTAATAATAGGTAAAATTCATTCTATCAACGAATGTGCGAAGACAGAAGGTAATAAGATGTATTTATAAAGAGTTAATGCCCTTGATTTCTGATAATATATTTCAGTGATATCAAGATAAAGTTAGAAGATAATCAGGAGATATTTGGACACAAGATAATTTTAACAGCTAGAAGTGAGAAGTGGGGTGTTGATAATTTCCATCTTTCTACAGAGTTAGATTTTACAGGTTGGTCCAGGGTTGTTTTTAAATATATCAGATCAAATTCTGTATCAATTAAGATATCATATACTTATGACAAGTGGAGAGGTTGCTTCATATGATTACGCTAAGTTGTGCTCTGAAACTTTCCCCAAGGAAAGGCATGATATATTGATCTATATAATATTGTTACAGATAGAAGATGTAGTGTAGCTATAGCCATGATAAAATGGGTGTATACAGATGAATTTGAAGATATTAATGTAGAATTAATGATTGAGTTAATAAAAATGGCGAAACAGTTTGATATTGAAATCCTGAAATTAAGGTAAAGTTAAAATAAGTTTAAAACCACTTGCTTTATTAATTCTATAAACAGTGGACAGATTTTTACTGAGAACAGAACATCTATTAATACTTGAGAAGGTTACCTGTATGTGTAATAAAACTGTAAATATATTATATTATTATATTAATAAAACTGTTATTTCTAAGAATATTTATTATTTATATTTGTAAATTGTAGATGTGAAAAAGAACTTGTTAAATTAACTACTCAGGTTAATAAAGATCAACTGTTAGAAATATCTGAGATTTATCAGTGTAGGTTATTAAAACAAGTTTGTTTACAGTTTATTAATGGTACAGATAGTCAATTAGTCAAGGTATTGTGTACTGTAATATTTATATTTCTACTATCAATCTCTTCTATAAATCACTTACACTAACTGGTGTTTTCCATAAACAGTGACTCAATCTAATATTAATTATGCTATTGAGACCAACGTTTAATTCTCAAATAACTAGGGATGTTTTTCTACAGACTAAAATCTTTGATAATTTGACAGAAATCACATTTAAGTTTTAATTAATGCTTAGCCTACAATTACTGATTAAATCGTTTTCAGAATCAACCAGAAGAGAGGCAGACTAGTACAGATATACCTGAAGATCCAGTAGAAGATTCTCCAGACAGGAATGATGTTGATGAGACAAGTGAGGAGGAATTTATAAAACCTGTTAGAAGAAGAACTAAGAAATCTCTTATCAAACCCAAACAAACACAAATTAAATCTAAAATAAGACAAAAACTCAATTCTAAACAGCCTGGAAAAACACGAAGAAAGACAGTGGATTTTTTAACTCCAACAAAACCACGATTTCAAACTTCTACTCTACAGTGTAAAGATTGTCATAGAAAATTTACTTATAAAGATTCTTACGATAAACACGTCAAAATGCACAAGGGAGATTACTGTGTGGCTGAAATAAAAGCAGATGTGTTGAAAAAATTAACTCAGGATAAATCTTATGACGGGTTTACAAACTTTAATGAAACAGAAAATAACTTAAGTCTGGATTCAAATCCAATTTTTCCAAATGTCCAAGATTTAGATCAGAGATCCATGGATGAGAATTCTGGGACCAACAAATGTCCATGTCCATCTTGTCCGAAGTCTTTTCCTACTCCTGAAAAATTAAAGAGACATGCCGAAATTCATACCAGAGTTCGCAAACATAAATGTCTGGAGGAGGGATGTGAGAAAAGTTTTTTTACTAATTCAACTTTAAAACAACACATGTTAATTCATTCTAACGAGAAACCATATACTTGTGAAGTTTGTCAAAAACCTTTCCGTCATTCCAGCGCTTTATCAGTACATCTAGAACTTCACGCTCGACAAGGACAAGTAGAGAAAACTACCTTCCCCTGTGAAGAGTGTGGATTAAAATTAGCCACGACTCAAAGTTTACAGAGACATATTCTTAATAAACATACAGAAGGAAACGTGAAGCCAATATTTCAGTGTAGTATTTGTGGAGAAATATTCGGGTATAGAGGATCTCTGAAAGCTCACACTAAGAAACATAATGGAGAAGGTTTTACACAGTGTGATATTTGTGGACGAGAGTTCAATGATAGGAAGAATTTAAAATCACATTTACGAACTCATTCTGATTTAAAACCATACCAATGTCCTCATTGTAATTATACATGTAAACACAGTAGCGCCATGTTAAATCATGTTCGTAGACATACTGGAGTCAGACCTCATATTTGTGATGTTTGTGGTAAATCATTTATCTCAGCTTCAGAAATGAAACGTCATACTTTAATACACACTGGAGATAAACCATTTAACTGTAATATATGTGGTAAGGCATTTAGAAAGAGTCATCATGTTAAACAACATTTTAAAACTCATAAAAATGAAGGTTATATGGATCCAGGAATCAACTACCAACAAACTTCTTATATACCTAATACACTACCCTTACCCAACTTAACTTTATAATAACTAAATACCTAACACCCCTATATTTACAACCAATACAACAATTTTAATGGTTGTTTATTACGGGATATTTTCTGTTTTTTCATTTAATCATATTTTCTTCACTTTTTGATTTTCATTAAAATATTATACTGAAGAGTTGTTTTTAATTGTTGAAAGTTTAGTTAGTGGTTTGTCTTGTTATTGTGTGTAACCCATCACAAGAAAATGACTGCTGTCATACAAAGGTCAAGTAGCACACTGTTTTTAAGGTGGGTCTTATCGAAATCAGATGAAACAGATGAAGAAGGCAGACAATAGTCAACAATTTCAAACCAAATATTAAAGTTAATAATTTTATTCACCCTCAATAAAAAAAAAACTACCCACAAAAAACACATCTTCACAATGTCAAGAATATTACTTCATCTTATACCTTGACTACAATAGCCACCTGTCCTGTATCATAGACTACAGAGATCTGATTGGATTGTACATTGGCCAATACAGCAAATCATAGCTCTCTTGTTTACAAACTTTCTGTCAAGGACTCTGTGATACAAGATAGGTGGCTATTGCATTCAAGGTATAAGTATGAAGTTGGTAATATCTTGACTATGTGAAGTTGAACACTGTGAAAATATAAACTAAAATAAAACCAGTAAAATAACTCAATAAAGTTAGTCTTCTAACAAATAACTAAAATAAATAAATTACTATAATAAATAAAAACAAACAACCAAACAAAACAAAACTCAACATGCATTCTCAATAACATAATAATAATACTTATTTTAGTATTAAACTTGACTGATAGATTACTATCAATAAGACTGTAAATATCAAATATCTTCTTCTGTTTACTTTAAACTTCTGGCTGCAAGACACTCCGTATTGTTCATTCTCAACTTGATATGTTTAAATTTATAATAGGACGAAAACCCAACTATTAATGTACTGATATCATTCTATAATACAAGTTGACAGATTTCTACCAGGATCAATATCAACAAATCTAAATTTTAGAAAGTTCATGTTGACATGTTTCTATCAGGTCTATGTATAATAACAATCTGTTCTTCAACCTCATTCTGGATATTGACGACAGCCGTATCCTGTTCTGATTGGTCAGCGTAAGTCTGTAGCTCAATTAAATTTCCGTGACCGTCTGCCGTTTCATAATGAATAGGAATATTTCCATCATACTGACTAATAGAAATTTGATGTGGATGATTCTCAAAATTCTGAATAGAGATGCTATTTTCATTGATTTCATTTTGAATGGCGATAATTTCACTGTGACTGCGATCCTGTAATGTTTGTATTGTTATTGTTTCCTGTACGGGGATATCTAATTTGTTGATATCCACGGCTTCTAATTGGCTAATATCTAAAGTCTCGTAATCACTCGTTATAATTTTATTCTTTTTTGTATCTTTATCTGGTGTTTTCTCCTTGTCGTGTATTTTTCGATGTCGACGCATGTGTGAAACATCCTTGAAACCTTTTTGACAAATCTCACAAATATATGGTTTTTCACCAGTATGTATTCTAATATGAACTTGTAAACCTCCACTAGTTCTAAAAGATTTCCCACAAACATCACAAATATAAGGTCGTTCATCTGAATGTAGACGTAAATGTACCACTAGAGATTCACGATGTCGAAATGGTCGATTACAATGTGAACAAACAAACGGCATGACTCCTGTATGAATTCTTGAATGTTGTCTCAACTGACATTTTTCAGCAAAAAATCTCCCACATCCATCACATTGATAAGGTTTCTCTCCAGTATGAGTTCGTCTGTGAACACGTTGACTCACGCGATGTCGAAATGTACGATCACACAAATCACACTTGTACGGTGTTTCTCCAGTGTGTTTTAAACGATGACGTGCTAACTGACTCTTGTTACAATACTTGGCATTACAGAAATCACACTGTAAAACTTTGTTTATTTTTGGCACCAATGGTTTCCCGCCTGTTTTCAAATCTTTCTGTTTATTCGTGTCTGTTTTAAGATGGACGTTTTTAATATGTTTCTGCATGGTACTTTTATCTGTGTATGTTTTATGACAATGTTCACATTGAAATGGTCTCAGTCCAGAGTGAGTACTCTCATGTCGTTTTAAACCATAACTTTTATAAAATCTTTTCGGACATTGTTTACATTGAAATGATTTTTTAGAAGTGAATGAATTTTCGTCCACACCTGGATCACCATGGAAACTGTTGTCTGTTAGTGCCTCTATTATTTCACCATCTGTATTATGAGTATTGAAATCTGGAGGTGGGTTTTTCTTCTGAAAATAGACCAAGTTTTATTATCAATAATAAGAGAAATTATTCTGTAATACCACTGTTAATAAATGTGAGAGAGATAGAATTGTTATAGTGATATGTATTATCTTATCACATTTACAACAGTTTTTCATTGGTTAACACAAATAATGGTAACCTTTGATACTATGTAGTCAAAATCAAACAGAACACAATTTATAGAAGAATCGTGTCAGATGATGGATGACGTGTAGTGGCCTACATAGAAAACCATGAAACGTAACATCTAGATCTATAGTTTTATCAACAAGTTGAATTGAGAGCGAGAGAGAAAGAGAGAGAAAGAGAGAGAGAAAGAGAGAGAGAGAAAGAGAAAGAGAGAGAGAAAGAGAGAGAGAGAGAGAGAGAGAGACGTACCTTTTGTTGAAGAATGAATTCAAGACAATAATCTTTAAGAATAATACAATGTAACTGTTTAGACATATCATATAGTTCCTGACAATTAGACACTGTGATATGAGATATTAACATCTTTTCTACTCTGTAATATAAATAAACACAGTATTAAATGGCTTCTAAATAAACTATACACATGTTTAAAATGTTGGATTGAAGCCAGCATAACAACACTTAACAAGTGATGTCAACAAGTGATGTCAACACAGAAAACACACAAGGAAATATGTAGATTTGAATTAGACCACATTTGAGAGAATAAAATAGTAAAAACCTAACCTATTGAGGAGAGATTCTAGATGAAATCTGGCAGCAACTTGAAGTAAACTTTTTAAAAAACCATGGTTGTAATTTGAGTCTAGTTTATCTGTATACACCCATTTTATCATGGCCATAGACACATCATAGTTGATATCTAGTGAAAAATAATAATAATATTATTAATAACAGGCATTATCACAGAAAATATAAAATATACTGGTAACAGACTAAAGTTATTATAAATGATAATAAATATATCTAAGAAACATCTGCTACATCTGTGTTTTTCTGTAATTACAGACAGACTAGATGTCTGATTTCTATTCTAAAAAGTAGTACAGGTAACTGAAATTGAAGGTAATAAAGAAGTAGATAATAATTATATTCTTACCTGAGAGATCTAGAACTTCTGTTTCTATGAGATCAGTCACACCCCAGTAATTACTTCTAGCTGATAATATCAACTTGTGACTGTTAAATTGACCTCCATTTTCTAGTTGAATTCTAACATCACTGTAATAAATATCAAATCAAATTAATGGAGTTTTACACTGAAATAGATATTGTAGTTTCAGGTTGGTAGACTGGTACAATAGAATTTATAGGCCATGGTTCGCTATTTTCACCAGTTTAATTGGGTCTTGAATATATGTAAATAGTCTTCAGAAGCAAGAAAAGAACATAATTCCTTCAAAACTACCTACTCTATTTCTATATGTCTTTTTAATACATGGCAGAGTCTCATGAAAAGATGAGTTGTCATTTAATTCAGGACATAAGGATTTGAAGGCTCAAATTTCACCAGTGATCTGTGAACACTATTACTGATTTGTGTAGTTAAAATATTCCTGTTTCAAATCGTCTTAAATGAGAGATCACAATAGATTTTTTAGAGGGTGCTGGGTAAGGAAAGAATTCAATTTTACATGGGAGATAATCGATGCTGGCTTATTGAGACTACGACCACAAATAACTAGATGTAATTGAAGGGACATAACTCGATTTATCAAAACTAGACTACAGTTAAATGGTGAAAATTTGTATTATTCTGAACATGTTTTGGAGGTTGTTAAACTGGTTTTTTGATGAATTGTAGCCAGACAGCTTGCTAAAAAGAAGATGGACTGTTAGAAATAAATAATCTAATTAATATGAAGGCCAAATTTATCTGAAAAAAATGATAGTTACACTGTAGCAGTGAAAATCAATCTTTTCTGTTTTCCAAATTAAAAAGCATCTCAATGGTTCTCCTGCAGAATTTAATTACAAGCTCCATTGGAAAATAAGGGAATCCCCCTTGTCAATCTTACCTATAAAGTTGTGAATAAAACAGTTCACTAACTGCTGACTGTAACTGATTTATAAACGACCCTCCACCATTCTCACTGACTCCACCATTACTTATAGCTGATTGATATTTTAATTCTATTTCTTCTAAATGATCCTGTAGCTTTATATATTCTTCTTTCAGTGAACTTAATTCCTGTACTGTAGGATCTATTACTGGGATTGTAGCTAGTTTAAAATTAAAAATATTATCATTATATAACTTAGTATGATTCAGTAAGTTATAAAAGATTGTTCATGGTTCAGTGATGTTACAGAATATGTTAGAGTGGGGTGGGGTGGGGAGACAACCTTGTCAGACATGACAGACATGACAGGTCAACAATCTTTAAGCCACATTAAGAGGTAGTCGAGATATCTTAAAAAAAGTAGCCAAAAGTGACTATAAAAGTGAACCTATCATTTGACAATGCAGCGGTTTACTGTCATATTCTTTATACTTCAGCGCTTTAAATGCATCAAATTGTACCTTCTGACTGTGTATAGTCTAAAGGTTTAATTCTAATTCAGGGGGGTAGGTCAGACAACTTGACAGAGGTACCAGACGACATAACAAATGACTTTCCCAAGGCCAAGGATTTACTTGAGTAAAATTCAATAAAATATGGTCATTTGGTGAAAACTTTACATGGTATTGTTTGGATTGATATTTTATGTTGCTGTCAAAAAGTTTTCAGAGCTAAAAACCCGACACAGTAAGCGTGAGCACCGAATATAATTCAACACTGATCTTCTGTTTATTACCTGTCGCCATCTTGAAAATATCCAGTCATGTGATCAGAAAAACTTTGTCACGTGATATTTTTAAGTCCAAAATGGCGGCAGGTGAAATTAATTTTTGTCAGTTTTTAACAAATTGGCAAATTGTGCTTGATTTAACAGCCAAGCAAGTGTAATATTGAATTCCAGTGATGCAGTTTGCTTCGTTGACAGCTGTCCTTCATTATGATTTAACCGTGAAATGATCTATGACATTCAGGCGTAGGAATTTATAATTAATGATGACCAATTCACATATACACATTACCTCACAATCAGTGTTTACTATCATAGAATTAGATGTCACCAAGAATTTGTCTTCAAACTCCAACATTTCATCGCCCTACCTTGGCAGGTCAATCGTTTTGACCTTGAACTGACAAAACTTCCCTCATTGCCCAATTCATGGCATTACTAGCTATCCAGTATACCTACTAAGTAGGCTATTATTTATTTATAGTTTCTATGAAGTTTCCCACTCTTAATAATGATATCATGTATCTAACTATAAATCTATTTTCCAGAAGAATCAGAAATGGAAGTAGATCTACAGAGTGAATTGAATTCTATCAGAGAAGAATATTCCAAGTTAAAAATTCACCTGAGTAATCTAGAGGTAAAATATCAGTCAGAGTTTAACAGTAAACAACAGAATGAGTTGGAAGAAGAGAGAATATTTAACCAGTCTTTACGATCAACTGTAGCCAGTCTGTTTAATAATAAATTATATAGGTAGGTCTCTAGACTTTACTGTTATTCTGTATATGGTCATGTCTATCTAAGAATTGACAATGGCCTCATTGATATTGGTATAGTATCAAAACTGTAGTAACCAATTCACAGATAGTAGGATGAACTGAAAACATTATAGTCTTCAATGTATATAATTATCCCCACAATATGTACTGGTTAGAGCTGGGCAATGGTAATAATATTTATATTGATTGTTTATTGTAAACTTGACCCCAGAATATTCAATATTTTATTTGTATATATGTCATGTGATCTATTGTATATTTCAGTGATATTAATATTCTAATGAAGAATAAAGAAACGATCTATGGACATCGATTAATTCTGTCTAGTAGAAGTTCACGGTGGGGAGGAAAGTCATTAGATTCACTAGATATCTTAGATCTATCAGGTAACATTCTTACTCTACTTACCAGCAATTAATATACTTATATACTAGAGTATAGACCTAGATCTAACTACTAACAGAGAGATACTGAAAGTGTCATGGTCGCCTCAATAATTAATATACTTATATACTAGAGTATAGACCTAGATCTAACTACTAACAGAGAGATACTGAAAGTGTCATGGTCGCCTCAATAATTAATTGACTTTTCATATAAAAGATGAACAGGAAAATTACTAGTCACGTACTGAAGGTGATGTCTTAAAAATTACATCATATCACATGGCCATTACTCAATATATGAAGTGTAAAATAATGGCCTGATGATGGCAATATATCTGAAATATATTATATGATATTTGTTTCAGATGTAGACTATAGAGTAGGATATGATATATTGAAGTGGGTTTATACTAATAATATAGATATTATAAAGGAAGAGAAATACCTAGTAGATTTACTTCAACTTTCTTATCAATATAATCTACCTTCTCTTATACACAGGTCAGTTCTTACTCTTCTTTACTATACAACCACATTAATATTATTATCTATGTGAACTTGCCTAGTTTACAAACTTAATTCTGATAAACTTTATTAGCTATGTGGACTCTCTGAATAATAATATTTTATCTATTATTAAAGGTGTGAGAGAGAGATACTATCATATATTGATGAATCTAACTCTCTGTTGTTCTATGATCTCTCCAACTTACTGGGCAATAAGAAAATTAAAAACCATTGTTTACAGTTTAATAATGTTAAAAACGTAAGTATAAATGTTTGTGAATCATATGGTGTTAAAATAACACTGTCATTTGAATAATTTATTTCATAGCTTAGGCTAATACTTATACCAGTATTGGTGATACTTTCCAAAAACTATTTCATTTTATATTAGTAATAGAGGGATGCTATGTCCATGATAAAATATTATAAACTATTTTTTCAGGTGGGAATTCTGGGTGGAAATGATAATGATGAAAATATTATTGCTATCGAACCTTTAGAAACTGAACTAGTACCGGACAGAGGACCACCAGAAACTAAATTCATAATACTAAAATCAGCGACAGAAATAGATAAACCAACACATGAAACGGGACTAGAAATATCTAAACCAGTGACAGACGTTGAAAAATTAGAGTCTAATACTGAACTAGATATACGGCCAGAAACAACTCTAGAAAAATCAAAATCAGCATGTGAAAAAGGAAACTCAAATAATGAAAAAGAAAAACCAAACCTGGAAATAGAAAAACAACCAGAAAGTGTAAAACCGAGACGTGGTCGACGAAGAAGAACTACAACTGATGAAAACTCTAATAATAAATGTAAAATTTGTAATCGAAGTTTTAAAAAGGCCAGTATTCTAGCAGCTCATAATGAGGCTCATGAAAAACAACTTAAAAACTTTCCAGAACAAATAAATCACGATACGTCAAAACCATTTAAATTTTTACGCAAGAAAAAAGAACTGAAAACTACGTGTGATATTTGTGGTAAAAAATTCGCCACTCCTTCATCTTTAGAACGTCATAAATTAAATCATACTGATCAAGGCCCTGTGACGTGTCCACATTGTGATCGAGAATATAAATCATTAGATACACTGAGTCACCATATTCGATACAAACATTCAGGAAAAATACGAGAGAAAAAACATACCTGTGAAGAATGTGGTAATAGTTATATATCACAAAGTCTTTTAAAAAAACACAAAATAAAACATACAGGACAACGCCCGTTTAAATGTTCACATTGTGATAAACGTTTCTTAGAGAAAGGGCAGAAAGTACGTCATGAAAAACTACATACTGGTATTCGTTCCTTCGTTTGTGAATCATGTGGTTTCGCGTTCAGTGAAAAAGGAAATTTAGAGAAACATATAGCCAGTGTTCATCGTAGAGAAAAACATTTCGCCTGTGACGTCTGTCAGAAAATGTTTTTCAGAATGGATACCCTAAAAAAACATCAGTTGATGCACACTGGAGAGAAACCTCACATGTGTCCAACATGTAATCGTTATTTTGCTATGAAGAGTAATATGATCAAACATCAAATGGTTCATACTGGATCTAAACCTTATAGATGTAGTGTTTGTGATAAAGGTTTTACTGAACGTGGTCATGTTAGAAGACATATGAAAGTACATGATAAACTAAACCTGAAAGAAGATAAAGACGTGAATGGAGTCGAACAAGTCGTGTTGGTCGTCGTCAAATCTGAAGATGGTGAATTAGAAACTCAGGAAAATATCGTACTCAATAAAAACTTAACCATCAATGAATCTAACCAATCATTGGCTGCAACTCCTGGTCACATGGTTGAACATGAAGGTCAATTATTAAATGTTGAAGGTCATATTATTGTACATGTTGATAGCGAGGGTAATCTAGTAGACAGTCAGGGTAATTTTATAGCTAGTAATCGTGTCATGTTGACTGAAAATCAAATCAACGAGGATGTCGTTCAAACAGATCCTTTCGGGGGACAAGAACAAATTGTCAGTATTAAAAATGAATTTATTAAACTCTGAGATAATTTTCAACGCAACTCTTATGTAACAGATAATCTAGGGAAGATCAATGTCAAGAGGTTTGGTCAAGGACCAGCTGGTAGAAAGGATCATTAAATGTGAACCTAAGTTATTATCCTTGTAAAATATAGTTCTTTCTTTCTTTTCTTAGAGTTGCGTTCAGAATTCATGACCTATATTATTATTCACAATGGGTTATCTCTGAGTTGTAACAGATGTAGATTTATATAGAATCCCCGCTGTGTTTGTGAATATTTATTAATATTTTGTTGGAATATAAATTCTGAATTCTTGGGTCTGTATGATTTATAATGAATATAAAGTCGTGTATTTTGATGCGGATCAAATTGAAGTCCTGTATTTTGTCTGTATTGAAACTGAATTAACGTGTATTTTGATACGAATTGTTTAAAATATTACAGAAATAAACTCTTAATATTTATTGGTTTCAATCTCTTCTAGAAATACTGACAATGCTGCTGTCCTGGCAAAATTTCCCCCATTGCACACTGCATGGCATTGCCCGTTTTTATTAGCACAGTTGTACCCATTTACCTCGCTTTAATTCTCGACAAGCGTCATCATAGAACTCTAGTATTCATTTTAATAACATTTGCAGTGCCCAATCTGTGTTGTCAAGAAACGAACAGAATGAAAAAAAGAGACATTTCGGATTATCTCGGACTATCGCTTCTATTTTGATTTCTAATCATCCAGACGTAAAGTTTCGACTGAAATTTCTATAGAGTCTGGATTGACAGCGACTACCAACGAGATTTTCAAAATGGCGTCAGGTAAAGGAAGTGGAAATTAATCCAATCATTTTTTATATTTCTGACCTTCTCGCTTTATGAATTATCCTAATCGAACCAAATTTAGCGAATTTTAGTTGTTTCTTTGCTAATCCCAAGTTCATGAGAGTTTTTGAAGCCATCAAGTCAGGAAAATGAATGGTAAAGAAATTGAGAAAATTGGGATACAAAAAAAAATGGCGTCAAACAGGTCAGCAAAGGGACTTGAGAGAAGCCAATTTTAAAGTACCCTGTGAAACTCAGTTGGTTATACAATTGGAATTTAAATGACCCAACACAAATGTTAACATATTTATCTTGTCTCCTTTAAATCTCCTTATTTCCGATTTGTGTTAAGAATTGTGATGGAATGCTTAACCACAGGGACTTGAGAATTTTGTTATTCTTGACCAAACCACTCCCTCATACTTTGCTGCTATTTTAACACTATTTACATGTGTCGTTATCAGATGAAATAATGAAAGAGTATAAAATAACATAATAAAATGTCGTTCAAATCTTATATTGTATTTTTAGATCCTACAGATCTAATGGAAGTGTCGTTAGAACCAGTTGGTCTAGTGTCGATAGAAGACCCAGTATCTTTAGATGGTTCTGCTGTAATATATATAGACAATCAAATGGCAGTAGATCAAACGGAACCCATGATAGTGTCACAAGAAGATATCGACAATTCAATATTGGCACAAGATATCGACAATTCAATATTGGCACAAGATCAACTTAAATCAGAGTTACTGGAAGATCAAGTCACAATGAAACTGGATGATCCAGCTACCACGTCAACACTGGAAGGTCTAGTCACGGAAGCACCAATAGAAGATCTAGAAAAAGAGTTGAATTCTGTACGAGAGGAATATGTCCGTCTTCAGGATCACCTTGCCGATATAGAATTAAAATATCAATCAGCGTTAGCCAACGAGAAGGAAGGAAGAGGCAGTCAGTTTTCCACGGAGTTACAGACTGTCGTAGCAAATCTTTTCAACTGTGAGAAATACAGGTAGGCTTGAATTACAAACCCAAGAACCAACGATCCAAACTGTAAAACTCGACATCCAAAATAATAGTATGGCAATACATTAGTTGTATCTAATGAACTTTTTACATGAGGGAGTATATCAATCTTAAGAGAGTAAATATTTCGTAATGAAATACCCATACCCTGCCTGGCACCACACCTACCATAGCTGCTTAATATTACTTAATATTTTTTCTCTCTTGTTGTATGAATTGATTTGCTATCACTGACCAGGAGTGGGGAGTAATTCAGTGGAATATTCTCTATTTCAGTGATGTTCAAGTGTTATTAGAAGATGATAAAATATTTTATGGTCACAAGTTAATTTTAGCAGCTCGTAGTTTATATTGGGGTGTAACAGACCTGTCTCTAGCCCCTTCCATTGATTTTAAACGTAAGTAACTGACTCTAGTTGTCACAGGATAAGTAGGATATATCTAATCTACTTGATTCCAGCTCTTATGGTCTCCATCTTCTCTTCAACGTGGATGTTTATTCAGACTGTAAAAATCCTGCATTAAGATTTAGAGCTCCTTATCACTTTTCACAAGACAGTATTGATGTTATGACAATCATCAATAAAATAAACATGTTATTTGTCTCTTTCTGAAATGATATTGATATTTTGTAGATGTAAATAACGATGTTGCTATGGCAGTATTAAAATGGATTTATACAGATGATATTGATATAGAAAATGTTTCAGTTGATTTTCTCATGGAATTACTCAAAGTTTCTTCTAAATATCATTTAGAGACCTTGTTTACTAGGTAAGACTGGAGAATTAACTCAGAACTGGCAATAAATCTTGGTAAATATTACAATAATATCTGAGTTAATCAGTAATAGTGTTCACAGATCATTGTCCTTATTTAAGCCTTCAAATCCATATTGTATGTCCTGAATTATCTTTAGAAAGTTAAAAAGACAACTCATCTTTTCTTGATACTCTGTTATATATAGAAAAGACATCTATAGAAATAGTTTGAGATATATATGAAGGGATTATGCGATGTTCATACATTCCTAGTAGTTGTGAAGACTATTAACATATATTCAAGACACAAATCAACCCCGGAAATAGTGAACCAATGATCTTGAATATTTTGATGATGATTATTATTATTATTATATTTTACAGGAGTCAGAAGATATTAATTACCAGAATAACAACAGAAAACAGTCAAAAATTATATCGTCTAGCTAACGAACTTCCTTCAACTACTCTTAAAAACCATTGTCTTGAATACATGACTCGAGGCAAGGTGAGTAACTTCCCTTCTATATTTATTAATAGAACTGTAGCATTAGGCAGTTATCGTCCATTTTTATAACAAGCTGTCCTGATGAGGATTGTGTATATGAAACAAGTGTTGGCAGTATGGAATCAAATTTATACCCTCACCAGCGCTTTATTTAGACGCAGTGTGTACTGAGTTAAGTCCAAAGGTTAATTTGACGAACATTCAAGAGGGCTGCCGTTAGACCCTAACTGAAGTGGTTATATTAAAAAAAAACCAAAAGTTTGGCCTATTAGACTGTTTTTGGTGGAATGTTAATTTGGTTAATTATAATTTCAGGATGGTGTGGTCATTGTGACTGATGATCTTAGTGGAAACAGTCCTATAAAAACTTCCTCTACCGACCAGTTACACTGTGATGTCTGTAGTAAATCATTTACAACACCAGCCAAGTTAAAACGTCATCTATTAACTCATACTGGAGAGAAAAGGTTTAAATGTCCAGTATGTGGGAAAGGTGTGATGGAAAAAACAACATTAAAGAAACATCTACGATCACAACATCCTAATGAAGATTTAGAGGTAGAGTATTCTTGTTCAATTTGCTGTCGACCTTTCACTGATGAAGATGAACTTCAAAAACATAAAAACTTGCACTTGTTAGACCCCATCGACCATGTCTGTAAATTCTGTTTCGTTAAATTTCCATCCCATAGTCAACTTCAACGTCACATGATTGTTCATACCAACAAAAAACCGTTTGGTTGTGATGAATGTATGAAAAAATTCACCTCAAAATACTCACTGGATGATCATACTCGTAAATTTCATCCAGACCTAGCGAAGACTCTTCCACCCAGACGGCAGAATTCTAAAACTGGTTTAGACAAGTTGAAATGTGATTTATGTGACTTGATGTTCCGATATGAAAAACGTCTGGTTGTTCACAGACGAACTCATACTGGAGAGAAACCATTACAATGTGATGTGTGTAATAAATGTTTTACTGGTAAAAATAGTTTAAATTATCATCTTAAAACTCATCAGGAGAGAACTAAGAAATGTGATGTTTGTGGGAAATGTTTTTATTTAGAATATCAACTGAAACTTCATCAACGAATTCATACAGGAGTTAAACCATTTCAGTGTCAACTATGTGAACGTACGTTTAGATTTCGTGAGAGTTTAGTTGTCCACATGCGTATTCATCGAAACGAAAAACCTTTTGTTTGTGAAGTTTGTGGTAACTCTTATAGAACACAATGGCTAATTAAACGTCACAAACGAACTCATACTGGAGAAAAACCTTATGTTTGTGAAATATGTAAAAAAGGTTTTACGAGTTCATCTATTTTAAAACGACATAAACTCAATGTTCATAAAACATCTGACGCCAGTGTTAATACTTCTCATATTATTTCTAACCAATCAGGTGGGGAGTTCTCGAGTTTAAATATTTCTACAGATCAGTCAGTCACAGAATACACTAATGTACAAATACAAGACCTGGATTTCCATTCAGCGGAAATTAATCCTGACGTAGAAGAAAGTATAGTTGAAATACCGTACGGAGATCAACCAGTTGAAATAGTAAAAAGTGAAAACGATGAGGTGTCTGATGAAAGTGGGCGGTTATCTGTATCATGTGACAGTTCTATAACAGAAGATCAACTTACGAGTCTGGTGAACTCGACTACGAGTAACTCTGACTCCCAGTCTATGATTATTGTTATTCAGACATTCGCTGATAATTCAACTGTCTAATAATATTAAACTGATAATACACCTTATTCACGTCTTGTTTCTGAGACAATGAAAGTGAGGTTTATAATGCAAATAACATTACTAAACATCCAATCAATAGCGAGAAAATAAAACTGCCGTTTCTCTGTAATGTTTGAACTATTGAATAACATTCACAGTAGCTAATACATTGTTAAAGAGGTCTTTTCTATGTTATTTTCTGTTTTATTTTATTCTGTACTGATGCTAAAAACTCTCAGTTATTTTGTATACTAATTCAAGTAAAAGAACTGTCTAATATTTAAAATGTTTTTGGTTTCTAGAGAATTGAGCTGAAATAATGACCATTGATTTGTAAAATACTTTTATTCAGTCTGTTTGGAGAAGAGACAAATAAATAAAATAATATTTTGTTAATTAAAACTGTTATAATTCTGTCACAAACATCATCCTAACGTTAACTCAGCAACTCAAACTTTTAACCCAGACGTTGACCAGTATGGGAAATAACTCATTCTTTGCTACTTTTTCTACTTTCAGGAGAAAGGAGAATCTCCAAGTTCAGAAAAATTAGCAAAGAATCAAGTCAAATGTGACGTCTGCAGTAAAAGTTTTTACTCACTGCGGCAACTTAAAAAACATGTGAACACTATACATAAAGTTAAATTTGAGTGTAAGACTTGTCATACATTGTTTGATACAGAACGGAAATTAAATCTACATCAAGTCAGTCACGAGAAGGAGATTATCTGTGATGAATGTGAGAAAGAGTTCGACACGGAACAAAAATTACGACGTCATATTTTGTTTCATCATAAAAACGATTTTTCGTGTAATTTTTGTAATGTAGTGTTCGATACTCATCAAAAATTACGTGAACACTACGTCACCCACAAAGACAAAGTTCCATTCAAATGTCACTTGTGTATTAAAATATTTTCAATGGAAGACGACTTTAAAAATCATTTAGAAAATGTCCATAAGGTGGAAAAACCAGAATATTTCTGTTCTATTTGTAATAAACCTTGTGATGATGAAGTGAAATTGAAAGATCATGAAAAACTACACGATACAGATGAGTCGGATCATATATGTAAATATTGTGGACGCGATTGTCAAAATCATAGTAAATTTCTAAAACATATGTTAACTCATTTAGGTATCCAGCCATTTCCTTGTCGTCATTGCTCTAAATCTTTTGGTACAGACAGCTCTTTAGAACGTCACAATAGAAGCTATCATGCCAAACTGGAAGGCTTGGAACCCACATCAAGCAAACGAAAACCAAAACAACCATTAAAATGCTCATACTGTGAGGAAACTTTCACGGCTCCAAAAGTGCTTCAAGAACACGAACGAAAACATACTGGAGAGAAACCGTTTGAATGTGACGTTTGTAAACAAACATTCCGATTGGTCGATTCCTACAGATCTCATATTAAAATTCATAAAGGAAAACCTCACATGTGTGATATCTGCGGGGATTGTTTCGTTCTGAAAGGTCAACTGACTCGTCATCGTAGAAAACATACTGGAGAAACACCGTTTAAATGTGAACTTTGTCCCCGTGAATTTAAATATTATAATAGTATTAAAATACACATGTCATCTCACACGGGACATAAACCATTAGTCTGTGAAACTTGTGGCAAAGGTAGTTTTACACAATCAGATTTTAAACGTCATCTTAAAGTTCACACCAACGAACGACCATTTACTTGTGATATCTGTCATAAAAAATTTAAAAGTACAAACTGCGTGACACGTCACAAACGTTTAACTCATAATAAGATAGTGAAAGGGGAAAAAACAGACGATTTTGAAAATGGTGGCCAAATTATACACCTAGCAGACGACATGAATTCTAATTCCCTAGTTACCACACTGCAGGTTTCTAACGAAGATCCGACTATACCCCACACGATCTACGTGTTTCATGAGGTCAAAGATGAAGTGGCGAGTGAAATCTTAACAGATACATCTATTCCAATTCAACTTAGTGAAGCCATCATTAAAATGGAGCCCATGACCTAACTTCAACAATGTTAGTTTTCTAATATTTCAATATTTGTTATTCATGATTTAAGAATTACAGGGCCTGGCTATAGGCCTATTCATTTTATTTCTGAAAACAAAGATTTGCTTACATACCTGAGCTTAGAGATAATTATTTTTCAATTATGCCAAGAGTTTTCTACTAATCTTTTTTTGTTTAATATTTTTCAGAAAAAATGTGAGATGGAGTTAAATCCGCCAAAATACGGCAAAAAACCTTTCCAATGTGAAACATGTCAGAAAGTTTTAAGTTGTTTTCAAAAATACAAACGCCATAAACTGGTTCATTCTAAAGAAAAACCGTTTAAATGTTCTGAATGTGGTAAAGGACTGGCTGATAATTCTAGTTTGATTTATCATAAAAGAACTTATCATTCCCACGACAGCACGAAGGAAGTCCCGACTGATTATGTATGTCAGGTGTGTGATTTTAAAACTTCACGTAAATTAGATTATTGTAAACACTTAAAAAAATCTCATCCAGACCTGGCAGCCAATTTACCAAATCAGAAGAAATCTGGTTCAGAACAACACAGAGAAACTTGTAGCGTCTGTAGTTTGACTTTTGGAAACAAACGTAAGTTAGAAACCCACATGAGAATTCATACTGGAGAAAAACCTTTTTCATGTGATAGATGTGGTCAAAATTTCCGTCGTGAAGATTCGTTTAAATATCATCTATTGACTCACGGAGAGAAACAACATCAATGTGAGGTGTGTGGTAAGAAATTCTATTTAGTTGATCAAATGAAAAGACATCATCGTATTCACAGTGGTTCTACACCCTATAAATGTGATTTATGTGGACAATCATTTCGACATTATAATAGTTTAACTGTTCATAAACGTATGCATACTGGACAACGACCTTATGTTTGTGATATCTGTGGAAGATCGTATGTTTTGATGTCACATTTAAAAGCTCATCGAGAAACACACGGAGGAGGAAAACGTAGGGAATGTGATTTGTGTGATATGTCGTATGCTAGTGCCAATGGTTTACGTCGTCATAAAGCTAAGGTTCATAAAGGGGGTAAAAAATGTGAATATTTAGAGGAAGTACAGGAACAGGAAGATATTATTATTGAATTACCAGTAGAACAAGTTGAATATTTTACAGTTTAAATACTAATATAGTCTCTTATTCATACTAACCTAACATTATTTAAACTACCTAATAATATATTAATTAACCAGACCACATGTTTGTTTTTCTATCTAGTTAGATGTTATATTTTTCAATTATTAAATCTTGTATTCACTCTACTGATTTGTAAATCATTTCTTCTTGTTTTTAAAGCTGACACTTGCTCCGTCAGTTGTTTGTTTAACTGGGGGCTGTTGATTGATGGAATCAACAGACAGAACGTTCAATAAAACAAGTTGAAACAGAGTTCAGAACGCGTTCCATGTGTCCTGAAAAAACAGTAGGTGCAGACAGAATTCAAAATGGTGGAGAAGGAAATAGATGGGACATTTTGGAATGTAACGTATCTGTTTTCATGGCGTTTAAATGAGTCTAATTCACTTGATATGAGCTGTAAATTGTGGGCATGAATCAATCAAATTACAAGGAAATATTTACAACCATGGCATAGTTTTAATTCAAAACAACAAAATTAAGACTTATTTAGCATTTTATTACTTTTACTTGACAAAAATACACCATTACATTGTGAAGAATTTCAACCCTAGAAAATCATTGTATATAGATATTATAAACAGGAGATAAGCTCTAGCCAATTATTAAAAAACACAATAAAAACACAGAGAATATAAATATTATTACAGATATCAAATAAATATATAATAGAGATATATTAGAACCTGAAACATGTTGTTACTCAGAGTTTCACACTGTGCGATCTTAGACGACTAAAACAGAACCTGAAACATGTTGTTACTCAGAGTTTCACACTGTGCAATAAGACATAATACACACTATTCAAGAAAAATTGATATATAAATGAGATTTATCTGGATAGAATAAGTTATGAATTAAACGACTCCATTATGCAAATCAATGTTTTTTTATTCATCTGAATCATCTGTAAATTTTACCACAGTAGTTTTAACACGTGCCAATCTTTTTCTCCTCTGACTTCTACTTGGAGTAACATAATCTGATTTGAGATGTCGTCTGGTGTGAATCTTCTGTTCAGTATACTGACTAAATCCAACATGGCAGACTGGACATTTGTAGGGTTTCTCTCCGGTGTGAACACGCATGTGTGAGACTAGATATTGTTTTAAGGCGAATGTTTGATGACATACTATACAGTGATATGGTTTTTCTCCGGTATGTATTTTAATATGATTATCTAAATGATGTTTCCTGGTAAACTTCTGATCACAATCAGTACAAGAAAATGGCCGTTCTCCTGTATGAATGAGGGCGTGTGTTTTAAGGTGAGCGTTTTGTGAGAATAATTTATTACACACTTGACATTGAAATTTCTTCACTCCAGAATGGATGACAGCATGTACTTTTAGAGCTGTAACAGAAGCAAAAGCTTTCCTACAAACATCACAATCGTAAGGTTTTTCACCAGTGTGAGAACGCATGTGAACTTTTAACGCTTCACGTGTAGCATATCTTACATCACATTGTTCACATTTAAAATGTTTCTCCTTGGTATGTGTTCGCATGTGAACTTTAATTTGAGATTTAGTAAACATAGTAATTGGACAATGTTCACATTTAAACTGTTTGACTCCAGTATGTCTGAAAACATGATTCAACATCGTTTGTTGTTGACGAAAACGCTCCCCACAGATGTGACATTGAAAATCTTTAACTGTGACATGTTTTAATTGATGTCGTTTGTATTCCTGATTTGTATCACAAACTTTATTACAAGTCTGACAAGTCCGGCTCACCAATTTTTCTTTCGCTTTCATTTCACAATAAATTACCCACTCTTCCTTGCTCATTCCTTTGTGAACTTCTCGTAAATGTCTGAACATTCCACTACGATTGGCAAATTTTTTATAGCAGATGTAGCATTTAGATTGACTTTCTTCCACGTCTGCTGCATCATTTTCTATTTCTATTTTGAATTCATCAGATTGTAAAGTTTCAACTGGCTGACACCAACCTTCCGTTTTAATATTATAGATTACGTCTGGTTTGATCGCCATGTTAGAAATCGGTTCATCCAAATCAGCTTCTTCATCTCTTTCAATCTTAATTTCAAATTGTTCCTCAGGTCCCTGCGACACTATATCTTCAAGTTCCTGCGACACACTGCCCTCAAATCCCTGTGACACCCCATCTTCAAATCCCTGTGACACCCCATCTTCAAATCCCTGTGACACACTATCACCAGCCAACATGAGAAAACAAATTCCATCCTCTAATAGATAGTCTATTCTATTTAACTCAATCTTTAAACTTTTATTACAATTTATAACTCCAGTTTCCATTTCTCTTTTAGAATTTTCACAACTAGTTCTCTGTCTTTCTGAGTTTAAATCTATAATATCAAGGTCAGGTTTTGATTTGGTTTAAAACTGTTTTCACAGGCCATGTCACATTAAACTGAACTTGTTTTTTTGATGTTTTTTGGTGTTCTCCTATCTGGCCGCAAGTTGCAATGTTTAGATCTGGTCTGACAAATATTACAGTTATATCTTTCTTAATCTTCTACATTCTACAAAATATACACAAATACACAATTAATCTTATACTGTATACAATCTCTTAAAATATCAGAAAAAACAAAGAAAATAATAAACATAGCAGTTGATTAGATATTAGTGTTTAAATATTTGTTTTAGTAGATAGAGATCATATTGTGATGACTGAAATTGAACAATATCAGCTGGTGTCTTACAATACTTACATTATAAATCTTTACATGATATTAACATTTTCATTAACTTGTTGAGATAGACAGCCTTTAAAACTATTAAATCTGATATCAATTTCACCTTCTTCTAGCTGTTCAAATAACAAAATACTATATATTACTTCCACAGGGATAAAAACAAGTTAAGGGATACGTTTCTCTAGATTTTGGTGTATAGTTTTCATAAATTTGATAAAAAACATTTTACAAATCAGACTGCCCGTTAATGTTTCACAAAACCAAGTTATATGGTCATATGAAAAGTTCATTAGCTGTTACCAATGTTTCGTCAATATGTTTTTGGATTTCGTGTTTTGTTTTGATCAGATGTTATTAATTAGATATATTTACACTCACCTCGTCAAAACTATAAATTTCCTGATAACATCGAGGAGACATCAACTGGCGTTGACATTTGGTTAATTCTAAACCAATTTTACCTTGACAATCTGGCAACACTTCTACTCGTTGTTTCGCATATTTAAACTTTCTATCCTATAATAATAAAAAATAATCAATAGTAAACTATGTGGACACTCTACCTATAGTTTATCATAAAAATCATTATTAGCTATGTGAACTCTAATTATAATTAAGTGAAAACTCTACCTATATTTAGCTATGTGGACTCTCTACTCTCTATTCAACAGAGATTCAAGATTTCTCAAGGCATATCTATTCACTAAGTAATATATAAAGAATGAACAAAGTAAATCTGAATTCAACTCACATCTCTCTTCTTTTTAAAAGTATATCTGGGAAACTGAAACGTTACAGCTGAATCAACTGGTAGAAAACAGCCAATCAGTAAAACTAGGATTAAGAGGGTGACGACAGCTCTCTCAATAAAACTTGTCATGGCTTCAAATTACTACAACTAGACATCACTTCTAATCAACTCACTATTCAGTCAACTGGAAAAATATATCATATGACAGAGTTTTAGTTTAAATCATTAAAATATCAAACATAGTAACCATATAAATAACTTCCTGCTTATAAACAACTTGCAGACAACACTCCCAACGCAAATGACTGGCAAAATTTGACTTAATTTAGCATCTAGACACGTGAATCAATTTTTAAACATAAATATCATAAATTATGAAAATGTACAATCACCATTTTGTAAAATGATTCACGTGTCAGTCACATGGCCCTTGAATGACGAATCGGACACAAGGCAAGTCGGACATAACCAGATTGGACATGAAAGACAAATCGGACAGATTATAGTTATATACAATACAAATTCCTCCACTTAAGCATGAATGGAGAGGTTTGATGCTATACTGAAGCTCTCAAGATTGTCTCGATTCAAAGAAGGTTTATCAACAGCTCCCCTCTCAGAATTTCTACGACTACTGCCCCTCGCTCCCTCCCCCCAAATCATTCACCCTTATTATACAAGTACAATGCCATGTTAGACTATTAAACATGTCTATTGACTTCATTCGTCTCATATCTTTATTGTATAGAATGAAAACCAAACTTTTTATTAAATACATATTTATTATGAACTGATGTCAAATATAAAATATAAGATTAAAATAATGAATACATTGTATTAATAATGATACAGTAAATTAGACTATGATATGTTATATATTACTAAGTTAATATTACTATATATTAATTATATTCTATTATGCATGTTATATATCTTTTGACCTTTGAACTCTTGCTAGCTGAGCACAATGATAAAATAATAATAGACAAGACAAGACAAGACCTGTTTTCACATGGAAACATTTCAAGATTCTGAAAATCCAGAGTGAGTGTTTGAGCAGATTATATGATGTTAAGAGCCAATGGTTGATATTAGTTGTTAATGAAAGAGGCAAGTATTTTTTTAACTTCATGTTAAGAGCCAATGGTTGATACTGAAAAGAAGAGAGGCAAGTATTGTTGACTAGACTAGAGTAGAAATCATCAGTCAAATATTTAATCATTCTGTGTAACTTTAATATAATCTGGATATTGATTTTCATTAAACTGTAGTCCAAGTTGTCGTTTGTGTATACCCATGTGTTTTTTAACATGTTGAGTTCTTGAGAAAGGTTTACTACATACTGGACATTTAAAAGGTTTCTCTCCAGTATGAGTTAAATTATGTTTAGTCACGTCTCCACTAGATCTAAATGATTTACCACATGCCTCACATTGATAGGGTTTCTCTCCGCGATGTATTCTCATATGACGATGTAAACTACTACCAGCACTAAAACACATAGAACAGATATCACACATAAAACGTTTTTCACCAGAATGAACTATATGATGTCTCTTAACTTCACTGTTAGTTTTAAAACCTTTTCTACAAATACCACATTCAAATGGTTTATCATCTGAATGCATTGAAATATGTCGTTTTAAATTTCCTTTCGCTGCAAAAGCTCGTCCACACTGTTCACATTGATAAGGTTTTTCACCGGCTAAAACTCTCGCCTTCATTTCCAATCGTTCTAATCTATTTGATAATTTCTCCTCTAATTCCACATCCACTGCCTCGGAAAGTTTTTTATGATGTAATTTTTCAACAATGGAGGAAATTTTCTTCCTGTTTCTAATGGTCACTCGTTTTTTATCTTTTAATCCTTTGAAACTTTTCATCCCTCTCTTTTTCTTTTCTTCAAAAACTATGCTGGGTTCAAAATCAGAATCTTCCTCATTATCCAGATCATTCAGCACTTCTTCTGCTTCATCTTCTACTAATGGTGAGACTGGAGCGATCTAGAATAAAACCAAGACCAGATTAATCAGTATAATATATTGATATAATAAAATAAACGAACTTGAGCTCATCTCATGTTGCCGTCACGTGTGTCAATTAGAAATTGCTGTTTGTATATAATTGATAGAAAGGGAGAGAATAAACAGAAGATATACCTGATGTACGTTTAAAAATTGTCGACATTCTTCTGTTAATTCATTACAGTTTAAATCTTCAGCTAACTCTTTTAAATTCTCACAGTTATTGATATTAATTAGTGATATTAAACCTTTCTCACACCTAAAATATACATATATACTGGAGTTATACTTCCTGCTGTTTTCAATCTGATTTGATCATTGAAATGAAAGCAGAGTGCACCGACAAAAACTCAATATTGTATTCATGTTCTTGTATGATATCAACTCTGTTTTAACTCCAGAGAGTTCACATGGCTTTTAGCATATAGTTCAATAATCTAGAGAGTTCTCAAGGCTAGTAAGATATAGTTTAATAATCTAGAGAGTTCCCAAAGCTAGTAAAATAAGATCTAGAGAGTTTGTGAAGCTGTTGGATTGTTGTATTCAACTTACTGTTTAAAAAGACCATCAAGTTTATATTTAACGGAGGCGTGTAATATTTCTATAATAAAACTAACGTCCACCTTGGTATCTAGTTTGTCTGTATAGACCCATTTCATCAGCTCATATCCCACCTCTTGTCTTACACCTAATAATCAAATACAAAATATAAACTTGTTCTAATAGAATAAATACAACAAAATACTAGGTCTATTGGGATGAGTGCCAACACTGGGCAGATTCTCGAATTCACTGGCACAGAATTGTTCTTACCTTGAGGAGGATTCAAACCCACTACACCTAATTACCTAGCAGACCTAAATCAAACTAGCTACCAACTGAGCTATTCCACTAATCATAGGGTATTCTAGGACTGATATATCTTGATACAGACACAACACGATATAACGATTAAATATTGCCCATTCTCTCCCCTTAATTTACACAATCAGGAGCAGTAACTCTTGATAAGTTTACCTGTTAAATCAAGTTTGTCTATGTAGAAAAGATGCTGTAAGTCCCAGTATTCACTTCGTGTAGACAATATCAACTTGTGAGCATGTAAAATATGATTATCTCCTAATAACACCTGTATATCACTGAAAAATACACAATATTTCATTAAAACAAGGGCAATAACTCACTTGTTCATTAAAAAAGTAACAAATGTTTAGGATTGTAAATTACATAGAGGCAATTAACGGCCTCATCTCATATACTTAAAAACATCAATAGATACATAGAGATAGATTATTAGACTAACACATGACAATAAATCTTATAAGATAGTATTACTGTACCTGAAAAGTGGTTTATTAAAATAATTGGCTACAGTCGAGATTAGTATACTAGAAAACAGTTCAGGAACTTCTTCTTTCATAATATTTTTATTAGTAGACAGTAAAGTGTTATATTTTATTTCTATGTCTGTCAGGGTGTTTTGTAGTTTAATATATTCATCTTTCATAGAATTTAACTCAGTTAGTAGATCATTATATGATTCCATGTCGATTGTCTCCCCTTGTGATACGTCATTCTCATGTTTTACAATTTCATATTCAACTGGAATGTCCACTACCTCTTCCTTTCGACTTCGTTTTGGTTTTTTAATTTCTGTTTTCTTTCCTGATCGTAAAGTACCAGCACGAGTCGTTTGGCTGACATCCATGTTGATATTTGGTCGTAATTTTCTCTTGGTAGCTTTTTGTGTCTGACTATCTTGCTTTCTTTTGCAACTTTTTGAAGATATTTTCTGTTCTGGTTTCTCTAAGTGCTCAGGGTCTGTTTGCATCAGTTTTACTGGAACCATGGTCTCTTTACTCTTTGTCTGTTCGTCTACTGGAGTTTCTTCTAATTTAGAGTTTATAGTGCCAAGATTGGAATTGCTGGAATCACACAATCCAGCTAGATTTATATCTGTCTCTTCCACTTCAGTTGGTGTTTCTCTACTTTCAGTTTCTGGCACAGTTTCTGCTAATTCATTTCCCTGTTTAATTTCACTCTTCACTATCTGAAGATCTTTGTCTTTAGTTGATTTGCCTACACTTTGTGAGGAACTTGCCAGTTCCACTTCAGACATGCCTGAATTTTGAAAAGAACTACTGGTAGATGTTTCAATATGAGAAACGCTTAAAACTTGAGAATCGCATGCAGCACTGACTTGAGAAACCATTTTGGTATTTTCTTCTGAATTCTGAACTGAAGACAATAGTTCAGTGTATGACAGTGGAATCTCCTCCTTTGGAATCATCTTAGTATAACCATATGTATCAGGATTCAAAGACTCAGTTACTGATGGCGCCGTTGTCAAACTTCCTGGATATGAACCACTGGAAGCGGATGTGCCTTGGACACCTGGTATTTGTGTGTAGACCAATTCATCTTGGACATTTAGACTGTTTTGGAAGTTGTGCTGCCCACCATCTTGGATATTCAGCTGCCTGTCATGTTGCACGTTCAGTGCTCTGCTATCTTGTATATCCACAACTCCACCATCTTGGATATTTTGGGGTGTTACCTCACTATTCTGAGAGTTGAGTACTTCCCCATATATGACTGGACTGAATTGACAACTAGTTTCTCGTGGATGAATCTGAGTAAAATTCTGATTGAAATGACACTGATTTTCTGGTGGAGATGCAAATTGCGTGGTCGTGGTTCTCTGAGATTTGTTGACAGTTGTGGCCAGTGTTGGATATTGTACGTTGTTTCGTTGAAGAGGTTCTGTCCATAATGGTACATCAAAATGGTTATTTTGGTTTTGATTCTCTGAATGTTGAGAAACTAGACTTTCCTCTCCTAAACTCTCTGTTTTCTGGCCATCTGTATTATAGAAATTAAAAAATATCAGAATTTTACGAAATCATCCAAACATCAGAAGTCAACTTCTAACTTTATGTTTCTCTGCACAGAAAGACAGCACTTGGTTGTACATTTAGATTCTCTCAGCCACCTACTGAGAGCAGTTGCTATTCTAGAAAGCAATGACGGCTATGCAGTGCCACTTTGGAAAGGGTACAACGACCCTTCTTAGACTGGTGCAGAAAAACTATGAATATAGAGATTTTACGCTTAGTCAATAGTTTGATTGTTATAAAATGCTATTGGCCATAGAGTTAACATGGTTCCTTAACACAAATATCAAGCAATCAAGGAATTCGTTCAATGCATTTGGAGATATTGACCAATGTTTGCTATTTTCAATAACAAAAAATATTATTACCCGTCGCCATTTTGCATTGTATGTGTCACGTGATTTCTGTTGAAGTTATCTTTAAGTTTTCGCTCTCGAATCTTAATATTAATAATTCAACATAAATTCGACACCGATGAATTCATATCAATTGAAATAAACGAAATATATCTACTGGAATCCATTTTCATGCAAGACAACTTGGCATCGAAATTCGAATATAGAAAAATTTGTTGTATTAAGAGAACTTCAGCATCACGTGACACGAAATAGTCAAAATGGTGGACAGAGAAAAATGAAGTAAAATGCCAATAATGAAAATTAAGTTTTTGGACGGTTTAAGGCAAAAATTCGTTATTTTATGGCAACCTGGTGCTTAGTTGTTGACAATTTAATCGTTTTGAGGAATTGTCACGACTGTAATAACCATCAGAATAGTTTTATTAAAGATTTTCTCCTTCCCCCTCCCTTAAAAGTGGCTACACTACTCAAATACAACCATTGCAGAGAGTTATTATCAGTGGAATATCACAGTCAGTAGCGAGTTGGATTGTCATCTGCTAGGCCATTGGGTGTCTTGATTCAAATACCCCTCAAGCTAAGAAAAACTTCTGATAGCTCTGCCAGTGCCTCCACGAGTCAGCTTTCACTCCCTACTGTTTAGAAAGTAGCCAGGTTATCCCTATACTTGTTTGAGTAGTTGATAATTACAGCATGAAAACAAGGTATAAGAGAATTTACAGTTAACCAGACTATATTCAGTGTAGGTCAGAAAATATCATATTATAAAGCTTATTATCTTTTTTGCAGATACAGTAATTGGTCAATTTGAAAATTAGATAAACTCATCCTAAAGTTCAAAAAGAAAAGATGGCGACAGTGGCTGGATCATCCACCAATTCAAGTCCTGGTCAAACACGAGAAGAATCCGTCCTGGAAACTTTCTTTATTTTAATCTCTCAATTTGCTTATGATAAAGCCAAGGATTTGATGGTATGTAACTATATTAGCTAAGATATCATCTTCACAATGTCAAGCTATTAGGAAAGAGTTGTATACCTTGACTGCAATACTCACCTTTCACGTGCCACAGAAGAGACTGAAAGGGATAGCAAATACAGCCAATCAGAGGCTTCGATAAAAAGTCTGTCAACACTAAGTCATAATGTTTACAGACTTTCTGTCCAAGGCACTGATTGGCTGTATTTTCCAATCCAATGAGACAGTTTAATATGATTCAGATTTAAAATGAATATTTTGTCTTTCCAGGATAAAGAAAAAGAAAGTCACAAGTTATCAAGTAGTACATCCTGGGGAACAGTTGTACAATGTCTGTCTCAGTTTTCTATAGCAGAGAAAGTTTATATGTCTTTATCTTCACTCGGACAGAAAACTACCAGGTTTAATCCTATTATTGGTAAACCTAAAGAGGTTGGTATTTCAACGTGGGGTACTCGTAAAAACTTGTTTTAACCATGTGTTTGACGTCTTTAATCACAAAATGCTGTATCACCTAAGGCCCTTCGCAATTTGTGATGTCATGAAACACTTAGTGGAATTGCAGGAATCACAGACAGTCTTAACAATCCTTTTAATTTTGTATATTTCAGAACATCCGACCCCTGTACCATATGTTAACACAAGAATTTATTCGTATAGAAGATTCCAGTCACCATAGTAACAGTGGAACGCCCTCTAGTGATATAGAAATATTATTAGGTCATCTTTGTGGACAGTTATGTCAGTATATAGCAGCCAAACAAAGCATGGCTGACTTGTATCCTTTTACTCAATAAGATGGCAATAGCACAGCTTATAGCACGTTGTTCCATCTAACAACTAGACGCTTTTCCATGTCAGCACTCCAACCTGCATCACTGACAGGGGAAAACTAAGTTGAAAAGTCTGAAAGAAACGAGGTTATCCATCCTCTATTTTTGCTTGTGTACCTGTTATTTGTCAAGGGGAAAGGGGTTTAATTACAGCACTCATCTACTTGTACGAGGAGAACTGATAAATCTTTAACAAGAAACTAGATATGAGAATTTACACAGACAAGTTGTGTTTGAAGAGTTAGTCACGTCAATGGCTGAAATTATTCAAACTAACAGTAAATCATTTCATCATCCTTTACTCTCACCTATTAAATCAGCTTTCACGTAAGTATCTACTAGAGTTACTGCCCTTGATGTCAGTTAGTCTAGCTCGCTGTACATGGAGGAAAGTTAACTAGAGATGGCATTTCACACATGCGGCAACAAATAGTTTTTGTAATATGATAAAACATGACTAATGACCAAGTTTCGACGTAGATTTACTCTCTCAAGAAAGCTATGACATTAATAAGAGATGTACAATGTTTATTGATCTGATGTCTCTTGCGTGTAGGCTGGGATATAAATACTTCTTTTCTCTCTGTTAAGTAGTATAATAAAAGAGTCCCTGACTAATGAAAACTTGAATTGTTTTTCAGATTAGAGTGTGAAATTCTCCATCATCTTCTACAAGCTCAGTTGTTATTATGTGATTGGCAATTTCTAGCTTCCTTGATACAACTACAACAAGCTAACACTAGACTACAGAGCTGGGCCACACTCGCTGTTTTACACGACTTAGAAAAGGTACAAACATCTTCAAATATCTTATAATCAATTTTTACTTGTCCTGTTTCACTAAAATTCCATACTTACGGCAAATTCATAAGATTTTGTGAAGAACACAGACCAAAGTCACTTACAGTAGACGAATTAAAATTGTAATCTTAGCTTAGAAAAGAAATCAAATAATTTTTGGTATATTTCAGATTAAAAAATCGTCGAAGAGTAACCAGAAAAATAGTTCTATACCAGCTTTGTTTCTATGGTTACAGAGATTTAAAGGTCTGCTAGTATCTAAGGTAATATTGATACCAATATTGCCATACCCTACAGTCCTTAATGGGAATTTACGGTCGTATTCAAAACATGATGTCTTGTCATCTAATTATAGTGAAATCATAGCTGTCCTGATGAGGATTTGATATCTGAAACCTGTGTCAGCAGCATGAGATAATAAGATAACTTCTAGTCATCTTCAATCGCAAATTGATTTTAATCTTTATAAACTGTAAAAGAAAATACCTTTTTTATTAAATAGAATTTTAAAATTTGTGTCCAACGTGCACCAAAATAAATAAAATATTTAAAATCTGTTTTACTTTCAGTTTAGTTTATATTTTTACGAGATATTATCCAGACAGACTCAAGGTGATATTAAAATGTTTACAGCTAAAGCAACAGAAGATTTCGTAGGCAGGTAAGTTATACTTTCTTTAAACTTGTTTTTTCATTTGCCAAGGAAATATCAAAGCTAAAATACAGATACAAATTGATTGATATATTTCAGGTTACAAGCGTTTCAGAAGAAATATGATTCTACCAATATCTATATGATACTAGACACGAACGGACAAAGAGAGATTTATAAAGGCCCAGGGTATCATCATCCTGATAAATATATTGAGGTTCCTAAAGGAAAAGATACCTATCCTTTCATTTTATCTCTACCTCAGGTATGTTATTCTCTTTCTTATCATTATACATCATCTTTCTATTAGTGTTACAATTAATAATCTAACAAAATAAATTTAGAAATTGAGAAGGTTGTATAAACATTACATCCAAAGATATGAAATTAATCTACATTTCTAAACTAGCTTTCCTGATGAAGATATTGTATCTGAAACATGCCTAAGACAGTCTTTAAGTTCAACAGATCAAGTTACGCTCAACACGAACATTATTGTTTGTTATTTTGTGTATATTTGTATATTTTAGGAGAAACCAGCTGAGAATATCCATGCTGGTATTTTAATGATGTTGAATGATAGAGATATGAGTGAACAGGTTTCAAACGGACAAGAGAAAGTTAAATGTGTATACGATAAGGTGAGGGCCGTGAGGGGGTGTGACTTACTTGATTGACAGCCAAAAGACAGGAATAGTTAGTGCATGAATAATAGAGGCGTGGCTTAGTTATGATAGCAGAGAAGCTGATGTTAGATGGAAGACATCTTTTAAATTTTTGTTGGAAAGGGATTTTGTATTAAAATTTCTGAAGAATTTCTATTTTTTATTTCAGTCCAATCAGAGAACGTTTTACATCTGTCGTTTGGAGCATCGAATCTCCATGGTGATTTTATTTGATACCAAAAAATCTGTTCGAGATTCAAACGTTAATAATTTTCTATTGGATTTGAGTTCTCAACTAAAATGTCATAAAGTTATAGCCAGTTTAAAACCTGGAGTTAAAACTTAAAAACATACGGCTGATGTTTACATTCTGGAAGTGTAAAATCTTAAAAAACCTCAATAACACACTGGAACTAAACGTTTTAAACGGGCAAAAGAACTCAAATTGTCGCTTGTGCAAAGTTTAATAAGAAATAAAAACTCAGAGACTTGTGAAGATACATGTGAGAATTATACGTGAGATTTATCTATCTGAACTCGACCAGAACATAGTGATACACAAAACATGAGATGTAAATGTCTAGAGATTTGACAAAGGACTTGATGGTGGATAGGATCTTTCAGATCTATCAATAACTGGTGATTGCTACAGTATGATGGCCACTTTAGTGTATAAGAATAGGGACATTCTCTCTTACTTGAGATTTGATCCTGGATAACTCTAGACTCAAGACTTTTTGATGAAATAAACTATGTATACACAGTACTTATTACATTGAAAATAAAACCGAGATTTGATTTTAGTGTAATTTATATTCCCTATGCTTCTCTAGCTTCGCGGTGCAGAGCATCAAATTATCATTCTCACATATTACCACTATGTTGAAAAGGTTGTCCAGTAACCTCCAGCTTATTAATTTAAGAGCATTAGTTAAGATGGAATCGGCAACTTGCTTTCCCCTTTCAACAATTCACAAAGTCAGTAATTCTTAAAATATGGTGTGTACTAAATGGTTAATCACTAGCTTGGGTTTATTTCTTGCTTTAAGACACTATGAGAAAGACTTGAACTGGGAATCGCCTAAATTAGAATTGTCCTCAGTCCGATTTGTCTTTGGCCGATTTGTCTTTAGACCGAATTGTCTTCGGGTCGAGTTGTCCTGATACCAAAATTAGTTGTGGTCTGTGCCTTAACATTAACTTCCGGTCAAATTCAAGATGGCAGCTAAAAAATGAAAATATAACTAATTTACTCATTTTACTCGATTCTAACAGTGTCTTGAAGGCTTTCGCCAAGAATTAACTGTCTGAATGATGGGGAGAAGGAAATTCGACAGGACTGTAGTGAAAAAATGTCCAATTTGTGGTCAACAAGTAAGAAATCGTCCATTTAAATGAGTCTGTTCAGCTTGCTGGCGGGGGCACCTCTGTCAGTGTCAGCGTCAGCAGATAAAGGGTATATGTTTAATTCAACTAATAATGATGTTATGAGTATCCAAACTGTGTTGCATTGGATGTGCTACGATTCTAGCTAGTCTGCACTTTATTAAGTACTACAGTAGGTCACTAGAGGAGGGATGTAAGGGTTGGTGAATAAATAACCAAATTTTGCACTGACCTTTGTAATATTTATATTGTAGATACCAGTAGCTTGTAGATATTGTAGTTGTGGACATCAATTTACATCTCGAGTCAGAAGTTCATCTTCAACCTCTTCTATACCTGATGAAAGAGGTACAAGTACAGTATTATTTTATATTCCCAGAGGGACAGTGCATGTCTATTTACAGCTCTGTACTGGTGCATATGTTTTACTCAATAACAAGTAAATCATTTCAATAGTTGTATAAGAAGCAATTCTTTAAGTACTAGACACTTGAAACCATTAAACTTTGCAGAAACCAAACAATCTATTTCATGAGCTGTTAATTTAATGTATGAATATAAAATTGTAGAAGCAGACCAGTCAACTAGTCAAACTGAAGAAGGTGATAAACGAAGACGAACCGTTAGAACGAAAAGAGTAAAACCTGATTTTTTCAACTCATTAGAACTAGACTATTCATCACGTCAAATGAAACATAAAAAGGTGAAAGAGGTATGTGACATTATTAAAGAATAATAACAAATTCCAGAAGATTAAATTATTAAATTCTTGTGTTGTATATTGATTATATCATGGTAGTATGTGTTGTTTATTATTGTGTTGTATGTTGATTATATCATGGTAGTATGTGTTGTTTATTATTGTGTTGTATATTGATTATATCATGGTAGTATGTTTATTATTGTGTTGTATGTTGATTATATCATGGTAGTATGTGTTGTTTATTATTGTGTTGTATGTTGATTATATCATGGTAGTATGTGTTGTTTATTATTGTGTACTATTTGATTTTAGATTGAAACTAAGAAGAAGGGAAGGGGGAGACCAAAAGGTTCAGTCAATAAACCAAAGACACCTGATACCACTAATCCCCCAACACCATTGATTCCAACAGGTAGGCTACTTTCTCTTTTACTCAGTCAAAATACAGTAGTAGGTCTAGGGGTGGTAAAACATGCTTTGTTTTGTCAGTGGTTTCACTACAGCTGTGCACTGGACAGATAATAGTTATAATTTCCTAGTTTGTCATGTGTTAACTCTAAAGCTGACTTGATTAACTATTTGTATTTCAGAGCCTGTACCTAAACCACCAGTAGAAGAAGATGTATTCAGTGGAGTCTCTTTAGAAAAATTACGAACTTATGATATTATTTTATCAGAATTAAATCGTAAGATGATGACAACTTCAGCTTTCAATCCTACATAAAATATATCTGACAATTATCATGTGGAATATGTTCTCTAGGTGATTATATTAGCCTGGTGCTGTATATTCTAATAGAATTAAACTGTTCTACCTTCATCACCTCTCAACACAATATACAAGTTGTTTTTCTAAATGATTGTATCTAAGATTCATGCTGTTAATGTTATTTGAATTAAACTCGAAATTTCTAGACCTAATAGTGGACTATAATACCAGACACATTGTGTCCTTAAAGAATAGATTAATATATTTTACCTTTGATACAATCAGTTATGCATCTTTGATATCTTCTTCAAATTTGAGCAAAATCTTGGCTAAGTATGCAGTAAGGATTGTAACCGTAAGGTCTGGATATGGATGGATATATTAACTGGACTCTAATTAGTTATAGTTTAATTGTATGTGTGTTTTGATGTTTGTTAATTATCTTCATTGTATCATCATAATATGTTTGTATTTATTGTATTATAATACAATTCTTTTATTTATTTGTAGTTTTCTTTTAAGCTGAAATAAACCTTCAAAATCTCTTTTGATGCAAATTTAAGCCAGGGGATTACTCTAGATGTCTCACGCATTGATGAAAAAATTAAAAAACCTTTTTTATTCGTGTTTTTTCCTTGAAAATGTGATAATTTTATGAAAAGTCACATTTGTTACTTAAAATAGCACTAACTGACATTTAGACGTCACATGACAGCATACTTATCACATGACTTGTCTTGGACGACCAGTCTTTTGGTCTGCTGACTCCATTAAGCGTCTTGATAAACAAGACTTAAGTGTCACATGATAAACACAAAGCGCTTTGATTAAAATCAACAGAGTAGAATAAATTTTGATTTTCAATTAACAACATGAATATTTGGATTGTATCAACTGTGTGCCTAATTTTCACACTCTCCAGTGTGTCTGCCAAAAACAACAAATGTAATTTTCCACCGGATCTGTGGTGTTCCTCAGAAGAAATAGCTGCATCATGCCAGGTATTGAACTCTACTTTCATTTTATTAAGCCATAAGCCCATTACATAACATCTTGGCTACATCAAACCACTGGTTAATTCCTACATGATGTTCAGCCCTTAGTGAGGGCAGGTAAGTCCTTAAGATATAGGACACGTTAGGTAATGAAAGATATTTTATTGTGTACAGAATGCATAGAGCATCTTTCAATGCTATCAAATAATGAAAGAAAGAGAGAACTATATTTTACAGGGATAACAACTTAGGTTCACAGTTATGGATCCTTTCTACCAGCTGGTCCTTGGCCAAACCTCTTGGCATTGATCTATCTCATTATATGGATCCATTTACAGTTGGGTCGATTGGAATTATAAAATAACATTTGTGCAAGGAAGTAAATATTGACTTTCCAGGTGACCCAGCAATGTTCCGAGACAAGTTGGTTATTAAAAGAGAAGACAGGCCCTGTGAATTTTACACTGTATTACGAGTCCCTGTGTCCAGACTGTCAACAGTTTATACGGTTTATGTTATACCCAACTTACCAGAAGATATCCAGCATCATGAACCTTACTCTAGTTCCTTATGGCAATGCTCGGGTAAGTTGGTTCTTTTATTTACGTTGTTATGGTAATGCTAGGAATTATATGGAGTAAAGGTTATAACTTTATATATGTTACTAATTATCATTCAGTAATTGATTAAGTTTTATTTCCTACCATCAGGAGTCAAGAGAATCAAGTGGAAGGTATAAATATGATTGTCAACATGGTCCTCAAGAATGTGTAGGAAACCTGATTGATGTACGTAATTTACTTCTCCCTCATATCTTTTACACTATTAATTTTTCTACAGTGTTTCACTTTAGCAGGTAAATCTTGATGATTGATATTCATGATATCTAACCAGCCAATCAACATGAATACATAGCTATTTTATATTTTATCGTGTAAATACGAACGAAATGTGTGAATAATATCCGAGTATGAGCAAGGGTATAAATTCACCTCCTACAAAGCTATTTAGATAATGTGAACCACTGTCCTATCTATTAATTGATAAGGGTAGGTAGGTTATTTCTATATGGCTCTAGAAACAATGTCTTATATATTTTGTTATATTTTTCAGACGTGTTCTATATATTATTTAAAAATAGTGGAGAAATATTTCCCCTATATTCATTGTATGGAGATATCTCAGTCAGACCCTCTACAGGCTGCTAAACAGGTATGTTTATATAATTTATAATAACCTTGCTTCAACAATGGTATGTCTTCATTAGCTCATCTTCATTAGCCTGACTTCATTAGCTCATCAGGTGTAGAATGTTCTCTTCATTCAACAGTCTTTCTAGGGTCTTGTAGCTGTAAAATACAGTACAGAGATCACTGTGAAGACTGCAGCCTCTGAACTCCTGTTTCCCCTGCATATCAACCAAATGTAAAAGTCCTGGCTTGACATTAGCTAGAAGCTATATAGAGCTATTTTCTCCAGAGTTTCTAATATTATTTGTGTACCTGAATATTCAGTGAAGTTTTATTAATTCCTGGTGTTCTGTTGTATTTGTATTTTTCAGTGTGCTCAACAATTCACTGTACCATTAGATAAAATATTGTCTTGTGCTAACTCTAGCCTTGGGAACTCTCTAGAGCATGAGATGGCTAAAAAGACAGACTCACTTCGCCCACAACATCAATATGTACCCTGGGTAACACTAAACGGGGTCAGTTTAAGATTAAATATTTATAATTTAATAGTTATAAATATTACTAATGTTCCTCTGTATGTTTATATTTAAGACGTTCTGTAAGGATACTATCAGGAGTTTTTTTATGGCCTACAATCATGTACAAATATGTAGTTTATGTATCGAGTTATTCCTGGATGGATTTAAACATTTGTTTTCTTGATATATCACACCTTTGATTAAGATTTTTATGACTATTGTACGTTTTCTAGGTACATAATGAGAAAATACAAAATGAAGCTCAGAATAATTTAGTTAAATTAATCTGTAAAACATATCAGGTGAGAACTAGATTTTAACATCTTTCTTTCTGCTCTTGGAAAAGTGAAGCACCGAGCTTATTCCAATGTCAGCCACTTTGACAACTGTCTACCATTTCAACATCTTTTAAATAATTTCAGGGAGCCAAGAAGCCAGAAGCCTGTAATGAGTTTAAAGTGAAGAAAACTAACCGATGCTACAAATAGATAGAATACTCTACTTCTCAGCCAGTTCTTTCGGTGATAAACTTAATGACTATGTGCTTATTGACGTAACAGTGAAAATGAATGTATGAAGATGTCAGAAACTTTCAGTGCTAACCTATCAGGACGAGGCCTGCTTCTTTTGAAACTATTTAGAAAAATAAGATAGATAATACTTTATTTTGAATTATTTTTACAATTCCATTCATGAAATTTCTTTTTGTATATTTATTGTATCATTCCTTCGTCGTTTTGTTTTGATATTTTGTACATAAAATTAGTTTATTATCTGTTTTATTTACTTAACCATGGCCTCATGCAGCCATGTTCCTGTCAACCTAGCTGTAAATGAGTATAAAGAATCAGGGAAAGACATGTCTGCATCCCTTACAGCTACTCCTAATAGCTAATTATGTTAATTAGATACATTCATCAACACATTCCCTGGAAACTTTACTATCAGTTGAACTGTAGACTGGTAAAGAACCTCATGTTAAGTCTTATATGTCCTTCCCAATGCACTGAAATCTCTCACTGAAGCAAAGGAGACATACTTTAACATATTCTTTAGCATATCAACACAAAAAATTGATAAAGAATAGACTTTAATTCACTAATTTTCACATTTTAATAAATGTAAACAAAAAACCGCCATGTTTGTTTACGTTTTGCTTTGGCACTTCCATCGCCTCTCAACTTTGACTTCAGAGTTTAGGCTGAAAAAAGACACAGCGACCGTTCAAAACTATGTGTAGACCTCATAGAATCGTGCATAAATTTAATCAAATCCTCAAATTGCCATGACAGTGGTTTGATTTAGTCTTATCCTCTTTAAGCTGATGTAAAGTTGAAATTTATGATAAAAGTCAGCCATTTTGTTTTTATTACCCAATTTGGTTTGTTTGACATTCGAGACTAAAGTGTAAGAACCATTTTACTGCATATTGGACAATCAAGTCTATGACCCCCCTGTCATTTACAGTCTAAGGGAGACAACTCCATTGAATGATGTCAAATTTTTTTTTAATGGTGGGTAAGCGTTGAAGATCGAGGCGCATGCGCCGGGCGGAAATTAACGAGTGGTGCCTCATAATTACAATCGGCACTCAAGTAAGTTTCCGTAAACCGGAACCGGAAACATTTGACATATTTGATTAACCAGACTCAGGCGTCTATAGCCATTTACAACTTATAGATCGAGACTGTTGAATGTAAACAAACATGGCCGACTTTGAGCAGATTTTTCATAAATATTTTGAATTTTTGGCTATAAAAGCGATTGTATAAAGAAATATTATACTTTTCACATTCTTCAAGTTGAACAAGTAAGTAGGCAAGTTTATCGTGAGCTGTCATGCGTGTTGAATGGAGGATAAACATTCTACAGCCATTCTAATGTCTAGAAAATTGTACCTAAACTTACTAAGAGAAGGTTGAAGTCACCAAAGACCTGGCTTTAACTTCTCTTAGTTTGAGCTGGAGTCGTCAGCAAGGCAATAATGTGCTGTGAGTTGAAATCATCTTCAAGGTTAATCATTCCAGGGCAAGTGCTTCCGAGAGTCAGCTTACATTCCCACCCAGTTACCTGATAAAGAATGACTTATTGAATGGCAAGGTGTTTCCTGTTTAGAACAGGACAGTGATTGTTGCTTGATAATCTGATGGTGCAGACATGTAGGATGTTATATGCCATTTCTTTCACAAACCAACAATTGATTTGGTCTGTCTTGATGTAATTGTAACACCTGTTTGTTGATTCTGCTATTCTGTGTAACTTTAATTCAATTGTTTATTTAGTCTTATTAAGTGATGTAGTGATGAACCTGTCATACTCTACTTGTTAGATTTATTTTGTGTTTTAATTCTTTCAGGATGAGACCAAGATATTGATAAATAAAGACAAGGAGAGAAAAAGACGAAACGTTCAAAATAAATGTTACATCCTCTATGATTTCTGTTTCTTTTTTTAATCAAAATAAACTATTGAACTAAATGACTGTTTTTAATGGAGAAGAGGAAATTTGACATCCCTTGGTATTTCTGAGGCTATATACCATTTGCTACCAAATTTAAAGGATATTTAAACACTGATACAAATCGAAGCAGTGTTTGTATTAATGATCATTGAAAAAACAACACAAACAGCCATTATAAACAGAATTGTCTTCTGTAGGCTAAATTTTTACATCAGTAAATATTTTTGTAGTGTAGTAGGGGCCTTAGATGAGTGCATTTTACTTGGAAGAGTCCATTATAATTTTTTTAGGGGTGGATAGGAAGAAAATGGAGTTAAAATCTCATTTCCAAAAAGTGGAAGAGTCCAAGTTGTTTTCGAAGAGTCCATTAGGGTTTTAAGGGTAGTTCAGGAAGGATTTTCTGACGAGGCGTTTAAAACCGAAAACAGGAATAGTCCATTATAACCATGGAAGAGTCCATTGGGATTTTTAGGGGTGGACAGGTGTGAGCTTTTTTGAGAACAAAATGGCAACTTTTGGATTTTCAAATTTTCCCGCGCCCTGGGTCAAACCTGGGTCAAATTTAGTGCAAAAAGGTCAAGTAAGTAGGACATGGGGTTTTCCACTGGATTTTGGCAAGGGGGGATAGCTATGTTTAATTTTGGTTTTTCAGCAATTTCTGCTAAAGTATGCATTATGTGCATGTTTTGAGGTTATTTTCTGTATTTCTATGTAAAGACACATTATTGGACTAAATTCCAGTGCTATAGGTGTAAGAATTACACTACAGCACTTGAAAATAGCCCTGTGAACTAGAAATATGAAACAACCCTAGTGAAAGAGAGGCTGATCTCTGTCCAGTTGTAATTTGACCTTTGTTTTCTGATTGGTCAAAATTATGATTCTTAATTTCCATTTAAAAATGAGCCTTTTAAAAAACAAAGTCAATATTAGAGGGTTGGATAGAGAGAGAAAAGACACAAGAAAGATTTATTTAGTTTATTTTAGCTTGAAGAAACCAGTTGAATATTGTCCTATCAAAACAACTCTTCAATATAGAATACAGGTGATGTTGACCTCTAGGTCAAGGTTCACTAAATATTGGCAAGGAGCCAGGTATAATACTAGATTTCTGTCAAATTTTTGAACTGCAGACTAAATTTTCCGTTTTTAGCCATTTTTCACTTTTTCACTATTTTCTAGTGTGACATTTCCTTTAAAATTCATCAAAATATAAGCCTGCACATGCATTTTAATCTTTGACACCAATGATGAAGGGAAAAGACTTGCTGTAATTTCAGACCAAAATAAAGGAGTTTCTGAAAGCTGATCTATATTATTGAGATGCCAGTTGAAATTAATCTGATTTTCCAGTCAATTTTCCCTCCAGAAGGAAATAACAAAACATGCCTGGCAAGTCGAGATGAATTCTAACTGTTATCACAAATTGGGGTAATTTTCCTTGTCAGGACAGAAGCAATAACCGGGCTCGCTGTTACGGATTTGGACTGACAAATAACAAATTACAGGATATAAAACAATGGAATATTCTGATAGAATTTATTCATATTGAAGACTGTACAATAGATAGACACATTCAACAAAGCATAAACAGAATGTAGGTGACTTTATCTAGAAAGTTATAATACAAAATCATACAAATAATTTGATTGACTAGTAAGAAATACAAGGGTTTTAAAATAATCATAAGACTAAATCATTAATTCCTAGCTCTGTTTTTTAATTACAATCAGTGCTGTTACCCACAGAAAAACAGGAAACAAAATATCTAGAGCTGTATTTTAGTTACAAATAGTGCTGTCACCCACAGATATATCTAGAGCTATTTTAATATTAATGAATGGTCAAGTAGCCCACAGAAAGAAAATATCTAGAGCTGTATCAAGATTTATGTAATATTTAAAAAGTTTTCATCTTAGATATACCGGTAAATAAAGACTGTAAAAAAACTGTCAGTCCAAATCACAGAAACAGATTCAAAATTCATGAACATACAATAAATACATACAGAAAAAATAACCATGTACACCTAGTTATTATAAATAGAAATTACAATATTCAAAAAAAAAGATTTTAACAACTAAAACTATACATGACAGTACACCTTATTATTATAAATAGAATTTACAAGATTAACATCCCCAAAAAATATAAATCATTTGTATCGTTTATATAAATAGTTTTGGAGGAATAGAGAGGAATATAAAGTCGTAAAATATAGGTATTAGCTGTAGGAAGGTGGTCGTTATCAGCTGGTCTAATGGTTATACTTGGCATGGTCTTTACTGGCTGGTACTGCTGAGCTGGATTCTGTAGAGATGTGGATAATATCAGAGCAAATTTCACCCAATCTGAAAAAAATAACAATTATCAAACATTAAAATCTCAATGTAAATATATTGAAGTATATTCGTACAAATGAAACACTGCAGAAATGATTTTTTTTCTACTTTTGCATGGAAGCTTAAAATTATTTTATTGTACCAAGTTGCATTACAATGGACCTGGAATATCCTGTCCAAAAATTGTACAAATATATTCATTCATTAGCCAGTGAGAACCCTTTTACTTTTATACTCATTTTCTCAAAATGGCTATATAAGCAATATACAATATTGTGACGCGTAAAATTCTAAATCAACTATAAATTTCTTATTTCTCCTGATAAATCAATTCAGTAAAAGGTTTTAAGTTTCTCATTCTCACAAAAACCTGAAAAACAGAACAAATTGAGAAGAAACTAATATGTTACCTGACTAAAGTTGAACTCTGTTTTTACTGAAATCTTCTTAAATAATTATCTTTGCCAAGTAACATAAAAACTTTACAGATATTACAGGCTCTTCATATTTCCCAAACCCTGAAACAAAATAACAATTTCAAATATTAAAATCTTAATTTACATCAAAATGTAGTCCACAAAATAGGCATAACAAAGTAAAGAGAAATAGCTTAAGTTATAATCGTACCAAATCGATCACCGTAGAAATAATTTTTTTTCTATTTATGCATGGAAGCTTAAATTTATTTTATTGTTTCAATTTGCTCTTTAATGTTTCTGGAATATCCTGACCAAAATTTATACAAATATATTCATTTATAAGCGATTGACAACGTTTTTACTTTTACAAAACAAGTGCTCAAATGGACTCTTGGCGATTTTAATAACAACTTGCATCGCCTCAATAATTTTTCTCCGTAGTTTAGGCTAAAGAAAGACAAGCCAAGGTTAAAAATCAGTTTGCAGACTTCGAAGAAACTGAAAAGAATGTGTTCAAATGCTCTGATTGCTGAATCAGCAGTTTGAATTA